AAAGAAGAATGAAACCTTACAACTATATGTAAATTACAGACAGTTAAACAGCATTATGGTCAAGAACTGCTACCCAATATCACTGATCAAAGAAGTGCAAGACTGATTGAGAGAAGTAACATAGTTTACTCTAATTGATATCAAAAATGCCTACCACCAAATATGAATTAAAGAAGGCAACAAATGGAAAACAGCTTCAGAATATGATACAGACTATACAAATACAATGTCATGCTGTTTGAATTAATGAATGCATCAGCAATGTTCCAAGCACTCATCAACAATGTACTGTGAGAATATCTAGATGATTTTGTCATTGCATACCTTGATGATATGGTTATATTCACCAAAGAAGACCAAAAAGATCACACTGGAAAAGTTAAGAAAGTACTGGAAAAACTACAAAAATACAACCTACCAGCAAAACTAAAGAAGTGTGACTTCTTCAAGAAGGAAATTGAATATCTTGGACACATTGTGTCAACAGAAGAAATACAAATGGAGCCAGAAAAAATCAACAAAATACTACAATGACCAACATTAAAGAAAGTCAAAGAAGTTCAGATGTTTCACAGACTAGCAAATTACTATCAACAGTTCATACACAGATTTTTGAAAGAAGTGAGACCACTCATACAACTATTCAAGAAAGACAAAGTGTTCAAATAGATAACAAAGTATCAACAAGCATTTGAAGCAATAAAAGACAAGTTCAGAAAAGAAGAAATAAGATGACACTACAATCTGACAAAGAGATGTGTGATTGATATGAATGCATCAGACTGTGTGATAGTGGGAAGATTACAACAATCAGACAAGCAGGGAAGACTATAACTAGTTACATGCTATGCAAGAACAATAACACCAGCCAAACAAAACTATAATATCCACAACAAGGAACTACTTGCAATAGTGGCATTACTGAAGAAATGGAAAATTGAACTACAAGAAAATCAACACCAGACAGAGATCATTTCAAATCACAACAACCTGCAATACTTTATAATGACCAAAGAACTTACAAGACAACAAGCCAGATAGTACACAGATGTATTGGCACACTATAACTTCAGAATATGACATTGCAAAGGCACAGAAAATGCCTGGGTGGACATATTAAGCCAAAGACCAGATCTTATGAGAAAAGAACAAGATTCAAGGACACTTTTTAAAGAATTAAAAGAAACAAAGAATATGGTTCTGGACCAACAAACATTAAGAGTGACAAGAATCACCACAGAAGGATTGGATATTGAAGAAAAGATCAAAAAAGCAATAAAGAAAGATAAATATGCAAGAAAAATCAACAAAGAAAATGAGAACTTCAAGAAAGAAGATGGAATGATACTATATTATGGACTGATATTGGAGTGGGGTACAATGGGATGCCTTGTCAAAGTAGGTGAGTTGGTTGATATGGTGAGAGCACAAGAAAGGTGAAAAATCACAATATAGTAAGGGTATGGTCAAGTAGTAAGTGTAGAGATAGGTATGTTCTAACAGACACCTAAGCTCATAAGAAGTAATAGTACTAAAGAGCCCTGTACTAATACAGGCAGCTCTAATAAGAAACAGTAGCATGTTTTATGAACAAGAAATCTTCATATTCTCTAACTAATAACCAAACTGGTAGTAAGGAATGAGTGTGTAGAAAAGAGCAATGGTGTGTGAAGATAATAAGCAAGAAGCAGAGGCTACAGGTGGTTTATATAGCTTAAGAATAGTAGCTTGGGATGGTTTGTGTCTTGGACTAGAACAATCTTTGTTCTAATAAGATACTGGAATTCTCATTACATTTTCTCCTGGCCTTCAATATTGGTGTCCCCTGACAACAAACAACATATAAAATAAAATAAAACCAATTTAGTAAAATAAGAGAATAATAAATAGTAATGAGCAGTCTGGTAAGAAAAAACATAGAAAATAAGAATAAGAAAAGTGATAGCAGCAATCTCTAATAGTGATCACCATGATCCTCTTCTTCTACCAAGTTCTTGGGAGGAGGAGAAGGCCAAACTGATGCTGGGTTAATGTTGTTGTGCACACAATGCCAATAGAATTTATTACCAAAAGCTTTCTTTTCAATTTGGTAAGTCTTGACAATGGCATCCAGAGCAATTCGCGTGGCCATGGGGTTGTCCCACCTAATTTGTCCTACCAGGGCATGTGATATAGCTCCTAAGCCTTGTAATTGAATAGCAGTAGGGAATCAATATGGAACTGATGTGTAATGATTTGAATAGCTGGATGGAGACAAAGGTCCTGGAACTAGATCTCTATATGCAGTGGAGAGCTGGAACCATGTACCAGCTTTATTGACTTCTAGATGTTCATGGTCCTCTTGGATTGCCACATACCAGGGTAGCATAGTGTGTTGGACCTTTTTGCATGGACCATGGGCTCTATAGAGTAGCAGAGGGCTTGTAATTCAGACATCACCAGATTTGCAAATGATGTTGGTCCACCTAATACTAAATTTTCTTTTGTTGTTCTTGGTATACATTGTATCTTTAATGCAGTGAACATAGCCATCAGTGGATAAGTCTTGTTCTTTAACTAGTCCCCACCAATCCTCTAGGTAGTTATGCATTTCTGGCAAGATTTCTGTACAGTTGCCAGGCTCTTCTGCAGTTAAGGTCAAGAATCCTTGTATCATATTAACACCCCTTCCAGTAGTAATAGCAATCAACATTGTACTATGTATAGAGGCTCCTGATACATTGTGGCTATGTGGCATTAACATTCTACTTATTGGAACATTTCTTGATGATCTTGGTGACTGTGGTCCTTCTAGTAGATCTTGGGGGCTGCTTGCAGTAGGAGGGCTCCTAGCAATATCCTGAATTAAATGTTGGAAGCTAGATGACTGTGGAAGAGTCAACAGCTGTAGAAGACCATAGTTTCCAATAGTAAGTTCTTGTTAGTGTAGGGCATCTCTTGAAGAAAGTTCACAAGCACAATTGACTTCTTTGTCAGCTGTAGTATAATTGCCTGGCAATATAGCTAAGCTCTGGTAATGTTCAGCTTCTGTAGCATCTAGTCTTTGGAGCACTGTGCTGTTAATATTATTGGTGAACTTATCCCAATTCTTGTAGACATTTAGAGTATGGTGAAGCTTTTGAGTGGCCCACAGGCTCTTTACTTTTGGCTATATGGCATCAATCCTGTCTATACTCCATGTAGTGACAAGCCTATCCTTGATCTTTTGCATATCAATATGATGTTGTTTAACATCTAGAGTAACCTTTCAAGCATCATGGAAATTGCTGGCAAACAGACTTTGAGGAGCTTCTTAGGGAAGCACGGATATTCTTGTTGACTGGAGATTGCTTCCCTGTACCATGTTGTCTGGTGTTCTCTTCGCGGTTGGGCTTGGGGTATCAAGACACGGCCTCTCTGACCTGCGGGGGCCTGCTTATATACTAGAAAGAGGTAAGTATTGCCTCGGGTCGAACTCAGTAAGTTAAAAGCGGCCTCGTTTGGCCGTCGGCTCGGCGTAAGACTGAGAAAGAGAAAATGGCACCAAGAGTAACCATTTGAGGCACCAGACTCGCCGTGTGATCAGTAAATTGAGTAAATTTACAAATAAGAGAGTGAAAATAAATAAAATTGATAAGACTGTTTATTAAGTGTCTATATACTCTACATATAAATTCTAAAGTCTATATTCAACAATGTTGTTGAGATATAAGAGAACAAAAAAGTTGAGATTTGTATGATGGTATGGTAATATGGATGTACCAGTGACCTTGGGAGTTGGAACCCTGACGAGATTAGGCTCGTGAAGGGCCTGGACCGTTTATGTTCCCTTCTTCTCTCGTAAGTGTGTCTTTCCCGGGTTTTGAGCAACGCCCTCGGCGTCAGTAACAGTGATAGCCCGCGAACGGAGGCACGCTGAAAGGACATCACACTGCACGCTTCGGTGGTAAACTTGATTGTTTATCGAAGCAAGCAGCTGGGTCGCATTCAAGGACTGCAGAAACGAAGCGCGCCTTGCCCCCGGGTTCAACCATGTCTTGAGCTGCTGTCGCCGAACCTGGGTCGCCCCTTTCCGCTGCACATGAGGGCGCTTCTTGGAGCCTCAGACGGAGCGTGACCTTGTGGCATAGCTAACGGAGTTCGGGAGCTTTATCCTTCAAAGTCTGCAAGCAAAAACACGGGTCATGCAGAAATTTAAAGTTCAGGTCTTTTACACTTTGACAAGCGGTCAGCGCGAAAGAATTGATTTTAAGCGTATTCAAGCGAAGCCTCGAGTATGATATAGAAATTAGCTGCCAGAATAGATCTGTAAAACCCCTTATCTGAGGTCGAAAGACGGAAACAGCACACGGTGTTGCCCCATCGTTGATTGCCGAAGCTGCTTGCATACGCGGTGAAAAGTGGCAAAATAGTCTCGCTGTGAGACCTCTGGGCGTCGCCAGGAAGGTTATTTTGTTGGGAGCTCGCATTCTCGCTCAAATCAAACGGTTGATAGGATTAACCATACATGAAATGACAATGTCGGAAGGAGGCGATGATGCACCTCCAAGACTAGAGTCCCTTCAACGAGCCAGGTCATGGATTCCCTCAGTCCCTGCACCCATCAAGCGCGTTTTCGACAAGTTTCCTCTTAAAACATACCCGGCGAACGCGATTCCTTCCCGATCACTACCGGACTCCAGCGAACATCGTTTATATGTGTTCTCAAATGCGCGGGGCTGCAAACAGTCCGCTCCCTCGCATAATCCCCAGTGTCTTAAATGGCAGGTCAGTTCTTCGAACCCAATTCCGCTATGATAGCTGAAAATTCGGCAATGGTGTAGGCCTACCTAAAATTCTCTGGGATAAGATTTCGGATAATTTCCTCAAATAATCATGCCTCTCCTACCGGATCTCTTCCTTTCCTTCTCCCCGGCGCCCAATCGAGTGGGTCGAGTGAAGCGTTAAACCCCATACCATCTAACAAGCTGCAAAGATGGACAGATGAGCAATTAGGCATTAAGGAAGAGGAACCGACTGACATGCGCTTTGACGCATACTCTTCACTTCTGGACCATCGCCTACGAAATGCCTGGGTTAGTCCAGATTTTGCCTCAAATTGTTTCGACTGAATTCTAACACGGAACGGCAGCTTTACACCTTGTATCTAGATCCCTTGAATTTCAGCTCCGTCGCGCGCAAGCTTTATGTCAACCCCTTCACTGCGAATTTCCTTGTACGAATGGCCATAGCCACAGAATTACAGGATGCTGCGAGAAAAGAGCTTCTAAAACGTTCGCCTTATATTGATGTCGATGACTTAATGGCAGAGGCCAACAATGCGTTCGAATCCCTATCTATCCTGCTGGGAAGTAACTTGTTTTTTTTCAACAGAGAAACTCCTGGTTTATTCGACGCGAGTGTTTTCGCATATACTCATTTGATATTGGATGTAAAGCTCGGGTGGAAACATAATCCCCTAGAAATGCACTTGAGGCGATACAGCAACCTTGTGAAGCATCGACAACGACTACTAGAAGCATACTTCTAGGGTATTTTTGAGCGTGGCATCTTACGGCGATGATAGAATTATCGGTTATTATAGACGAGTGGGAAATATACTTTGTACGATACATGGAGAGATACGGGCACCTGTATACGATATCTGCTGAATGATTTCTAAACATGATATTCTTCATTTCTTCCTAAAGCAGCCACCATACCAGACCCGCACTCCAATCCATTTTTTCGCGCGTGGTCCCAGCTTCTCCGCCAACTCTTCGTCTATGCTGCTTTCCTTCAATTCTCCAACCAATTCAAATCCAGCTATATTCGCCTCTTCGAGGGTTTCTGCTACCGTATGCGAATAACTTGTTGGCCTGATTTTAACCCCAGTTTCTGGATGCACAAACCCGGCCTGACTTATCCGTCCCATCTCAGAATGCATATTCGTCAACAATAAAACTCCTCCCGGCCTCAGCATGGTAGCAACGGCCTTGAAGAATTCTTTGAGGGTGACATGTTCCAACACCAAAGTCGAGATGACACCATTGGCCCCAAACGCCGACAGTGGCGGAATGGGTTCCTTCAAGAGATTATATGTCTCAAACGAAACTCTATCCTTCGCCTCGTTAGGATCGAAACGAAGTGCCTCTGCGAAATATTCGGCGGTCTTCTTACGAGCAACGTCCAGCATCTTATTTGACGGTTCAAGTCCTATAATTCTCAGATTCTCCGCACCAGCACGGATGAGTGAGAGAGTATTTCTCCCTGTCCCGCAACCTAAGTCGATGATTTTCGGTGGAGATTCAGCGCTATTAACTTGGGAAAGGAAGAAATGGAGTAGAGTTTGCAGTTCCAACGTGTCAAGACGCTGGAGAAAGTTTCCATCTGTGTCGTAAACCTGTACGAGAAGGGACATTTAGCGAGGGTGCTGTGTATGGTGGTAAAGGCCATGTAGCTACCTCTGCCCATTGGTCATATGCCTCGATTGTGTCAAGGTATTTGATTTCTCGGGGAGGAGAAAGCGATGCAGGCAAGGCGGAATTGGAAACCATGGATACCATTTTCGTATCAGACAGGGTTTATTCAACTTGGACGAGGCGCAATCAGGCTATTACAAGTAGAAAATGCTCTTTTATCGTCGTTATCTCGTCTTCGTTTTAGGGCTCTTAGCAGCTTATATCTGAAATGGACAGAATATCCGAGTGGGAATCTTGCCATTCGGCCCTCGAGTCTTAGACTCTTGATGATTTGTAACCTATATATCCACCAGCCATGAATACGATCGACAAGAGCCCACCCGGCTCTGAGTCATGGTTATGCTCACATGAATGTCCTGCATCTAAAACGGAGCCAAAGTAGGGGCCAAATCGAAAAGGTGGCGGTCCATACGGAGTATCCCATCCTCCTTTGGTAGAGAAAAAAAAGTATGAGAGTCTTCACCTCCACGCAGACCTTTACCATACCTGGCGTCAAGTAAAGGATTTATCAGATCAAACAAAAAAAATGGCGGCGGCGTCCTCCGACAGGCTAAAAAAAGTAAACTTTGCTGTTCAGGTCCTACCCGGAATCGAACCGGGGTCAACGGAAGACTCCGAAATCAATCAGAATCCGCTATGCTAACCGCTACACCATAGAACCGCTTAGTAACCACACCACCCAATATATAACATCATGTACTCCGTATCTCATGAGTTCGAGGAGGAAAATTATTCTTGAAACAAGGGAAACTCTTCCGTGCTCAGTTTTCAGCAAGTACCTTGATATTGAAGCAGATCTCTTTCCGGCGACACGTCAAGTCATATCATACATTCAAACCCCATACTCCTCAAAACGCCATCGCAGGCTCGCAGCAGCATCCAAAACCATCAAAGAACCGCAAATGGTACTAACAGCTTAAGTATTCAACCCACGAAAATCATCCCGAAAAAATATGGGCATCCACCTAGTACACCGTCCCGCCAAACGGTGCAGTTTCTTTTAAATCTTCCACGAGATCTTCAACGTTGCTTAGATATTTCCCCAGTAGTGCTTGCTTTTCCTCCGTGGTTTTCGTGTCTTGGGCCGCGCCGTCGCGTCCAGTATCCCCAGCTCCATTTGTACTCCTCGAGAACTTACCCCCGCCCTTTGGTGGAGCCAGGATTCCCGCATTTGACCCTGCCGAAGGGCTCGAGGGTGCTTCGGGCATAAGGTAAAAATATAGAAACTCAACGAGTTTCAGCTTAACCTCACGCGACGTAGAGCGCAGTTTGAACAGCGATGTAATGGTCAAAAGGCCATCAAGCTCTTCAAACGTCCGTGTGTTCGCGGGGTTGTCAAGGAGAGCGGTGACGAGTGTAAGGAGGGTACATGACTGAATTGCGGGGCAGTTGGCGGGCTCGAGGAGGTCGAGGAGAAGATTCATGTAAACTTCCCTGGCGAATAGAGCACGAGATGGTGGATGAAGGAGCAAGACACCTTGTATTAAATCCAGAGCAGCAATAATCAAGAGGTCGTTAGCACCATTGCTCCCGCGACCTAGGAGGTGTTCAAGGCACGAAATTAATCGTAATGCAACTATCCCGGTGTATCCGACAAGTCAGTCTCGGAGATTATATTATTTTCCAACTGAAACAATAAATAAATAAACTAAAGAAAGAGAAAAATATATATATACCATTCCACTGAAACCCTTCCTGCAGCTTATAAAACTCCCTAAACGCCGGGTCGTCGCAGAGTTCACTCAAGGATTTGGGCAGAGGGGGCGCGGCTCCTAGGGTAATCATCGACCGTCGCTTTTCCGATGCTGATACTTTTGATCTTGATAAACATATTTGCGCAAGTAGGCCTTCGACTTGACGCAGCCCTTTGCGAATCTTAGTCTGATCATACGATGATAGATAGTCAAAAGAATGCGCTAGAAGTGCCTCCATTGGAATGTCCGTGTCGCGGCTAAGTGACGCCTATGAGTACTGTCCGTAAAACCTACTTCTCCAAAAGGAATAATATACAAAATTAAGAATTGACAGGGAAAGGGAAATGAAAATAAAAGACGCGATGGTTATTCCATTTGGATGCCTGGCATCCCGACTCGAGAGATATGCTCGGGACGTTGAGCGGCTTACAGGGTACTTGAATCAGCTAAACGTAAATAGGCCGGGTTGCTGGCACGGCAACTGCTTATGTAAACTCTGCAGCGGCTCACATCCCGCGGGGGCTGAACGGCGATCCACAGTTTACAGCGGACACTCAGCTCCTTGAGCCAACTGATGAGATCTTCTCCATATGCCTCGAGGGATGCGATGAGAGCGGACGCAGCAGTGATGGGCGGGATTTTTTAAAGTGTGGCAGTTAACGGATATTGCAAATTTTAACGTTACGGGATCTGCGCCATCTCGTCTGGCCCGATTCAGCCACTGCGGGTTCTTTTCCAAGTATGGATGAATTATCATAGCTTGTGTCGATGAGTTCTCCAAACCAATTTACATGAAATGTTACGGTGATTGAAAGCAGAATGGGTTGTTTGAGAATGAGCACAGGACGACATCGCGCAGGATCATTTCCTAAAACATAAACTTGACAACCGGCCAATTGTCCAATAACGGTAGAAAGTTGGAGGCTTGGACACCGCAAGCAACGGACAGACATCACAGTTAAGACTTGAATTTTGTGGCCCAAACCTTGTGCCCATTAGGATATGCAAGGTACAAAGGCAAAATTGTCTCGACTTGACAGTCCAGAACGGAAAACGCATTTTACTTGCTGGTTAGCGATTTGGGTACTCCAATACTCCTTCAATGGAAAATGATGACAAAACTCTACTCACATAGTTAATTAGTGCCTTCTCCGGCGCGCTTACATGGCCTGCCATGCATTAGGCATTGTTTTCAGGAACATGAGGCCAATAATCCACGGTTACATGTCCCTCTGTGGGAAGTGCTCCATACTGTATGTAGGGAGTACATATGTACTGCACAAATTGCGTCTTCGCCGCCCGCACCTCTTCTCCAATCCATCTATTGGTACCTCGATGCCGCCCTCAGATTCAATCGATCGGGCAGATCCAATATCTGTCAAAAGGAACAGACCTTTCGTCAACAATTCTGTTGGCGTAAAATACCGTTGAATCCCGCGATCCACAAAGGGGGATACGAAATATCCATAGTCGTATGTGCCGCGACAGGTGATCGCTGACCAGTGCTGCTTCAAGTGAGGGACAGAACTCTAAATCGGGTTCAAGAACAGCTCTGGAAGGGCATCTGGAGCAGGTTTCTCGGTTGAACTGAAGCTCGTTCCCTCTACGATAGGGATTTGAGAGAATTTGTAAATACATAGGATTGAGCAACCAATGCCGGAGTACGCATACGTACTCACTACATGTTCCGTAGTTGCCGTCAGCCTTCGACAAAAGAAAAGTAGAGAGAGGTTTGTTAGTTCGAATTTCGAGTAGTAGAGCAAGGTAACTTGAAAACCGAGAGAACTACACCTGAGTGCGGCATTGAGATCCGAGAAAACCGCCTTGTCGCAGCATGGCTCCTATCGCATTGGTCTACAGGACTTTGTCGCTACATTGTTGCAAGATTCGCTCCGAAACCAAGGTCTTGGAAACATCAAACCGTAAGCAAGCTAACCACCTGGTAAAGTATCATAATCACATGAAGTTCGCTCAGCCTAGTTTGTGCATGGCGGCCGTGAAGATTTACATTGAAGCAGATAGTCCGTAGACATTGCGCAGTTTTTTTGGAGCCGCCACCGACGCTAGAACAATGACATTATTGGGGAAGCTACTCCGTGTGCTGAACCAAAACCGTCACCCATGTACTCCCCACGTCGTACACATGCCAGTGTGTGCCATCTCGTACGGACGGAGGAGCCCCGAAGGGTTGCATCTCTGAGCAACACTTGCACCCATTCCCGGGCATCCAGATCCGTCTCGGGAGATAAGAAGTAACGAATCTCAGCGACATCAAAATACGCAGGGCATGCATTACCAGCAGATAAAGACAAAAAACTAAACTTCAAAGACACCCAGAACGCGGGGCGGAGTCTTAGCCCCATAACATGCATGTCCATATGTATAAAGTCGGGTCGCCTGACAGGACTTTCTCCCCTCAGTGTTCCGGGGCCATGGCCTCACCACAGCCAAGTTCCCAGTTTCTCTTCCAGTTCAGCCCAACCACCAGGGTAATGACTCCGTACAACTGTTAATATTCACCCCACGCAAGAAATACTCTGAAGAAGCCCCGTCGAAGGTTTCATTTTTGCGCGCCCTTTTCCCCATGAAAGGCAGAGGTCTCGTGTGGTTGAGGGATATTTTGGCATTTGCTTCTCTGCGATCCGCTAGTACTCCACGGTAATATCATACCTTTCAGAAAAGGATCCAAGCATGAAAGAGACGAAGCTTGCCAGAGACCGGTGATAATAGTCCATTCAGCCGAACAAAGAAGAGAAGTGGGCCATAGCTCGCGCTAAGCCTACCTAGAGCTTATCACCCGTCACTCCATGCCGGGAACGGCGATCGTTTCTGTTTCGGTGTGTTCCCCAAGCTTAATTCCTTAGCGTCAGTCTCTCGCGTTCAAATACATTTGATTTGTGACAGGGCGCCAAATTGCCTAAAAGAAAGTAAAATAACAAAAGACCAATGATTACTGGTGCTCGAAATAGAAATTATTCCGAACATGGCGAATTAAATCCGCCAAGCGACAAAGCGGAAGAAAAAAGAATCTGGAAGGCTGAAAAGTTACGCTTGTCCCTTGCTTGCGAGGTCAAAAGTTTTGATGAAAGTTCTCGTGCGGAGTTCTGAACCTCATATGTTCCATGTACGAATCTCAGTCAATTCCAAGCGTGCGACTTTTAACCATTCAGGGATGTTGCGAGGCGTGGACTCAAAATCTGCCTTATGGCTGTCGTTAGCAGTTTAACCCTTGCCTTGAGGAAGTGGAGCAGTCATTCGGCGCGATCCGTGCGGGGGTTGTTGGGCTGTGACTTTGTAACGACATCGCAGATGCTATACGGCGCACGCTGTACTGTATTGTTAGTACCAAAAGGAAAAAAAGGCATCCCTTCGACGGCATATGCTATATGTCTGATCACCCAAAAACAGCCAGCGACAAGATTCTGCAAATGCTAGCCGCGATGAAAATCTGACCAGAGAAAGATGGGGACAAGAAGCTTCTCTTCACGCAAACCAACCGTCACGCCACCCCCCTGTGCCTTGGCGTTAGCCATGAGCCCGCCACACCGAAACCCGAAGAGCGTTGCGGCTCACAAATAAACAATGTTCTTTGTGGGCTGTACTCCCTATGGAGCAGTCTCCAGCAGTTGTGGAAAGGTTCCCTGTGCAGAGACATTATTAGGAAGCAGATTCGAAGGGAGAAGAAGGCGAAAACATTCCCATATCTTTCAGGGGCGTTTAGGGTTTTGTCCCTCGCCATGAGCCGCCGTGCGTTCGACATGTAAATCCTTACAGGGAACGGTACATCCCGAGTTGTTCCCATGGTGCGCTTGTCCAGAGCTGTCAGCCCTGGCCCCCAACCGGTCTGGTGCTGTAATGACACCCACAACCTGTAAGAAACTCTCCAGAAGGCGCGGGAAGCGTTAATTTCTATTCGCGGACCATGGTTGGGTAGCCTGTGCAGGACTGTGTCCTCCATACTCTGTATACAGTGTATGTAACAATCCCCCCTTCTTTCATTTTACCATCCTCTTCGGTTCAGCTTTAAACGCGACAGGGATCAGTGTGGCAGAAAGGCTGCTTTTGGCCCAGAACCACACAATATATGTACTGTACGTACGGAGTACGTACAAATGTAAATACATACATATAGCTTGCTCCAGCCGCGTTGTTTTTTATTTTTATTTTTCGTCTTTCTTGTTCCTAGAGCTTCAACTGCTTTGGTTGCCGTTGACGCCGGTGGTCGCCCTACCCTTTTCCTTTTTGCTTTCTATCTTGCTCCCACCAGTCGTCAGCAACCTGGCTCTTCTTGATTAAAATGGCTGACAAGGAAGCTATTCGGTGCGTCGAACCCGTCCGCAATGGCGTTAGGACCCAGCAGCTAACCTCCGTAACAGCCATGACTCTGTCAGCGGCTTTGACCGCCGGGAGAGCGTTGCAGCAATGTCTCAAAACCTTACTGGGGAGTGCGTAACTGGATAGATCAAATCTCCATCAAAAGATGAGTAACTTCGCAAGGAATACAAATCTGATAATGTATCCACAGGATTCGAAATCCCTTGAGCGACATCCCAAAGGACCAATTGCTCAGAGATGTTGAAAATTTTGCAAGCAAAAAGAACATGACCGATATCCTGCCACTCCTCCAAAAGGGAGCATTGGTAGCCCAAAATCCGGCCGACTTCGAGAACATCCCCGAGCTTGATGAGTCCGATCGGGAGGCTCTGCGCAATGAAGTGACCCATCGCTGGAGACACCCATGGGCTCTGTACTACACCATCGGCCTTAACTCCATCGCAGCAGCTATTCAAGGTTGGGATCAGACAGGTAAATAGTTAGCTTGTGGATTTGAGGGCCAAGTATACTTTGCGCCACTTTGCTGATACATGCGCAACAGGCTCCAACGGTGCCAATCTCTCCTTCCCGGTTGAATTTAATATCCCCGACTCAGGATGTTCCGATGAGGCACTCTGCGATCGGAATGCATGGATTGTGGGATTTGTCAACTCGATTCCCTACATTTCTATCGCTCTGTTGTGAGTATAATTGTGTCATTGGGATCATCGCCGTTTTGAGGCTCATTCTGACGATTGATAGCGCTGGCTGGCTTTCGGATCCCATCAATGACTGGATCGGCCGTCGAGGCACTATCTTTATCGCCGCGATTTTCAGTCTTCTCGCTCCAATCGGATCTGCTGTCACGCAGAATTGGCCGCAACTTGTTGTCTGCCGTATTATGCTGGGGATCGGTATGGGTCTGAAAGAGGTCACTGTTCCAGTCTTCTCCGCAGAGAATACGCCTGCCAATGTTCGTGGTGGTCTTGTCATGTCGTGGCAAGTATGGACGGCGTTCGGAATTTTCCTAGGAACTTGCGCAAACCTGGCTGTTGTCAACGTTGGAGCAATCACCTGGCGACTGCAGTTGGGCTCTGCGTTCATTCCAGCTGTGCCTCTCGTGCTAGGTATCTATTTCTGCCCAGAATCACCTCGTTGGCTCCTCAAGAAAGGCAAGTATGCACAAGCATACGCGTCCCTTCTTCGACTCCGTAATACCCCCCTGCAAGCCGCCAGAGATCTTTATTATGTTCATGCTCAGCTCGTTCATGAAGAAGTCGTTCTTGAAGAATCTGGCCTTTCAAAGAAAAACAATATGCTCACGCGGTTCATTGAACTGTTTACTATCCCCCGCATCCGACGTGCAACTCAGGCTTCGGGTATTGTCATGATCGCCCAACAAATGTGTGGAAGTAAGTCGATTGCCCTGACAAAGTTCGTAGAGAATGGCCTGACCGAGGTCCTGTTGAATAGTCAATATCATCGCTTTTTATTCCGCTTCCATTTTTGAACAAGCCGGGGCTTCCAACATCGAAGCTCTTCTTGCTTCGTTCGGATATGGCCTGATAAATTTCCTCTTCGCCTGGCCGGCAGTGTGGACTATCGACACATTTGGCCGTCGAGGACTCCTCCTCTTCACCTTCCCTCAAATGTTCTGGACACTACTGGCTGCCGGAATGTGTTTCTTCATCCCAGAAAGCAGCAAGGCCCATCTCGGCCTCATCGCCTTCTTCATTTACCTCTTCGCGGCCTTCTACTCCCCGGGTGAGGGTCCAGTTCCCTTCACCTACTCTGCTGAAGTCTTCCCGCTGTCCCATCGTGAAATCGGTATGTCTTGGGCTGTGGCAACGAATAACTTTTGGGCGTCCGTGCTCGCACTCACCTTTAAACGTTTGATCCGAGCGTTCACACCGCCTGGTGCATTCGGTTTCTACGCTGGTCTGAACATTGTAGCGCTAATCCTCATTTTCCTCTTCCTGCCTGAGACGAAGCAGCGTACCCTCGAAGAACTTGATTACGTCTTTGCCGTGCCGACGCGAACCCACGCAAAGTACCAGCTCACCAAGGTGCTTCCATGGTGGTTCAAGAGGTATATCTTGATGAGAAAGCACGCTGTCTGTCCTGAGTTGTACCACTTGGATGCGCCTGGACATGTGAACCAGCGTAGAGAGAAGCATGCAGGTGTATCCAAGGCCTGAACAGGATTTTCATCGTCCAAATTCCAGAACAACAATTGATGTTTTGGTGTTAAGGAGAATACGGTCGTGGCACAAAGCTCAAATTTCTTTGCGCCTAAATCTTTGATGACTGGTCGCATTTTCCCTAAACCTAAAATCCTTACCCAGTTCGCTTCATATGTTTATTTTTCATATACCCTCTTCCTGTCTATCATATTGGCAAGAGGCGAGTTTTGAGATGCGTGTGGCTGGCTTTTTTATCATTAGTAATCCATTTTCTATTAATTCCTTCAGAGAATGATAATATACTCGAATGCAAATGCCTCAAAAATTTGTTCTTCAACCTGTCCTTGTCAAAATGGAAGTCTGAGCCGAGCAAGTGGCCAAATCCCGCTGCCTCCCAATAGGATCCAAAGGACAAAGGGACAAGGGGCCTGGAGAACAGGAAAGGATGATGCAAAACTTTGACAGGGCAGGGATTGTCCTGGTCAGCCGTGCGAGTTGAAATCATACTCCATACTCCGCGCAGAGTCTGCCATACGCGCAATGATGAAAACAATCTCACTACATTGTGCCAAACATGAGCACAAGGTGCTTGTTGTTAGATGCTACCGATATGATACGTTAACGGAATCCGTAGATGGTTTAAAGAGATGGGAGTCGAACCCGTCGGCTGTCTGGAACGAAAGGAAAAGTTATTGTTGTGGGGTAGAATCCACCCATGGCATGTGTTGATGGGTGGCTCGCGCCGTCAATCAGAATTCTCGCCTGTTGGACTGCCCAATTTGTTCGACGCAACAGTGCAGCTAAATAATTATTACGGTTTCCCGACACCTCATCAATGAGGATCTGCCGCTTAACTCTATAGCTAAAAAGCCTCTACGAATCTGCATCTGAGCCGGCCGGCTTGTTGTAACCATGGAGGCTCCTCTGCGTCTTCGAATACTTCATGGATCTGATCTTTATGCTGGCGGAGCTTGGTTAATTACTGTAGGACTATGTTCCTTCGAATACCACGGTCACCACCTGCCCACAATCTATCGCCGAACGGACACATCTTCAGAGCTTTCTTTTTCCGATGCCCTTTTCGAGCTTCCCAAGACAACTACAATCCTATTAACAGTAGTCACAGGGAACCAGTACCAAACGTTTCTAAGGATACCTTTCGCTTTGGGGGTGGAAGACATATCCTGCATATCCCAGTTCTACACAACCCTTGGAAGCATTCTTCGAATACATTGAAGAGGACTGTTGTTCAACCTATGAAGGAGAAGATGCATTGCTCATCCTGGCCTTGATGTCTCAACATCTCAAGCCACAGCACCTTGTTCGATCCAGAAACTGTCGGCCAATGGCGAAGACTTGGATCGCGCGCTGAAGAAGGTGGGCTGGGGATTCTCGGGAAGTTTCCATAAGCTGTTCTGCTCTGCTGATGATATCGAGTATATGGTAATCCAATGCAAATGCTGGTCATATGGAAGGCTCAGAATGGGTAATGTTCCGCTGGCCATTGCTAGAACAATGGCTTTTCACTTCTGCCCTAGAAGCATCCTATATGTTCATGACGTATGGAGCACTGAGTAGCGCAGATCCCCACAGCTCTCTGGCCGACGAACTGCCTCCGGAATTCTAGAGCGGTATAGAGTACAGGAAGTCCTGATGTCCAGCCTCGACTGGTAATCCTAGTTTTGGCTGGACCAGCCGCCAAGAATAATATAAAGTTTAAGATGGTGAGTGCTCCTGATAATCACCACCTGAGAAATCAAAGGTATTGTCTTTTGAGACACGGGACACATGACTGCATTTGAAATGCCCAAGGTGCCTTGTTCTGGAGATAAGTCGGAGTTTCGTCCAGCCTGCCGTGAAGGACTCAGAGCTTCCTAGGATGGAGCAAAGGCTGCGGGGTACAAGACTGCCTGTTACTGTGAAGATCATATCTATGTAAACTATCTCATGAGACCAGCAGGAGATAGAAATCTGGGAGGTAAGATTCCAGACCTTGCCTGGACTGCCTACCTCCATGAGCATACACACATCGATTATGCCGCTGCTAAGCTGTGTAAATTGAAGATCTCTCCATGACATTGTTATTTCCAAGTTTTCACTTATCTATTTGTTCTTGTGATGACACTGGAGCTGGGTGGAATAACTAGCCTGTACTCCGTAGAGCTGAGCAAGTTCGTTGAATGTTGTGGCCCAAGCTCTTAGCATCATCGTCATCATCTGTTTGGGGGGGTGGGTGGCATGTGATACCAGTAGGGTTGAGACCACTTCTGCTTCAACCCTATTTTCCCTGGTTGACACACCTCTTCCTGCACATCATCTTTTGCGCCCTGATTCCGTCCGTGCTGCATTCTTAATTGTTGCCGTGTTATTTAAACCCCGATGCCCGCTTGAAGCAGCCCGCCTCCAGGCAAGCACGTTTCTCCGCAGTTGATACGAACTCCACCAAAAAACAGGCAGCTCTCAAAGGGCTCGATTCTCAGAGCATACGCGCCCGCAACCCAGCGCGTTCGGTTCAGAGTTCACTCTGTACCAGGCCTTATTTCCTCTGCTAAGGGACTCTCGAAACGATCGCCGGCATGCCTGAACCACTCTCGTCCCCGAACCCGATCCCTCCCCGCACTAGCTCAACCGGTGTCACAAATGGAGCAACCTACTCGCCTCCCGCACAAAATATAATACTGAAACCCGTCTCCGAGGAAGAATGGATCGCATCTTCGTCTAGAAAGTCACACAACCGCACCTTATCTCCCAGCTCGACCAACGGCTGCGGCGCCCCCTGTGAAGCGAAGATCTGTACCAAAACGGTGATCAGCAATATCGACGGAATGTGGTCCGTGGAGAAGGAGAGGATCCTGCTGGGTCCCTATGAATATATGGTACACCAGCCGGGCAAGGACATACGCAGACAGCTCATCGCGGCGTTTAATCGCTGGCTACAAGTTCCCGAGGAGAGCCTGGCTGTTATCACCAAGGTCGTGTTGATGCTTCATACAGCTTCTCTGCTGTAGGTGTAACGCTATTTTTCTGTTGCTCTCACGGCCCAGAGACACAGTGAATGATAATGAATAGAGCTAATAGTGCGGTTTTGATATGCAGTGTAGATGATGTCGAAGATTCTTCGGTCCTGCGACGAGGTGTTCCGGTAGCGCACAATATTTTCGGGACCGCGCAAACGATTAATTCAGCAAATTATATATACTTCTTAGCATTGGATGAGATCCAGAAGCTGCGAAATGCCGATGCGATCGGAATATTTACTACGGAACTATTAAATCTACATCGAGGCCAGGGAATGGATTTGTTTTGGAGAGACACGCTCACATGTCCGACCGAAGAGGACTACCTAGAGATGGTGGGAAACAAGACGGGAGGATTGTTCAGATTGGCTATCAAGCTCATGCAGGCTGAGAGCGAAGTCTCCGTGTAAGCTCTGACATTATACCTGCTCAGACACATGTTTTCTAACAACTGCTCGACAGTGACTGCATCCCCCTCGTGAACTTGATGGGCCTCATCTTTCAGATCTGCGATGACTATCTCAACCTCTCCAACCCAACCTACAGCAAAAATAAAGGCCTTTGCGAAGACCTAACAGAGGGAAAGTTCTCCTTCCCCATTATCCACTCGATCCGCTCCCAGCCAGATAACCTACAACTTATTAATATCCTAAAACAAAAAACGAAAGACGATGAGGTCAAGCGGTACGCGATTAATTATATGGAGAGCACCGGCAGTTTTGCGTATACGAGAAAAGTGGTCTCACAGCTGCGTGATAATGCTTTAATGGTGATTGACGAACTTGAAACTACCTTAGAGCAAGCGCAAGATGGCCAGAGTTCCAAAGCTGAAGGGAGCGGGGAGATGGTGCGGTCGATTCTGAACAGAATCGTTGAGCCAACCCTGAAGCCATGATTGGAGGTCTAAAGTTCTTTTCTCTTATGCATAGCTCATATTTTTCGGTGGTCATACGTCCCGGTGTTTTCCTGTATGGGTCAGGGCGGAGGGTGTTTTCATATGATATCAAATGGTGCGGGAAGGATATTTGGTTTGGAGAGCCCCTTTGAATCAAGGTTGTTTTCCTTATGGTATGGGCAATGGTGTTTCGCGTAAAATTGTCATTAGGCGGGGGCAACTCACTCATTCGCGTACATATCCGATATTGGGATTTCCGGATAGAAGCAAGCGAGTTCGAGGATATTGTTTCCTAGGCTGATCGCCTTTAAGCTGGTGTTTGGTATATATTTCTAAGCGACCCGCAAACCTAACTAAGGGTATCAACAAATAAAATCTCTAAAGCAAATATGAAAATAAGATCCCGAGAATTCACCCCCGCTATCCACTTATCGAAATTCCTAAGAAATGTAGATTGCAAAAGCAATTCCAAAACAAAAGCCCCGACAAATCGACGTGGGTCTCACATAACGATGCAGCAAGCCTTCTCCAACTTTCGTAAAAGTGTAGGCACGGCCCTACGAACGGCCTCTTCAACAAAAGTATTTCCTTGCTGCTGCTGCTGCTGCTCATGGGCTTGGGGAGCATGTTGCGGGTAGTGATGCTGTGGCTGCTGATGTGGAGGAGGATGATGAGGTTCATAGGGCGGCATCTGCGCCGGTCCACCGGTCAAATTGACGTATATCCTTCCCGCGTTTTCTTCCGTACAATATTGCAAGCCGAGATCTCGGCATACTTGCTCCACGCGCGGTTTCAGCTTCTGGACGTGGTTGGCTGAGTGGTTTCCCTTGCCAACAATCCTGCATTATCTCGTAAGTTTCCCTCCCTCGTGTTATTCGCTCTTAAACGCGTGCAACGCTCGAGCGGCACCAAACTTACACGTGAAGATGCGTCTGCCCATGCGCCTGCGCATACTTGATCCGCTCTTCTAAAATATCTTCCGCTTCCTCCATGAATTGACCATGCAAATCGATCGTGTCGTCCGGCACCCGACCGTTGGCGTTGTTCTCGCGGAATATAAACTGGGACGCTTGTCGGTTGTATTCTTCCATCTTTCGACCGTGGGCCTTTCCTTGCTCGGAAAGTTCTTTGGCGAGGGCGCCATCGCCGGCGGCGTAGGCTTGTTGGGACTGTTAAGGGGCATGTCAGCTTTCATGCTAATCAGGGTACGCATATACGGGGTATTGGGGCGAGAGTGAAGGGGAGTTGGCTAGGAGAAACGAACGCGCTCAAAGCATGAGGAGCGCTTTGCTGCCTCTTGTCCGGCTAAGCCGCGAAGGCGGTCATATTCGGCTTCAGCGTCGCTGCTCTGCTCATGGTTGAAGGCTGGGGTTCGAGGACAATGGTTAGCATTTTGGGATTGGGCGGTGGCCTTTTATCGATATCAGGGAGACTCGGAGTATTGCTCACCTCTTGGGCCGAGGTACGACATATTATGCGACATAGTATAAATTGGAGTAGATGGGGTGAAATGGCTTGTGAGTATTCCGTACCTCAGCCTTCGATTGACGGTCGTGTCCGCTTCAATTAAGCCGCAGCCCTACGAAAGTCCGGGGATGCGCAGGAACACATTCCCGACCATCATGGGTCCAAGTGCGTGAGCGATGCTACAAACCTTAATTTCCGGTGGATAAAGATCTGGCCCGTATTTTGCACTTTGTAAACAAGCCCTAGTGTGGGGTGAGTTCCGCGGGCTCGCTTCCTCTCTTTCCCATACAATTCCATGATCTTCTTGAGGTTCATACTATTATTTTAGCAGTCCTCAAACGCAATGAAAGAGCACAGTACCCACAAAGACTGTGAGAGAATGGACTTTGAGGATACTGGCGTGTCGAATGAGATACCGACGAAATTCCTGGGCTGTTGGGTGCATAGACAGTAAGGGGAACGCCATTGGTAAACATATCCCAGGTACTATGGACATCTACGACATTCCCAGGATATTGAGGGAAAATAAAGGCCTAACTACCCCATTTCACGGGCGTCATATTCGTCGTCGAGCCGAAGGCTCGTTTGAGCGGCTATATGAGTCCAAACTAAAAGCAGCCGTCCATTTTATCGAAAAGCTTCTACTCCGCTTTTCCCTACCAAGCGAATGAATCGTCGAAAGAGATGAGAGACATGGTCAGCGGCGCCTTTAGTACGGTAAAGTAACCACTACTTGGTTGATTCTATATTCTATATCGTTTCGGAGGGCCACCTCAATGTTAATGTGGCGATAGGGGGTGGCCGCTGGTAGCTCATTTTTCTAACCATTAACCCAGCTGGGGGCTTCACTAATTTGACTCTCGTTCGTGCCTACGTGGAGGAAAAGGGCGCTGCTTCGAAACCCTCTGGGCATTCTGCGGTCCCTTGTAAGATATCGCTTGAAATGCCAAGCAGGGCACAAACTCTGCAATGTGTTGTTGGCAGCTCTCCCTCCCACAAGCTGTTTGAACTCCTGTCGGAGGGATATCACGAGATGCCTCTGCATGTCTGAGCCACAAAATCAGAAGTTTAGCCTGATCTTCATGGCGTTGTTTGATAGGCGCGCGTGAAGCGAAGCTGCAATAGCTCATGCAGTAGTTCCGGAGTCTCAACCCGATAAACTATGTTTGGAGCATGAACCTGGAACTCTGAGGACTCTCGCCTTTCCTTTTCTGGAGTGAAGGCTGCTGTGTGCCTCGTCTCGACAACTGATAGAGCTGCTCGGAAGCTTCTTTACTCATGTTAAATCCCCATATATCCGGTCAGCTGGAGTCCGGGAGAATAATCGGTATGAACAAAGTCATAGAAGCACCTGGGAAATGGCCCGTCTCGACGATAATTCCGCAACCTCCGACGTTGTCTATACTGGCTTTTGGATCGACTATGATGGCAGTGCTGTTGGCAAATATCGACTAACTTTGAAAACAAACCAGGCCCTCATGCTCTTGGCTGCACTTACAGTTCTAGTCACCCTCTCTGCCGGTCGCAGCTGGAAACTGTGGTGTTCAGCAGTCCACTATGTACTCCAGTATCGCCAGGCCAAACCTTCTTCTCGCACATCCTCTATCCGACAACAACAGGTTGTTCTGCGAAATTCAGAGACCGCAGGTGGTAGTCTCTTTGCTCTCTTGGGCCTTGCGATGCAGAAGCGCGATCCCGCCAAACGAGAAAAACTAGTTCTGATCTCCTTATCTCTTTTACACTGGGGTATATTTGTCGTTCTCGGAATCCTGACGTCGCAGATCGCCACTGGGAGGACTGTAAGGTCGATAACGACGAATCACTGCGGGAGCTGGTTGGCAAAGGCTATTCCGCCACTGAATGCGTCGTCGATGGAACAACGGGAAGCGTCTGCTACGCTCAACGAGCTCGACCTGAACTCAACGTTAGAAGCCGATGATTATGTCCGACGCTGCTACACCTCCAAAGTCGACGGTGCTGTCGGATGCAACTTGTTATTTAAACGGTTTCTCCCTCATAAAATCGAGAACAACAAATGCATATTCTCCAAGGATGTCTGCGCAGAGGCTGATGGGATTGCAGTGTCATTCGACTCTGGGAATATCTCGTTCTCTGACCTTGGATTGAACTCCGCTTTGTCAGATCAGCTTTTCGTTCGCCGTCGGTCGATCTGCTCACCCCTACCTGCAGAACCTTTCATGTACACCAATGAGCAGGCGATCCAGTCACTGGGGCTGCTCAAGAGTGTCCTCGATGATCCAGAAGAGATCCGGGCGTTTTCGCATGTTAAATTAGAGAAGCACACGAACTGGACCACCCATTACCGCAACGCCCTTTCCCAGACGTACGAAGTCTACACCGAACTAGCGGGGGATGCTAGCTTAGCATCTCCGCTCCTGCAACCGGAGAGACCTTCCATGCAAGTATCAGTGATCACGGTGATGGGAGAGGCAGTTGTGTTCTATGCACCCTTCTCTGACGCATTCTTTAACTTCGATCGTCGAATAGACACGATCGATACCAGGGGGAACAATTATACATATTACAGAATCGGACGGGCCATAAACAGCGTCGCTTGCCAGGAAATGGTAATGTATTGCAGCAAGTATACAAACTTCTGCACGTCGTGGGAAGGTGTCTATACGGTCAGCAATTCGTATCATATCTTGGCCGGCGATCGCTCTTCAGACACTGTAATTGAAACTGCGTTCGCCGCTGTTAATCTGGCGATGGTACATTCGACCCTGTTCAAATCGATTAGCAACCGCGGAGCTTCTGCACTGCTCGCCACCCGCTTCCTCTCCAACTCAAACCAACTTCGTCTTGTCCCAGGGCAATGGAAAGTCGAAGTGGAGCGCTGGTTCCAAGTGGCACTTGCACGGATTCAGTTGGCAGTGCTAAGATTCGTGAAGACTCCGGGACTGGATAGGACGCGTGTCGACAACACCTGGGACTTGTTACCGGTGCTAAAGGGCGTGTGCTCGATTATTAAATTCAACTCTGCCGACCACACCACTCTGAGCAGTCTTGGAGTTCTGATAGTCGTGGCGTTCAGCGTGTTGCTCACCACGCTGAGTATGTGGGACGTGATTTTCACATCACTAGTGTCTAAGAGAGTCCTCACTGCATGGAATAAGGACCATGCCCTTGAGCTCCTTGCAGCTCTAAATAAGGCGGTAAGTTGTACACCTATGCCCGGAGACAGGATAGGGGTTTTCCCATATCTAAACAGGACCACGCTCTAGGACGCAGGACAGACTTTGGAGCGTAACGAAGGAAGTGGCACGTTGGAGGACAAGAAGCCGCACGATATGGAGGGAACTGCGACGACGAATCTCCTGAGTCCATCCGAATCATTGAAGTCTGGCTTCTCTATACCACGGAAGCCAGTTCCCTCGTCATTGGTACCTTGAGATGCGGAAAAAGAAGATCACCGCCGCGCCCGCAGGTACTGTGTGCAATGATTGGAATGGGAGAAAATGGGAGTTAGACACTTGCATTTTCGAGGTTTCTATGGAATAACCAGCACTCAGCATCGTAGTATGTCACGACATTTTCATCTTTAGCTACGGTCTTCACAGAGCATTCCATGCCAAACATCTGGCGCGCCGCCCACGGCAAGGAGCTGGAAAACATCTTTTGTGTAGAGGCTTGGCGCCACATCTCATTGGCTGTCTGTTGAATTCAAAGTTGCAAAAAAATGGATCCAGTTGCGTCATATCTTGGCACAAATGCCAAGAGCTTTAGCGTCCGTGTTTAGCGCATACACATGGAACGCGAAGGAACGCGGTATCATTGGCCAATTGCCGTGCTGGTTCATGGTATTGATGGTCATTCGCATATGCGAAATACGGAGTACTCTGGAGGATATTTATGAGGACCTTTGGCACAAGCATTCAGTTAACTGCAGCGAGAAGGCTGTATGTAGCCGCTAGTGGACGAAATCAAACCGGAAAGCTGCCAGCATAGTGGGCAAAGCCCGCTCCCGACTCAAAAATACAGTCTCGTAACATACTCCGTAAAACTCTCCTCGCAGTTATTACCAAGTGTTGACGGGGATTTCAAAAGGATTGCCCCACCATTTGCTTCACGAGAACGGACCAATTTTGCACTGTTTGCTTCCATTGTAATCGCTGGGCAAAATTGCGTGATATCATTTCGTCCTACTTCATCACCTCCTAATAAAGGAAATAGCTCAGCTTCAAGATATTGAAGCAGCAATATCTACAGAGTCACACGTATCTCCTGCTGAAGAATAAGTCGTCCATACCGAATTACCCAGCGTTGCCTGACCCTTCGACCACCCGAAATCAAGTCACCGCCAAGCTGCCCCACCGAAGCTGCTCGACAAGTTGCATCGAGGGAAAGCCAAAGCGAAAGAGGGGCAGGCATCATATCAATTTCACCGTATCAAGGTTTTGAATCCCTGGTTGAACGAAGGCCGGGCAGGACAAGGATATCTCGGGAGCTTTCATCGAGACGTTAATCACAAAATCAACGTGCCGACCGATCAATCCCAGCCATGGCTCCTCCGGTCCCCAAACCCCTTGCGATCACAGACGTCCTCCCACTCCCTAACTCATCGGTGAAAATACCTCGCCTGGGCTTCGGCGTCTACAAGTCTCCAAAACACTTATGCGAGAAATCCTGCATCACCGCTCTCCAAGTCGGATACCGCCACATTGACACTGCTCAATTCTATGGGAATGAGGCGGAGGTCGGGAACGCGATTCGCGACTCTGGGCTGGATAGGAAAGACATTTTCGTAACTACAAAGATAATATCAACGGCAGGATCTCCAGAGGCAACGTATGAGAAAGTACTGGACAGTGTACGAAAGATTGGTGGAAACGACGGATATGTCGACTTGTTTCTGATCCATTCAGCAAGCGCGGGGCCGGCTGGTAGAAAAGAAATGTGGCTTGCTCTTGAAAGGTTACTGGAAGAAGGAAAAACAAGAAGCGTTGGCGTGAGTAACTATGGCGTGAAGCACATCGAGGAAATGAAGGCCTATGCGAAAACATGGCCGCCGCATGTCAATCAAATAGAGGTACGCTGCAATCCATCATCCCATGCTTACAAGGAAGAGAATTTTTTTTGGGTTAACAGGACACTTCCTTCGTTAAGCTTCATCCGTGGTGCCAACAAAAGACCATCGATGCCTATTGCAAACAGCATGGAATTGTTGTCCAAGCGTACTCGCCGCTGGTCCGGAACTATAAAGCCAATGAACCAACCCTAGTAGCATTAGCCCAGAAATATGGAAAGACCACGGCCCAGATTCTCTTGAGATATGCGTTGCAGAAGGGATGGGTTCCCCTTCCCAAGAGCGATAATCCAGAGAATATCAAAAGTAACGCTGATTTGTATGACTTTGCGCTCGCCGAGGAGGATATGGCAACCCTCAACGGCCTGGACCAGGGTGCGGATGGTGCAATTGTTCAAGCCGTTGAAAACAAGTAAAAAATACATTCTATATTTTGATTGGTTATAGACGCTTTAATCTTTAATTTTATGAAAGCTGGATCTTAGTTTCTGGCCCGGGAATTCGCCCGCTATTTTGTCAGTCGTGTCTTTCCATGAGGTACCAATTGATAGATTGCAGCGTGGTCCGCGACGGGTTAACATCATGTTTTGATGACACTATCCATGCCAACCGCTGACGGATATATTGCTTGTTAATGGGTTTGCCGGATTGCAATCGTATGTAGGACCCTAGTTGGTGAGCCCAGCCGCCCGAGATGTGATGGCAGATGGAGAGAGCACCTACCATCGTCGTCGAAGAACAGACAGATTATCATAAGAGCTGTTCCAACAGATAAATCTTTCCCTGTATCGCATACTATGACCAGAGACTGGGACAAATCTTCTTCTAGGTTGCGGGATACGAATTTCTCAACCTTGTCTAGGACCTTTCGTAAATTGCGGCTCCCAAGTTTACCTGCGACGCAGCCCAGATTTAATACTGGACCCTGTGACAGGTTGGGGTCGCCATGACAATCAATGATCAAGTCGAAGGGGATATCCGGGACGTTGAGCGATTCGCTTTTTCCAACAAAGATGTTTTTGGTTGGTTTGATCAATGTTGCCTGCTCAGTTGAAGAAGTTTGACGTTGCTTCTCAACCAAGCCTCCAATCAATTCCGGTAGCGTCTCCTCCCCGGATTTGAGGAGAAGTTCTCGATTTTTCCAAAATATATCCGGCGTGAGACCACATGCCCACCCTTCACTGTCATCGCCTGCGCCCTGGATGTACCCACCTTCTGACATCTCAGCACCCCGCACGCGTTTCGAGGCGGAACACAAAACCATTAGATGAAAATTCCTATTTTGGGGGTATTCAGGATAAAAATAATCCCTTGTTGCCCACGATAAGCGGACGGGTTTTCCCATCCTATTCTTCAGCGATTCCAGGTCCAGTCCCAGGGCCTTGATAACATATGATCAGATCAACGCGACTCGGCCACGCTCTGTCAGAAAGAAGATGCTTACCTTGAATGCAGCCACAAACCCGTCAATTCGGCCTTCAATTTGTGACTCTTCGGAGGCGCCAAGGAAGTCTGGCGGGAACTGAACATTATGGTATGCAGGCTCATCGGGAAACAGAGTTTTGTTCATCACTGCAGCCCAGATAGGAGCAGTTTTCGAGAGGGCATCAGGGATTGCTAGAAGATGATTTAACAACAATGTCAGGGATATATATATGAAGAAACAAATATTCCTACCCTTGCCCCTTCTTGTCGAGTCCACGACGATGCATCTGGGGCAGATTTTAGCTCTGTTGAGCTTCCATATACTCTATATGCCAGAAGGATTTCTTACCCTCCGTATTGACTAAGAACGTCGAGAACCTGTAGGTTGAGCCGACGGAGGCTGAAGTCCCATTGACCGGCATGGCCATCGGTGCTTTTGAAATACGCGCTTCCTACTTTTCTCTCGGGTTGAATATACCAACTGCCACACCGTTCGTTTGCTATTAATGGTAGACGATAGTGCTCGGAGACTCCCTGGGCAAACTGCGAGTCGCTTTCGATAGATTTCAGCCTATTGGTTATAGACAACGCTGATCTCTTGAGATCTGAAAGGATATGCGACAGACTCTGAGCCTGGGAGGGAAACTCAATTTCGGAAATCGAGACCGGGTAGGCGGTCGATCCCGCCATGCCTTGGGGGCGCACGGCAATGGCTGGAGATGGGTGGGTTCAAGGCCGAAACGCTCCGAAATGTAACTCAGTATTCTCCGGATGTGGACTGCAAACTGACACACTGGTTCGACACGTGCTGGGAATCTGCGAGCGCGGCCAGCACAAGGGAGTGAGAGTACGGAAGGATTGCGCGTTTTTCTCTACTCTCCTACTCCATCCACGGCTCAAAGATTCTCCCCCAGACGACACGATTAACCAAATTAGGCAGATCCAGGCAAGGCGTTGGGGTAGTTAATTATCCTGTGAGCATCTAGCATGCCCCGTCTTCAAAACGTCAGTGCCTCCTCCAACCTTTATTTTTTTTTTTTTTTTTTTTTTTTCCCTGGGACGTTTGGCTTTGAATTCTACCCGAGGAGGGGTTTCTCCACCTCCCGCCGGCTGGGGCGAGTGTGCGGCTAGAATTGCGCGGTATGGATCTCAATTTCGACGCCGTGGATCAGGCTGGGTCGGCGAATGACGACAATTGGGCTGTTCAGAAATTCAAATCAAATTCAAAGTCAACATCATGTTGTTATCCTTGCATTCAAAAATGCGAGTATTGTTGCCTGCATTCCCGTTACTAGAGCAAAATCCACACCATACATATAACCCGGTGACGGTCGCATCCATGTTGCTTTGCGATCTGATGTAGCGCTGCCCCTCCCCCTCCACAAGCAGTTTGTCTCGCACGCGGCGCCACCAGCCCCTCCGAACGGAACTTTCCCAGTTGTTTGCTGTTTATTCTCACGCATTCGAAGCTTGTAGGAAAAACCTTTTTAATCTTCACTCACCTGCCTAGAAATATTCCTCGCTTCTCTTTTTTTTATTTTTTTCTCTGCCAACTCCTCACCTGTCAAGCACTTCTCCAGCCTGCCCTTCGCGCTTAGCCCTGGTGTTCCTCTATACTTGTCCCAATTGTACTCAATATCCATCAATCTTATATCGATCAACGGAATACGAAGACCAGCGGTCTAAACAAAGGCTTCCACCATGCCGAAGGTTAGTTCTCCATCTCCCGCACCTGATTGCCAGGGAATGATCGTGGTTCCATGTCCACTCACTGCATGCCGGCTTGTGGGTGTGGAGACCTCTAGTGGGTTCATGCTGCTGACTTTGTTTCTTCCTTTACCTGTAGATCACTGAGATTCTCTTCGACTGCGACAATACCCTTGTCCTCTCCGAAGAACTCGCTTTCGAAGCATGCGCCGATATCGCCAATGAGATCCTCGAAAAGAACAACATCGACCATCGCTACACCGGCGACCAGCTCATCGTCGACTTCGTCGGCCAAAACTTCCGTGGGATGATGGTCTCGCTGCAGGCCAAATTCAACTTTACTCTGACCCCAGAGGAACTCGAGGCCTATGTGAAGGAGGAAGAAAACCGTGTAATCGCCAAGCTCGTTGCCAAGGCAAAGCCCTGCGTTGGCGCCAACGAAGAGCTCGAGAAGCTCGCAAAGTCCGGAAAGTATGGCCTCGCCGTCGTCTCTTCCTCGGCTCTTCGCCGTGTCAGGGCATCGATCGAGAAAGTCGACCAGGAGAAATACTTCCCCAAGGATCATATCTTCAGCGCTGCCACCTCGCTCGAGAAGCCCACCACCAAGCCGGACCCAGCCATCTATCTGCACACCCTCAAAGTTCTCAACAAGGAGCCTACCGAATGCGTTGCCATTGAGGACAGCAAGAGTGGTGCATTGAGTGCCATTCGTGCTGGAATCCCGGTCATCGCTTACGTCGGCAGCTATAACGGCACCACGAAACAAACTGAAATGGCCAAGACTCTTCTTGATTTGGGTTGTAAGGTCGTTATGAAGGACTGGGCCGAATTCGAAAAATGCCTTGCTGAAATCGAGGCCGCCTAAAGAAAAAAAGCGGTTTTATGGGGACGCCTCTTCATAGCGCTCTACCCTCGCTTTTCGCCTCACGACGGTAATACCTTGAAACGATGGGAAAAAAAAAAAAAAAAAAAAAAAAAAAAAAAAGGATGAAAAGTTAATAAATAAACGCAATGCCTGCCGATGCACATGTTGCGATACACGCGATACAGCTCCTAGCATTTTTATTTTCTGATCGCTCTCGGAACATCGATCAACAATCGCCAAGGGAAAGGCGTACTGGAATGTAATTTCATTCTACTTGCATTAGACAGGAAGCATAACGAGCAAATCAAATAAAAACATAGATGCCGCACCACCAATTCATTCCAAATACGCAGTACGGAGTACTCCGTACTCATTCCTTATTCATACTATTAATGTGTCTGTGTCGCTAAAAAGGGCCTTCAGCCTTGTTAGTGATGGAGCTATTAACTTTGTACACCGCACTTCCACATTCCAGAAAAAAATTCATCTTGAAGTTCGGGGGGGGGGGGAGGAAAAGATGAATCTAGATCTATCAGTCACTGCATATCACTGGGCGAGCCTTTCTGCCCGAAGCAAACAACTGCGCCGCACTCTTACGATGTGGTCATCCCAACAGCCGCGAAGTACTCCGTACATAGTTCCTCAAAAAAAAAAAAAGAAGAAAAAAAGGAGGAAGAATTGGCATGACACTGAATCAGCAGGATCAAAGCGCAATAGCGATAAAATGCCGTGTGCTCCGTACTCCGTAAGACTTTCGCCTTCTTTTCAAGAATGAAGCCTGGGATGCGGTGGGAAGCTCTATGGAGTAGTATTAAATTCGTCCGTGCGACGGGAAAGGGGGGAAATTGAGTTTTGCGCCCAGTCGAGCCGGCAAGCGGAGATAAGGTTGGCGGAGTTGAAACGAAATCCCGTCCCACACAACGTTAATACATAGTCCCTCAAACCAACGCATTTCCTCCCAAGTACGGAGTAAATGGGTACGGATACGTTGAAAGAGATCGGATTGGACATTTTGGAAAGAGTGCATTGAATTTAGAGCTATTATGAATGCGAATGGAAGCAAGAAAATCCTTGTTAAACCCTCAACGCCTTGGCCAGAGTCGCCCGCCTGCAATTCCAAAAAGCGCCTGACGTCGAGTTATATCTACATCAAAATGATCCCCAGTGCAGAGATGAGGCAGGGAAAAAGGATAGTCCAATAGTGGGACAATGCCTTTGAGGCCGCCGAGCTTGGAGTTGCGGGATGGGAAGAACTTTCTGCCTGCCTTTGAAAGCCGTTACCTACTGTCAATTCTCCAATCGCTGAGAAATAACATACCTTACAGCCTTCCCACCTTCAAAATACGTTATAGTCTTGCTCAAAAATCGGGCAGTGGGCTCCACTGCCAAGGGAAGCGGATAGTGTTTGAGGGAGCAGGTCTGCAGGGCACCCTCGTCAGGAAAGGCTTCCACATATGCTCCCGCTCCCAAATCTATTGACGTGGGCTTGAAGAGGAGACCTTTTGGATCCGGTCCGGACGGATGAGTTGGCATCGATATCGAAGTTGGCTGTGGGAAGGACTCAAACGGGACAAATGAGGGTATGATCGCGGTCACGCAGGCTGTCTCGTCATCTTTTTCGGTTTGTAGCCTCCCTTGCCAGGTGTATCCATCAGCCCAGGAGGTGAAACTGGTCGGAAATGCCCTGCTGATATCTTAGCTGAGTACCCCAATCTATGAGAACCGTTGTACTAACAGGACGGTGGTCTTTGTTGTGCCTTGCTGACTATATGTAACTGTTGTCACTTGGGTCCCATCGTCATTCGTCGCGGGAGGAGTGTATCCGCTTGGGAGATCGTTGGATATTGTGGAGGTTCTGGTTGTCCCGACCAGTGTGTTTACAATTTCAATTACGGTAGCGGCCACGACCGTCGTGGAAAATTCCATTGGATACCACGTAAACGTATATACGGGTTCAACCTCAACCTTGCAATACGGTGTGCAGTTTTCAAGTTGTTGTCGCGCCGCGATGGCTTTGGCCGCTCCTTCTCCATGACTAGGATATTTTGCTGAGAGCAAGGGTTTAGCCGAGTCATACAGAGAAATCGCGTCAAAAGCAGAAGAAGACTTACTCTGGCCTGAAAGGGCGCCGAGAATAAAGGTAGCGTAGAGAATGAGCCGAAACATGTTGAACCAGTACGGAGGACCTGCACTTCAAGCCGTTTCTACATTGACGATGCCAGGGAGATTCTCTAGGTAGTTATACCATGGAGGAATGACACCCTGGGCGATTGAGCGAGATTTGGACAGAGAGATTCATTACATATCCTCCCCCGAGCTCGCAAAATGAAATAACGACGGATCCACACACGCGGTTTTTTGGGGTGATGCCCTCCTCAAACTGATTGGTGAAGAGGTTGGTGGCTGGCTATAGCCTCATGCATTGCGCATCTCAAGGCCTGGACACGCCGTCCTCCGCGGAAGATGATGATCCGGGGCCAAAAATATATATATTCGAGAGCATTCAGGCTCTTTCTCCCGCCTCTCAGCTCATTACTGGAAACGGTGATCACCAGCTGGGTGCTCTTCTCCAGATAAGGACGAATAGGGCTTGGAAGCATCAGCAAATTCGCCACTAGTAACCTGATTAGCCAACCGTCCTGGGCTGTGTCTCTTTGAGGAGGGCAATGTCAGGCCAAAAAAAAAGGCTGTTTTCACCACGAGTGTGGAGAATTGTCTTGACGCCTTTGGCTGGCACGATATCATAGGGCAGAGAGGATGCTGTGGCGCCCCGTGTCAGCCAAGGATTTCCGATTCTGTGTTAAGAGTGAACGGGCCATGGGCCCACAACGGCACACGGAGACAATCTTATCTTATTTGAGCCGCGTTCGATTCCCAGGCACCCTCTCCAGTGCTCACGCGAGAGCCTTGTCGCGCAGAATGGCGGTGATCAGTTGGTTGCATCCCAAATTCCACGGAGGAACTCCACGGTGCTCACATATTTTCCCGAGTTTCTGCGGTGGAACGTGGAGACGGGAATGGGTGATCATTGATTCGTTCCTGAGTTGAGTCGTGACCCTAAAATGCTGCATCGTACAGTCGCTGCAGGATCCATATATATCATTGGAACTGGGCCAGAAAACCCCGTGTGCGCAGTGGAACCGGCGATCCCACTGCGTCGTGGTTAACAAAGCTCTTTTCACCAGGCCATATTATTAACTCCACTCTGATCCTCTCGTAAGAAGCTGAGGCCGTTGACAATTGCCCACCACAGGATTCTGCTGAACCATGTCGCACTATTCACCCATGGAGACTGCGGACCTGAGGACCATGAGCGTGTCTTCTGTTGCAAATGCCGACTTCGAAGCCAAATCGAGGTCTCGTACTCGTCGTTTGCAGAAAACGTTATCAAGTTCTTCTCTCCCTAACTTGTTGTTATGGGCAATTCTAGGAACTGTGCTCTTTGCCGTCACTGCTTGGATCTCCCAAGCTAAACTCTCCACCAGTCGAACTCTTACGCTCCTTCGAGCCTCCCAAAGCCTCTTATCGGCCTGTTCTGCGCTGGCACTCGCAAATGTGTTCGAGCTGGTTCAATGGGCCTTTGCAGGGAGGGATGGCGGACTAAATTTCCTGAGCCTTCTTGGGTTGACTCCGACCACGGGGTTCTTGGGATCTGCAAAGGTCATCTTCGCGAAGACCGCTACATTTACTGATAGGCTTTGGCCTTTGTTAAAGTGCGTTATCGATTTCAATTTCGTATGACCTAGCTTGAGGATTATTTAACTGTAATGTCCAATGCAGGATCTCACTTGCTTGCGCCGTTTGGTTATCCGGGGTCCTCCTCTTTGGTGAGCTACTTGCGACCCTTCACGAGTGCACGAAAACCTATCTTGCTAAAAGTCAAACTTAGCAAACACCTCACTGATGACCGGTTATGATTCTGTGTATACGTATAATGCGACCGCCGGTGTTGGCCAGTTCAACGGCTCATTTGTACAGCCGTACCTACAAAAGCTGCAGAATCTATCCCCACAATACCCATATCGTGTCGTGCCATATACAGCACTGTCCATGCTCTATGACTTTGTCGTCAATCCGATGCATTCGGTAGTTGGCGACCCCATTGCCTGTCATGACAAAGACTGCGATTCATATTTGCTCACTGGAGGGCTCATCATGACAACTCCATGGCCACCTTTGAGTCATCCCTCGGAGTCTGTCATTAAAATATACGACGTGCCTTCAACCCAAATCGAATTCAAGCGTCGTATATCTGATAGAGATATGTTCATGGATAAGGACTGCATGGTTTTTGGTGACGACCAGACACTGATCGGGCTGAGATTTTGTTTAGCAAATAACACGAAAGCCAACGGATCAATTACGGCCGGTATGCATATAACTCGGTTACCCTGAAGGAAGTCACTAATGTTACTCAAGGCTTATATGTGTGTCCAAACGGCACCCAGGCGGGTAAATGTGAGGGCACAGGTATTTTTCCAAATCTCACGACGACATTTTCTGTTTACAGTCGCAAAGCGAATGTTGTCGCATCCCGGTCAAATTATAGCGTTGTCGCGATCTCAGAGATTGGGGAGCCCACCAAAAACACCGATATTGATCTTGTCGGCTTTAAAGAGGCTATAACCTGGCTCCTAGACTATAAAGCCGCCCAAATTCCTGCTACGTCTTCAATCGCAGAACATTTCTGGAGCGGTCAAGACCAGCTCAGCAACAAGTATTGGTCCAGAGAGCTATATCAGACGTTTCAGAGTATTCTTGCGTTTCCACTCTGGAAATTCAATCCCAACAACTTTGGCAATGTAGAGCTGTCGGCGCAAGAAATCACTACATCGCTCCCTCAAGAATTTCACACAAAGGCAGCGATTGCTACGCCGTATACGAGGATAGTTCTCAACAAGTCGATGTTTATCCTTTTCCTCCTGTTACATATTCTGGTGCTTACGTTCGTCTGGGCAATGCTCTTATGGTTGGTGATTACTCGGCCAGATTTGCCAAAAATTTCATCCTACCCCCTTTTCGATTTTGCGTTTAAGACAAGGTACACAATGCCATCCGATCCTCCGCCTCGGCACCAGAAGTCAGAAAATCCTCCGAAACATATAGTGAGAATTGGCGATAAGGAAATACTTTCGGATCTAAGTCAGCTAGAAGTATTTTTGCGTGGGAGGGGAGCTGGGTTAAATTCGCGGCAGACGCCTGAAACTCTCTACAGTGTGCTTTTCAACCTACCAGCACAAGCACAGATTCTGACGGATAGTTCCCATGAGGCCCTTGTATCAGAAGCTGGAGAGGACGAGAGGAAGAAGTTTCTTTCCCAGGCTCACCCGGCAAATATTTCCTAAAAATTATGGTCTATAGAGGACGCAATTATGCCGTCTGGAAAGAGGTAATCAGAGCCGTCTCTTGAGCGTCAGGATGTCGGGATGAATGAATGCAGAGAGGGCAGTCCGTAGTTATTTCTCGACCGGTTGAACCATCTTACGTAACTAAACCACTCAATCTTGATAATATTTGATCAGCCCGCGAACTAATATTCATTTACCCAACCTCTAACAAGGTACCGACTCCCAAGATTTATACATACATCTCTATTGTTTATGCAGCTTACACTGTAAACACAGCTGTTGGGTCTATATAAACCCTTTGAAATTCTTCATTTATCGCCAGTATTTCCAGCAAATAAGTATTTAGTTACTGCTTGGAAACTTCGTTAAGATCTTGTCCCTCGCTAATCGTCGCTGCCCAACATCCATCAGCATGGAGAAAGAGAAACTTCTCTCGATAGAGCCATTGGTATGATACTTACATCCGAATTATTCTTCAATCTTATCGGGCAAGAAGAAGTTTAATACAAATCCTTATTTTTCCTGTTCAATTACCTTATTGCGATCTTTCGCTCACTTTCTTCCTAAGCCCCGCTACGGCTGTATTCGCCGTGCACCGGGAATATATCCAAACCCTATCTCCTTATCCCTCATTTTCCCTTTCGAATCACGATGCCTGTCATTTAGCCCTGTAAGTTATTCATGCAACTGGGGCTGATTTTGTCCCAACTCGGGCGTATGGCTCCGAATAGGATCCCGCCCAGGCGCGATGGATTCGGCTTTCGAAATGTACCTATACGGATCCAAGGGGAACTGTGCGAACTTGGGAGAGTGCTGAGAGACAGGTAGGTACAGTATATGTTGTTCATTTTCCCCCCCAAAAAAAACAAAAGGCCCCGCTCATTTGCTGAATACATTAAGATCAATATGCTTTGTGGGTTCCATGGCACAATATTTGGGAATGGGGTTGTATATGAACACCTGTACATATGTGCTATTGTATGTGTATTTGATATGAAGCTAGACACTAACCGTTCATCGACAGACCCGCCCTAAGGACTGCCTAATCGATGGCGTAGGCATTGTGGCAATATTAGAAAAGCCATCGGGACCAGAACTCTTACTCCAAAAGCAGTACCGCCCGCCAATCGACAAAATTGTCATTGAAGTTCCAGCGGGGCTCATAGATGCGGGTGAGACGCCAGAAGAATGTGCGATCAGAGAGTTAAAAGAAGAGACGGGATATGTTGGGGTTCCTGAACAAACTAGTCCGGTTATGTGGAATGGTATGTATTCCGTATAGGCTCCTTGGATTGGCGTGGGGCGGGAAACCGAGACAGAGCTTACATTTTTCACATCACAGATCCCGGGTTTTGCAATACAAACCTCCACATGGTGCATGTCCGTGTGGATATGTCTCTCCCTGAGAACCAAAACCCGAAACCTCAGCTGGAAGATAACGAATTCATTGAATGTTTCACGTTGCCACTCAAAACACTGTTTGCTGAGACGCAGCGACTGGAGGCAGAAGGATATGCGATCGATGCTAGGGTTGGAACTCTAGCAGAGGGGATTGAGATCGCGAAGAAGTGGAGTTTGGTTGGATAGATACCTTGGAGGACACGTGCCGCACGTACGCCCAGATCCGACTGTTCATAGATGATAGATAGATTCGATAGGATGATGACACCAATCAAGCTTCTTTTGGCATGCATGAGTCTTCGAGATGCCTCTGACCTTTTATATCCTCCCCTCAGATTTCAAGCCGTTGTAGAGGGCCCAAGCAGCCAACGACTTGCCGTCCTGCGCACCCTCTTTCCACAGCTGTTCCAGCGGTACCAATTTCAGCGTAATTTTCTCGCCTTCCTTTCTCAGTCCCGTCAACTGGCCCTGCAGTTGGTCTATTTCAACCCTTTTCATGCGCTTCTGGCATAAAAATAGGGGAATGAACTCATCGCTTCCTCCAGGCGATGGGTACACACCAACCTGCAGCTTTTCCTTGACTTCATTCTCCGGAATTGTAGGTTCTCGAGTCGTGGGACCGAGAGTGAGGGCGGTCATGTCGAGCAGCTCGTCTTGTTGAATGGAGAGGCCCGTTTCTTCTTGGATCTCCTTTGCCGCTCCGCCAGAGAATGTCCCGCTATCATCGAGCATACCGGCGGGGATTTCTGGGAAGGCAAGCGATCCAGCGGGAATGCGGGGTTGGATGGTCAATATCACGCGTTTCTCCGCGTCGGAGTCGGGTGGAATGTCGTCAGGTTGGAGGATAAGCTGAGAAAGAGCAAAACGGCATTAGTCGTGGTATATATGAACGGGAGCCGTTTGGAGCATATTCTACCAGTATCCCTACACTCCCGCCTCTGAGGAACACGCTCCCGGGGAGCTTCTCCCCACTGTCATTCGAGACGTCAGCTCGTAGCTTCACGAAGCCTAAACGGCCCCGACCAAAGAAGTCGACCGCTTGTATTTCAATTTTCCGAAGTGCATATGGCGCAGAATTGAATTCATGCTTTGCGCTCCCCTGCAGGAAGAGTGAGTGTTGCAGAGTCGAGAGCCAGATCTTGAATGCAGGAAAGGAAAGAAGTTGGCTCTCAGTTACATCCGGAGCCAACTGGACGGTCACAGGAGGTGTGATATTAGGAAGAGTAAAGGTTGACATCCTACAACGAGGATACTGAAAATGGCGGTAAAGGAGGTGAGTTCTCAGCCGCATGAGGGAGAGAAATGTGGTTGATGAAAGGATGCAGATTGCATCATGCCATCGTTGCTGGAACGGGGAGGGTAGTTTTGACTGGGAGGTTCACCAGTTGGGCTACTTATATCATCCAGGTTCTATCTCGAATGCGTCGAGGAGGACTCGGCGCCAATATAACAAGCCTTTTTTTTATTTGGACATAGAACATCTCCGTTGCGTAAGCACACCCCGTACGCAGTACTCGGTAATGGCTGCGAAAGCTTTGGCTCTCGATGATCTTCTCCCGCATGCGCGTCCGTCGACCGCTCAAAGGGGCGGCGGGCGAGATGAGCAGCGCAAGTGCTGACATAAGCGGGTGATGTTCGGGAGAGTTAGTTAACTGCCTGGCTGGTAACTTCGCTCTTTAACGTTGCAACTGTTGAGCGATTTGCTGTTCGCCGGTGATGCATCAAGCAGACACTCCTTGTCCAACAAGACAAATCCAGTCCACTGAGCACTCGAAATCCGTTCTGGTTTGGACAAACATGGCTATTGATTGGCTGATTTCTCAAGCAATTTGCCATCGGCCGCTGCATGCGTGTGATCATCCGCCGTAAACAACCTGAAAACATCCCCAGACTTGTTCATTGTCTTGCTCAAGCCGGCTACGCATTTGTCATTGGTTCCTTGCCGGTCGAAGCTTAAGGCTGGAATTGACCGAATTCCCACAGCCTGTTGCATTCTCCCAAGCTCTGACATGGTTAAGAACATTGACCGGCGAGAAGCATGAGCGACGAAATCCAGGACCGTGCCATCGCCGACCCCCACATCTTTCGAGTCTCCAAAGGCAGGCCAGTTCGTCTCCGCGCGCTCGGCTCACCTTTCCAGGCGATCCGTCACAGTCGCGAGGTCAGGTGGAAAGGCTGTTTAAATACGGATGTGGGACCGTTTTGTTCTTGATATTTTATCATCATCATCATCATCATTATCGTCATCATCATCATTTTTTCCCAACCTACGTTGCTCCACGCCACACAGTTTCTGCATCATTTATTTGATGAGACGCTGTAATGTTGTTTCATTTTCTCTCTGAGCTTCCCATCGTCTAAACTATCGATACCCATATCGAGTTTTTAAGCGATGTCCATTCTTTTGCGTCCGAAAATTCGATAAATAGAGGATTTTCGGATTTTCTGTCATCATTATCCTTACTCCTTTGCGTAACCGTTCAACTAAACCAGAATATTTGATGATTATTTCCTTTTTTTTTTTTCTTTTCCTCTTTCCCTTCCTAAGGTTCCTAGGGATGGTATTTTATCCATTCGCTGAGAAATTCATAGCAGATCATCTATTCTCTATAATCCCTGTGAAAGAATCTCAGTCATAGATCCGGTGGAGGAATGGTGGCGCAGATATAGAATCACAATATACCCGAAACTGGAGCCCTCATTAGCAGACACAGAAGAGGAGAGGCCTTGAAAGTGCTACTTCCGAGAACAGTCACACTCGGGCTAGATAGTGGTGTGTTAGGCTACTCTTTCTTCAAGATTCGGATGGATGCTAAGATGGGCCGATAGCATAATGTCTTTGCTTGCGGTAGGACTGGATGGGAGCATAGAAGACCACAACATGCAAGAGCCAACACAGACGAGAAGCCCAAATTCTAGAACCATAGATAAATGTGTCAACGGACCTGACCCTCCCGCCACGCGACATTCCCCGCGTCGCGGAATCGCTTGTCCGGAGCCTCCGCCTTCAGGTCGTCGACCCGGCCATCGAGCTGCAACCCGGTCTTCTGAGCCCGCCTCGTCCTCTCCATTATATTGTGGTAAGTATGCCGCTGTGGTTGCTGGCCCACGCCATTTTGCTACGATGATTCGTACTCGGCTTCTTCCGTAGAAAGATCGGATGCTCTCTGAACTCGCTGACTTATTTGTGCGTAATAGGTCGCGCTTACTCCAAGGACAACCATCAACCTCGCCCTCATCCTCATCCCCATACTCTCCCACATACTCATCCTTGTCCTCCTTCTTCCTCTCCGCTAAGCCACTCCCCGTCTCCGAATCGCACTTCCCACGGAGATCCGTTCGTGGCCCGATCCCAATCTCATTCAGGCACGTCCTTCCCGCTTTCTCACCAGCCAAGCCGCTTCCGTGAGCAACAATCGCCCGTGTGTCCACTTGTTTCTCCGGGAGACGATGCCCTAGAGAGGGCTAATTCTGGGCTCCGACCGTCCTCATCGAGTGAAGTCAACGTAGAAGTGCAAAGTTCTCCGCCCCACTCGCCTTCGAACTTTCCTGAAGGGTCTAGTGCTGTCCGGCCTGAATCGAGCCTTGACGGCATGGCCGAATTTCCACACGGGCAGCCTAATGGTCAGTTAATTTCCACTGTTAGACAGAATCACAGTCACAACGAAGCCGAACAAGAGCGTGCCGAAACATTTAGACAAGTCCATGTCGCAGAATCGCCTGCTCTGCTTAACGCTCAAGGCAAGTCTCTGTGCTTAATGCTGATCGCGTGGAATTATACTCATATGTGACTCTAGGCGAAATATCGGGAGGCCAAATCTCTACAGCATCCTACAACAACTGGAATATACCGACAACGGCTCTCGAGGCCGGGGCAACCGATAGAACTGCCCTGCATCCTTTTAGTGCTGTCCAGTCCACCCCGGAACCGCAGCTGGGCGACAGCACAACTTCCAATGGCGCTTCCCGTGAAACTGTTCCCGAAAATAACAATCCCCAAGCTTCTCAACCCCGCCTAGATCATTCATTTCAAAATTCATGGGATGCATTTATTGCACAAGAACTAGAGCGTCGCGCTGCATTTGCGCAGGCTAATCATGTGCCAGTCATGGCAACCATGAACCCAAATCTGTACCATGGTCAATACTTCTATCCTGGACCTATGACGACGGCTACGGATGTTCAACTTCTTAACCAGACCCAGGTGTCCGGAACCGTGGATAACGGGGCCGCTTCTGCTAACGTGTCCCCGGCAACGAGAGACCCCCATACTCCTCAGGGTAGTCCCTCCCGCACACATGGCGTAGCGCATCCAGAGCAAGTCTCAGGACCGCGACGTAGCCATATGGAAGCGTTTACAATGGACAACAGACACAACACGGGTCCGTCGGAATATCGGAATACTCGTCCTCGCCTTCTACCAGGATCGCAAGAGGCTTCTTTCGCAGCGCACCACGCAGCATTACAGCGTCAGTTCGCTGCAAACGGAACAAACCGACCTTTATCGAGTAACCAACAAAGGGCCACTTCCCGCTATGTGAATGCAGCTCTGCGACATTTCACGTTCCAACATCGCGGACAGTCTGTTGAGCAAGTAAATATAGATCTTAACCGATACGCCGCAGATCATTCAGGAGCTTCAACGGTGAAAAAGGGACTCGATAACCAAAACGATGGGCGACCGAAGCCTAAAGAGAGCTCTGAAATGAAGATTGATTTCGATTGCCAGATCTGCCGGAGTCAGACGGTTGACACTGTTATCATTCCATGCGGCCATGCCATTCTTTGTCAATGGTGTGCAGAGCAGCATATCCCCACGTTCCCTGCCTATCCCACCAGACCTCGTGAGCATGCGAATTGTCCACTTTGCCGGAAACCGGTTCGTGAGAGGGTGCGGTTATTCCTACATGCTCTGGAAATCTTCTCAGCAATAATACTAATGGTCTTATAGTACCGGATCTTTACTCCCTGAATCGCCTGTACCTTCATGATCCGCCTTTTTCAGTTCCTTCTCATACTTTCCTGTGATATTATGGACCAATGATGATATATTTGCCGTTATACCCTGCATATACCGATATTGCGGTTGATGGCCGTTTGCTTTGTTTTGTTTTCCATCCCCCCACATCATCAAAATCATGAAGTGGCGTTTTAAATTTGTTTTTCGGTATTTCTGTGCTTGCAGCCATTCTTTTTGGTATTTCTTTCCCCCAAGCAAGACCTGTAAGAATGTTTTCTGAACTCACATGGAAGTACGGAGTAAAATGGGTCCGTATTTACTCAGTCCCTGGCATGTATGATTTCACCCCCCCCACCCCGCCGGCGTGATCACTTTGTCTGTCGCCTTGATTGAGATTTCCAGGATTAGTCTTGTCAATAATAATGACCGGAGGCCGTCTAAGTTGTTGCAATACTGTTGGTGGTTCAGAGTTGCCATCCAGCTTTTCCTTTCTGCAGCGGGTGGGTGGGAGGGCAACACCCACTTTTGACTCAGCTGGCAGACATGGATCTGATTTGCTCTCTATTGAGTTTATGATACGACATCTCGGATCCTTGAATCCCAAATACATACTGGTGATCTTATTCATTCCATGTGGTCCGAGAGTTTTAATTTATTTTTTTATTTTTTTAATTTTTTTGCGGGTTTACAAGGAGTCTATTGTATCCTGTACATAGGAGGAAGGAGGAGAATCTTAGCCGTCGCCTCAAAAGCGCGTGCCAGTGGAAGTGAAGAACGTATTCGCTTGTCTCAGTGATTAGCATTGCCTTGCTGTAGGAGGCTAAACATGGCTGGTATTTGGAAATATAACTAACAATAATCCCTAAAGAGAAAATTGTAAGAGCAATTGGGCGGATGGATAGTGGGTGCGGGTGGAGGCTTATACCACTTAAGGGAACGAACAGCCTTTGAATGCTGCCAGGTTGTTTACAGGTCATAGCTACCGGGCGTGGGGCGCGGGCAGCGTGATTGAGGCTGGGTGACTCTGACAGGTTTGAATTTGCAAAGTTGCAAACGGTCATTCGCTACTCTGTAGTCTGTAAAGTTGGATTGCAAATATGATGTATCAAATGGGGTGCGAGTACACTCTTCCGTGCTGAAAAATGCGTTAAGGTTGTCACTCCATATTCTGTCCTCTGTACGGAGTATGTTTTCTTATCTCTGTCTCTGTCCAGAATGAACTCAGACTAGTGGTGAGTCCACCGTTCTCCTTAGAGGGAAAGATCTTCTCGCAAGAGAAGGATGCCTTGCATTTTGTTGTTGAGACGCTACAGTCGCCACAGGAGTTTCTAAGCAATGCACACGAATCAAAGCTCCCTTCGCCACCAAAGATGGATTGGAGTGGCATACACAAAATATTCTTCGTCGATGATGAGCAATGATAGACTTTGGCGGTGGGCCTGGACTGATTGGGGTGCCTATCCAGGCGGCGGAGACATTTTTTCTTGCCTGATACTGAAATCTCTTGAGCAGGCTCGCTTCACCCTCTCCAGCAGCAAACTTTTGGATGCGCCATGCGAAAGCTTCCCTCCCAGATTGGCTGCCATGATATGGATATAGGTATCATGTGCCTCTGGAAACTTGTGTGAACACCAGAGCCGAATATCTCAGACATGGACAAAGGAGCAGAGCAGCCTCTTATGTCGCAGATGATGAAGAGTGGCTTGCTATGGCCCATGGTTCATTGGATATCTCAAAAAACTCGCAGTGCGATGGTGCATAGAGGCTAGAGCACGGCCTAACAAGTTAGCCCTCACAGCATAAACAGTCCACACCGAGATTTACATTTCGAGACTCTGACTGGAAACCATTGCATTGGTTTAGGCTTTTGTCTCGGTTGAAGCCCTGTTTTCTTTGCCTACCTAGAATCGGAAAAGGGATATTTCTTTGAGCTGCATGCGCCAGATGCGCCGCATGCTGTGTTACGAATTCTGTTTGGCACCGTTTTTGGTTATTAAGACGGACGAGGAGTCACCGCAGTTTCTTCAGATTTCAAAACAACCTAAATATGGCGCCATTAGCCGATCCAAACGGGCGCCATCTTTGACTGCGGCCTGGGGAGACCTGGCCGACTGGGCTGAAAGAAATTTGTCCTCCTTCTGGAGTCTGCATGCCACAGCACCTTGAACCGATACCAGCGTTCCCATCTGCCTGCCTATTCCGTATTTTTTGCGACGATCGATGCAGACTCCCTAGCGTTGTGACTCGTTACCCTTGAAATACGATAAAAAGGCAGCCAGATCCGCCTTTGACAAGCGGTGGGCTTCCGGCAGCGGAAGAAGCTCCGAACATCCCACAGTCCAGCGTACGGAGTACCCACGTAATTAACTCAATTCGGAAGCTGCTCCGATTGATGTCTCTGGAGAACTTCATACTAAGTTCGAATAGCCTACGAGCCTAGTGGGTCCTTAATAGGGAGCTCACAACAAAACAACGCTTGGGATAATCGTCAACAAAGTGATAACACGCCATAGCGGAAGATATGGAGACCTCTTGGCTCTGTAACCATCCTAATACTCTCCTCCAGACAAAAAATTGGTACAACACAGATTCTTCGGGTGTAAGGTATGGTTCCCCCTGCTGCCTCAGAAATGATGCTTAGGACCCTTGTGCTTCCTGCGTCTTATACCGCCTATTTAGATCCCCCAGCTTAGCTGTGTTCGATGCTGCAACGTTCAGCTGCATAGGAATCCCGGTATGCTGTACTTGGAGCCTTGTCTGTCCGTAGAGACACTATATCCTGAAACATATGTCATGACTAGCAAATTTATGCACACCATCAATTCTGTTGTGGTGCTCAGACAATAACTCTTCTGCCTGGCAAACCCCATTAGCTCATCCTATGCAAATATCGCAGCCGGCAACTCCTGGGTCTTCCATTCGCTGGGCCTTGAACAACCATTCGAATGTTCTTGGTTTACTCTACTACACATATCAGCCTGCACAGAGGGGTGGGGGATGGTTGCGTGGACAGCGCTTGGGCCCTCAAGCTCAGTGCTGCGAAACGCCCTCAGTCACATCAGAGTTAGGTAGCCTCTCTCCTCGAGGTAAGGGGGACAGAAGAATTGTTGCAGCGTTTAAATCGAATAAAATCGCGGAACATTTCGGTTGTTAGCGATTCAAAGGGGGAAAACATAACCTTAGCTTTGGAGTAAGCTTAGGATTTTCCAAGAAGCAACTCTGTATTGAGATAGGAATGAATCCCAGAGCTGTATTTTTGAAGCAGCCAATGGCCTGAGGTCTTCAAATGAGAGTTGGAGAGTGCCATTAGGATTTCTTGCCAGATGAAGTTTTGATACCGAACGATTGTTGGAAAGCAATTGAATTCTTTAAGTACCTCCTGGTGAAGGAGGTTCCAAGTTAATAAGTAGCCCAGAAACGAAGCGAAACGGCGCACACATACTTCGGTCTAGAGAAGTCGTGGCATGTGTCTCGATCCAATACTCCCGGTGCGCCGTCCCCAGAAATTTCAACCACTTGATGCCCAGGACAAGCTGCACTGTAGGCGCTTCTCCAATGGGCCATAGGCTCGCGTCTTGGTGAGGGGGGCGCCCCAACCCTCCGTCCATCTGCTCTCGATCACTACTTAGAGATGCCCATTTTCCTTTTGTGATTCGGCATACGACGGGCTGAAGTTTTGAAATACTATCTAGTATCATTAAAGAGAACATATGCATTCAGTCAACTGGGAGTCACTCACTGGTGCCTACAAGGGTGTCTAGAGGGCTGCATTCATCAAATGTGATGGCATTCGATACAAGACATCACGCCAGGGCATTCTTGATCCATTGTTGAGGACAATCGTGCAGACAACTTAAGGCATTATTCGAATCCAAAGACTAAGGGTGTATAAGTCGTAACTAATTCTTGCGCTGGTTGTCAACAGTATCTCTGTAGGCACGAAGCGCTTCCTCTGTACTCTGTACTCCGTAGTGTTCAAAAGTTCAGCCACTCCACAGGACTCCTAGCTAATTACGGAGTACAGAGATAACCAGTTAGAACGGAGTGGGGCTAAGATTTAGGGCTACCTGATGCGGTACACTCTGCCCGCCATGGAGCGCTCGTGACCCTTGGAGACACTGGTGGTGAATTGTCAAGGAACTGAGAACCGTGTCGATTCAAGTAAGGCTCGAGAGGGCTAGCAAGGCTCAATATTTTTTGACTACAAATTGGAATGACCAAGGCGATTTCGAATTTTGCGGCTCAAAAAAAATAAAGCTCTCTTCCTTGAGAGAAGACAATTCGAAGGTCGGAAGTAGGCGACTGATCCCTTTTGTTTTGAAGAGAACCTCAGCGGGAAAGCCGGATGCGACGATTGAGGAAACACAGTACGGAGTACGGAGTACGTTGACGAAATCTGGGGTAAAGTACGGAGTACTCCAAGTTTTTAACTACATACAAACCTCATTAAGTGCGGGAGACTCAATATACGCATATTTAGTGGGCCGGATTGTAATTGCTTCTTTGTACTCCGTATTCTTTAGGCTGAACTCCACCCCTTGGGGATTGTATTCCCAATTTCCAGGTGATCGTTGGATAAGGCTGCTTTTGGTTCCTGACCAACCCACGGGTGTGCCGAGCTTATTATACCATGTGACTAAGCAAAGTTCATTGACCGTAGTTTAGTTAACATTTCTGGTCCTTACTGGTAATATTACAGGATTGTGTAATATGACAAAGTTGACAACCGGTCAATAACCAGTTGTAACTATGTACGGAGTAGATATAGAGGGGATTATTAAGGAAGGTTAGGGTATTAGATGGGTAAGAGTACGGAGTACTCCGTAGTAGGTATGGATTAGGGATTAGAGGTCAGGGTTCAGAGGGTTAGGGTAGCTTAGGGAATGATTAGGGAGTATGGAAATGAAGTTTTAGTGACTGAGGAGTAAATTTCAAAAGTCACTCTGTAAGTTTGGTTTTGAACTTTATATTTCATTACAAACAGTTGTATCGTGGCTCAGGACACTGTGAGTTGAACTGTATCCTGCCGCATACAAATTTGCTTGCCAGCAGGGCTGCGCTGGCTGCCGGTTCGCTGGTAGTGCGCCCCGATGATCAGGCGGCAGCCAAGATTCTTAAAATCTTGAGCACCAAATTTCATATATAAATTCAGAAATTCAGGTTTGACTGACGACCTTGAATTATCGAACTTATCGTTAACTCAAGATTGCAAAGCAGCGGCGCGCTCTCAGTGTCCTCTCCTACACTGCCCTTTTTCCCTTGGTGCCATCACCGTCGCGGCCAAAATGTCGTCCCCAGCGACGACCGCAGCCGCCCTCTGTACCGAATCACGTAAATCCCACGTGGCCCCGGAGGCGGACTATCTGAGCGCCGACGCCACTAGTAGCGCTTCTCCAGAGCAACGGTGAGAAACGCCCCTCTCTCCGCTCTGCTGCCCTACCGCAGGTGCAGGCAGTCCTCCTGACATGTCAATTAGAAGCGTTGTCAACCACAGGGCTGAGCCCTATTCCTCCGCAAGTCCTCCTGAAACCCCGCGCTTGGAAGACCTCCAGCTCCGCGATAGGTCTCTCACCCCAGGAAAGTCGCGCAAACGCCAATTGCCCCAGGAATCAGCTGCTGCTGCCAGCGCTCCCATTCGTCCACGGCCGCAGCCCAATGTCTTCACTCCAAATTATGATGATGGAACCCACAGGGTCTTTGCTGGTGCCAGGAAGCACACAGCTTATGACTTTGACTCACCTGTTGCCTCAATGTCAGTGTTGGAGAAGAGATCAAAGCCCACAAATGAGATACCTGTCAACAAATTGACCCTGCAGCCTGAGACCCGTCAGATCACAGAAGAGCAGTTGATCAATGAAGTTCGCACCATCTATGCTGGCCTTGTCCTTGTGGAAAGAAAGTGTGTTGAGATTGACCGCCAACAAGCCAACAATCCTTCAACCCTGACCAATGAACAATGGCAGGCTCTCACAGCCTTGCATAGGACCCTCCTACACGAGCACCATGATTTTTTTTTGGCATCCCAGCATCCGTCAGCAAGCCCTGCCCTCCAGAGGTTAGCCAGTCGCTATGCTATGCCTGCAAGGATGTGGAGACATGCGATTCATTCATTCCTGGAACTTTTGCGCCACAGGCTCCCTGAGGTGCTGGACCACATGCTTGCCTTCATATATACCGCCTATTCCATGATGGCCCTGCTCCTTGAGAGCGTTCCGAGCTTTGAGGATACATGGATTGAATGTTTGGGGGATTTGGCCCGGTATAAAATGGCTGTGGAAGAGTCAGATCTTCGTGACAGGGAGGTCTGGGCTGGGGTGGCAAGGTATTGGTACAACAAGGCAGCTGACAAGTCTCCCATGGTTGGGAGAATTCAGCATCATCTTGCTGTTCTTGCCAGACCCAACATTCTTCTTCAGCTGTTCTTCTACTCCAAATCCCTCATTTGCGTCCACCCATTCCCAAACACCAAGGATTCTATCCTTCTTCTTTTCAGCCCCTGTCTGGAACAAAAGGAACCACTTCACCACCCTCCTCTGATGTTATCATTTGTGAGAGCTCACGGAGTCCTTTTCAACAAGCAGTCAATACTTTCATTTCTTGAGTACGGGTATGAATTCATATCCTTCCTGGAAACACAGATTGGCCGTGTTGGGTCAAAATGGAGGGAACAGGGAATCTACTTTGCTTCTGCAAATTTTGTCTCTCTTTTTGAGTATGATCTTGGCTCTTTTATTGGCAAGGCATTTGTTGAGACCACCAACTCCCCTGTCAACATCTCTGAAGTTAAAGACTCCTACTACACCCAGCATAGTACTCCTGCTTCTAAACTATCCTTGCACCGTGTGTCTCATTCTGGTCATTTCCAAACCTCTGTTGAAGTTATTTCTTATGCCTCTTGTTTTGCATTCCACACTCTTGCATTGGTGCTAAAACATATTGGTGATAAAAATGTTCTCCCCCATGTACATGTCTCTTTGGCATTTCTGTGGTCTTTGGCATTGGTTCCTGAGGCTATGTCATATGCTCAGTCTGAAATACCATGGCAGGCATTGGTGACATTCCTAAATACACTAAACACACAGGGCTTGAATGAATCTCGTTTGAAGAGTCAAAGTTTTCCCATGCCAGAAAGTGGAATGAAGTGCCATCTTCCAGAAGATTTCTCTATGCGTGGATTGATTTGGAGCCAACTATATTATCCTCCCGGGTTTTTCAATTTTTCCACCTTGGAAGATGACGAGGAGCGGTCTTTGGAACCCCCCAGCATTACAGCACCAAGAACTGAAAGGTGTCTCTGGATTGGCCATCGTCTTGCATCTGTGAGTTGGTAACTAGTATTCTAAGTATTCTCACCATGCTGACTATTGGTTTTACCTATTTCCTTAGCTTGATATCTGGATCTCCTTTAATGAACAACAGAAGAAGTTTATTGTTAAAGATTTCGCTCTGGAGCTTGAAAATTATGCACAAGGCCCAGCGCTTTTTGATGAAGCAGGTCGATCCTTTAGCGAAAGAGAGCGTGTGGAGACGAAATGTGAAAAGAAGGACAATGACATGCACATGATGGATATAGGGCCTGTACAAATGGCTGACCATGATCCTCGATCTGTTGACGGCACTTAACACCGGTGGGATATTACAGGATCAAGTCACAAAGCATACACGATGACGGTAAAACACAAGACAAGTACACCGCCGACAGCCGGACGAACCTAGTACAAGAGTGCTGGAAGAAATGCACTACATGGCTCATGCAAGCATCGCATCGGCTACTTAGTTTCGCTCAATGCCGGTTTAGGACAGAGGGCGCTTGGATGACAGTGCGGCTGGGTCGGTGCTTACAGACCGAGGTGGTTTTGGATACGACTTGTTCAGGAAGACACTCTACATACACGCCATTTATTATTCTTATTATGGGATTGGATATTACATGGCGTTCGAACTTTACGGCGCTAAAGGAATGGAGGGGAGGGGAGTTTGCTTCTGGGGAGAGAGGAGAAGAAGGTTGAGAAATATTGGCTCGGATTGATGGGGTTTGGTTGTGTGGTGTATTGTAGTGCAAGCTGGTTTTCTTTTTTTGGAAAAAGAGTTGGAATAAAAAAAACAACGGAAAAAAAAAGGAAAATAGTAGCCAGGTCTAATAATTTTAGCATAGTAGTATATATTTTTGTTTCGGGCTCACAGTAATTAGACTCGAGAACACCATATCCATCTCCTGTCTCATATCCCCTCTCGGTTGGATCAATATGCTTTCATCCCAGGCGTGGACTGAAAACGTAGCCATCCCCAGATCCCCTACAACCTGTTTCTGGTGCGCCAAACAAAAAAGTAACCTTGTGGCACGCACAAATGTAGTTTTGTGCCTACAATAGTATTTTGTTTTACAGACACCCCCCCCCCCCCCCCCCCCCCCCCAACCAAATATCCCAATGTCCCTGGTGAGACAAGGCTGCGCAAAAACAAACTAAATGCGATTCTCGGGCGATGACTCCTTTCTCAAACGGAGTATTAGATCTCGTTGATTGGAAGTGGGATGTTTTTCCGGCATCGAAGAATTGAAATAGGCGGGATGATATGTATGTTTTTTAATACTCCTCCCCCCCCCCCGGGGCCCGCTTTAGTGGTGTCATGCAAAGGTATACCTATTCTGTGCCCTTTGGCTCTGAGAATCGCGGAGGAGGATCGCAAATGGTAGCTTTGAGGATTTTATCGGTCGCGTTTTAAATCATTTCTTTAGTTAATTTCGAGGTGTTATGGGATTGATAACCGGAAGATCCCTGTGGTTCCACATAAGATATGTTTGTGGTAAGGCAACCGAGGGACGGGAGCCATACATGGGCAAGTAGTACAAAAGAAACCATGTTAATCGGTGAGTGAACCACAATATTGATAGAATATGACGTGTTAGAAAGGGCCGGAAGTAGGCCGGACTTCTGTGTTAGGATATGGGCTGACAATCCGGAAAAGGCGTCAATATGTGTATGCACAGTGTGACCGGACGAATTCTCGAATTGTATGTGGAGGGACAACTGGGGGTCACAGATTGACAAGCCGTAGAATGAATAGGGCTTCATTGGCGTGGAGGCCACTTCCGCACCTGCTGCCGGACCATCTCAGATAGCCGATGGGCGATAATATTTCAACCAAAGGTCTGTCATAGGTCCAACAAAGATGGAGGTCTCTTAAGTATCAGCATACCTAACCCCACCCTTGTGCAACATAACAATTGTAGGGCACTCAACCATCGCTTGCGGGAGAGGAAATTGGATAAGGCATCTGAAATTGAATCAACTTCGGGACGCAGCTATCCCGGCTGGTATGACGGACATGGGCGACGGAGCGCATCAGGCTGTGTATTTTTCCTAGTCATGCGCGAGGTTCCAATATCAGGAGATAAGATACGGACATTAATCAGTCCGTCGGGTGTCTGAGCTGAACCCTAGGCGCGGGTCTGGTGGCAAGGGAGCGTATTGTTGTAGCCCTTCATGTTGGGAATACCGTTCAGGGCACCGCCACCGACTCGAGGTGACTCAGCCGGAAGGGACTCAGGTTAGCTGAGCTGGGAGCCAACTTTTGCTGATTCCTGATTACTTGTACAGAATTCAAGTGGTTTGTACTCCGTACTCCGTAGTAGAATAGAGGAGAATGACCAAAGGAGCGAAATATATTGAACTATTATCAGCTATCATCAAAACAGATGATACGCAACTTCACTGCAATAACCAGCTTCGAAAGATCGAGTAGTAACTAGTTCATGCAAAGGGTGTAGTAGACTAAACTACTAGACAAAGAGCGCTAGTGCCAGATGATAATTTTGAGCAGGATGTATCTGATATAATGTATGGAGCAGTGTAGTCGAAATGGCTGTTTCACGAGGACCGAAGCCTCCACAGCTTGCCGCTTTGGCTGGATGGTGCGCTGCTTTAAGAACCGAGAGGTCGCGTCCAAAACGCTCGCGATCGAGGCCATTTTTCCATGTCGCTGAGCTAGAAATTGAGGGACGACTTAAACCCTCATCTTTGAGATAACATGTCCTCGTCTATGCCCGCATTGGGCATTCTTTCCAATTCCCTTGCAACACCCACGCAACTCGCAACTTCGTCCTCTTCCCTTGACGGGATTCCCGCCGACCTTGAGACGTCGATTCGTTATGCTGGTGTGAGATTGACTCAAGCCGCTGGCGTGCTGCTTCGACTCCCGCAAGACATTATTTCTCAGGCCATTGTGTTCTTTACAAGGTTCTGGATTGGTCCAGAGGGAGGGAGTCTGGCCATACATGGTGCGAAGGTACGGGATACGGGTACCAGCCTCCGGCGGCAGAATTGAAAACTAACAGTGCATTGAATGTCTCTAGGACATCTCCGCCGCGTCCATCTACATCGCTGGAAAGCTTTCTTTAACTCCCGTGTCTCCCCGTTCTGTAATCAATGTCTACACCTTCCTTCTTTCCCCAAAGTCCTCACCGTTGCGCTTTGTCAATCCCGCAGGGCCACCGCCCAGGGCAGACCCAGAAAACTACTATGTTTCTGAAGGAACATACCAGTCTGAACGTGTTGCGCTCATGAAAATGGAATCCGCTATCCTCCGCACGCTTGGTTTTGACACCCATGTCGCCATCCCGCACCCTATCGCTTTCACATATCTCCAGACCCTTGGCTCATCGACCCCCGCTGCTGTGAAGCGTACAATCGAGCACCTTAATACTGCCTTACTTTCTCCACAACTACTATATGTAACACATCAGCCAAATGCAATCGCCGTGGCGGCAATATACCTAGCTGCAAGGGAGACTGGGGTGAAACTGGTAGACTGTGAGTGGTGGGAAGTATTCGACGTTGATAGAGAGGAGCTGGGTTTCCTGGTCGTCGCGATGAGAAGCATGGAAGCATTCGCGCAAGCGGAAGAAGAGAAGTGGAATGGAAGACCGCTGCCGCTGACTGTGGCGGATGTGCAGAGGGAAATTGAGAGAAGGAAAATAATGGAAGAAGAGGGATGAAATGCGCCCATGGGGACTTCCTACTTCTCAGATCTACGATTAGGATAGGCTCGGCGGGTATGCTGATCTATGGATACTTATGAAAGGAGCCATCCTCGGTCTTGACGTTTCCCCCACCTATGATAAAGATGCTACATTTAGTCGATCGTGTTCCCCCAACGGCTCCTTCGCGGACTAGTTTGGACCTTGGATGGTAGCATGGGCGCCATATCCCGGCAACTACTCGGTAGCCGAGATGGAGGAAAATCGGTTGCGCTAGGACCTAGGTCAGTTGGCCAATAATCTACCGCTTCCCACAAAGATACCGGAGCCCATACCGTATGCACTTCGGTGACCGACCTCGACCGCGCCACGCCTGGCTAGGCTCAACAGTAGCCTAGAATCCAGGATACGACGAGTAGCGCGCCTTGTCCACCGGAAAGGGATTGCTCAGCGGATGTTGGCATATTCATTTTGATGTCAGTCAGCCCACTGCCAGGTACACTGTGAAAAAGGGCTCTGTTTTAGTATTTTGTGTTTCTAGTCACGGGAGACAGTTTTCATCATTCACTGGCAACACCTGATCTATTCACCCTAGTATTGAGGTCCCAGGGAATGTACATATGAATATATAATACATTTCTGATGAAAGTAGACCTGCCTGGTGGCCTATGCGATCTCTCATTTGGTAGAATCTCAAAGCTTTTGAGTTTGATAACGAAAAGGCGGTTTGCAGGCGTCCGTGATATTATGATCACGTGGATGGCATCATCATCGAACCTCACTTTCATGCTCCAAAGGTGCCTGTCTGCCTATCTGCATGATATGAGGGGCATCATCCTTTTGCACAACGCCAGACAAACAAACCGTTAACATCAGGTTCTAAGGTTAAATTGCTCCGCTTTGCAACTGTTAACACATTTTATACAAAGCAGCATCATTCCGAACATCTTCTCAGACACCTGGAACTCACAGTACGCTTCCCCGCATTATGAATTACATCCGTACCTGGCGTGATAAGCTCGCGCCGATCTCTCACACTTCCACATTTCGCTCCACCGGCCAGATAACCCCAGAAGAATTCGTGCTCGCAGGAGACTATCTCGTATACAAGTTTCCCACCTGGTCCTGGGCCGATGCCCCGCCCGCCAAACGAGTCCCTTATCTACCGGAGGGAAAGCAGTTTTTGGTTACCCGCGGCGTGCCGTGCCATAGACGACTAGATGAAAATTTTGCGGGAGATGCTGGTAAAGAGGATGTTATGATTAAAGATGGACTGGGGTCTGGTGATGGAAAGGAAGGTGAGGATGAAGATTATGGGTGGTTGAATACCGGCGGCGGCAGCGGCGGTGGTGGCAGCGAACCCGTCACAATGGGAAGCGAGGCGAGAATAAAGGATGTCAGGACGGTAGATGAGGCCGGAAATGTAGGAGAGAAGGAAGAGGATGAGGAGGAGGAGATTCCTGACATGGAGGACGAGGAAGATGATGAAGAAGCGATAATCAGAGAACCGCTCGGGAAGTCGACAAAGGCGTGAGTCTCCTGGATTCTCACCATCTCGAATTTTTCTTTCTGACCAGATGGTAGGCCGCTACGCACTTACTCCCTCTACATAACCTATACACCTTGGTATAGAACCCCTCGCCTATATCTGTCCGGTTATCTATCCCCGTCCGAACCCCTTACACCTCAACTCATGATGGAAGATATTGTCGGCGACTACAAAGACAAGACAGTTACCCTCGAAGACTTCCCTTTTTACGACGGTGGTGTGAAAATGGCTAGCGTCCACCCTTGCAAGCACGCCAGCGTCATGAAGATCCTCCTCGATCGCGCCGACGCGGCATTGAAGATCCGGAGGCAAAAGTTGAAACGTGCAAATGCTGCCGGTGAGCCGGCAAAGGTGGAGAGTGGACTGAAAGGACTAGTGGATGACACTGCGCAGCTGAATATCTCCGGAGGAGGAAATAGGGCCGGAAATCCACCTTCTGGTCAGAATGCCGGTGATGAGTGGGAGGTCTTGCAGCCTGAGGGAAGCGAAGAGGACGAGGATGATCAGCAAGTCGCTATCCGTGTCGACCAATATTTGGTTGTGTTTTTGAAGTTTATTGCGAGTGTTACCCCAGGGATTGAGCATGACTTTACTATGGGCGTTTAAGCCTATGTCTCACCCTTCTCTCTTGAGCAGATAGGTGGCTCGCCCTTACTTTTCGAATTGGCTGGTACATGTAATTTCTGCTTTGGCTGGTTTGTATGATAATTCAATATGCTCCTGGGCAGTACCTGCATTAGAAATGGAGATCATATTTCTGACCGAGGGCTCTGGCCTCTGTATTCAATATGAATGTAATACACGGAATTAGATGATTTTACTTTTTGAATCCGAGAGAGATTCAAACTTCTCACTTGTACGGGATTTAAACCCATTGGTATGAATAGACAACCATAATCAAGAAATAGGACAAGCTAGTGCCGCTCAGATTTTCCAGAGCAGAGACATTTCAGCTTATGCGGATTCCAGAAGTAAAATATTTTCTCTAACCGAATGGCACCAGCATAAATGGATGCTCGAAAGATTTTAAAGAGGGAATTAAAATGACCTTCAAGAATCAGGCAAAATTGCAAACAAAACGAAAGGAGATCTCAAATAGATATGAAGCTATGTTTCAAAAATATAGGTCAAGAGCGTGATCCAAGTTTCCTCTGAAGACCAAGAACTTGCCGCCAGATGCAGAAGCAATACCCGCAAATTCGTCGGGGAAATATGTTATTAAAAAAAAAAAAAAAAAAAAAAAAAAAAGGGTTCGTATATATAGCTATCTGATCCAGCAGATGCGCAAAGGCTATGAACCAAGTTGCGTTGATCCAAAGGCACTCCCAAAGTTCGTACTGCGCTTGAACCTTATTTCTGGCTCCGGTTCGGGCGGCTCTCCATCATCTTGCCCATCTTCCTCGTCCGATGAGAGAGAGGGTCGAGATAGAGCTCTCTGAGCTTCCTTTAAGAGTTTCTCGTCTAGCTCTTCGAGGAATTCCAAATCCTGCTCGATGTCATTCTGTAAACCCAGTGTGCCTTGGAGAGCGGGATCGTCATCCAGCTCCTTGTGGTAGTGAGCTGTGTCGAGGCTCGCGACTGGAAAAAGTGATGGGAATGGAGCATGAGGCGATTCGTTAGGCATTGACTCGGCGATAGGGAAAGGAAACATAGTCTCCACAGCTTGATCGAGAGGTACCATTGGAGTGCGATATGTGTCACTTGGGATGCCGCCGAGAGGGGACGCTAAGCAGGGTGGTTCCTGCGATGGCAAGCCGGGGTTGAGCTCTGTGTCCACTGGCTTATGGAAAGGCGCGGTATCACGAGACCCGAAACTTGTCAAGATCGGCGGGGAGACTCTGGCAGCGATATCGGGTGGTAGTGCTGTAGATTTCAGTGTTATACCATCCAATGAGCTGTCTACGAGTTCAATTGGAACGGGTACGTGGCCAGATCGGTCAATCGGACGAGATCTAGGGGACAGTGCATCGTCTAATGACGGGGATAACCCGGGCCCTTCTGATTCGGGTTCCGCCTGCGGCACATCTCCTGGGAATACCCGTGAGGGTCTAGCTGTCGGACTGGAGCCTTCCCATACGTGATGCTGCTCTTCCGCCTGGGGTCCTTTGAAAAGGTTGACCTTTGGCCCTGTTGCTGCTGCATTGCCGGCTTTGCCACCTGGCCCTTCAAGCTCCGCGATTCTTTGCTGCATGATACAGCGCTCCTTTTCCCACAGCTTACGCTCCTCTGCGAAAGCTGCTCTTTCACATTCGAAACTTATTCGCAGGCTTTCGAGGGCCAAACGACCTTGTTCAATATACCCCTCTAAGTCAAATGCGCTTCTAGTTGGGACAGGATGGGATCTTGGGGGAACTTGTTCGGGATTCGACCTGGGCGGACTCATGTGTAATTCGGAGGTACTCTCCGCTTAATAAAGTGGAACAAGGGGCTATGAGATCAACTGACGCGGTGGAGGGAAAGATCAGATGGTCGCATTCATATTGTCCACTCACCCCAGACATGGAATCCCGCTGATGTTTTTTTTCTAAGCTGGGTCTATAATGATGCCAAGGCAAGGTTTGACCCAGCTTTTCTCTTCAAGAGAGTGGGGAGTGAGATTTAAGATGTCTCCAGAAGATCATAATAGCAGCCTGAACCCACAGGGACCATCTTCAACGCAATATCATGACTTGCTGTTCTGAAGTGAAGACTAGAGCTGTTTTTCTGATGTGAAGGATGCCACAAAGTTCAGCCAAGACCAAACCGCTGCTAGTGCCGATCTGGAACAGTAGGTAACTTGTTTACAAAATTACCTTACCCGGTGGAGGGATTTGCAGCCGCAGAGGGCCCACACGATGTATGAAATGTGTATTAACTAATAACTCAAATTGCAGGCTAGTTAACCCTGGCTCACCTTAGCCCTATCCAACCTTGTCCTTTCACCAACCTCGTCTACCGCTTTGAGCTTCCAATGTTCTCCTTCTCGATGAGTTTCGATTACTGATTGATGCTGAGGATGATCAAAATAGCAGCTTGCTTGCTGGATGCTTTGCCCTGGTTCAATCAGTGTCTTGAGTACCTTTCTTTAGAAGTTCCAAGCATGATACCGAAATCATTCTGTTTTCCGGTTGCAATGGTGACATTGCTGTGATCTTCTTGGAATATGTTGCAGCCTGTCTGCTGTTTGCACTTCTGGGTAGTTCTGACTGAGTGAAGTTGAGTTGCAGCCTGTTGGCGGCTTGGAGTGTGCATTTATTGGGGATGTTGTCTCTGAAGAGACACATCGCCTTGCACTATGGATAAGCTTATGATTTGTCATGTTGGCCATAAAGCTTCCTAGCTAGAAGTCTGATTCTCAGAAAAAGCTTCTTGCAAAGTCTTTACGTCACCGCCCAGGAACTCCTCGGAGCTGATTCTGCCGCAACTCTTCCATGATCTCAATCTTCCAGGTTCCATGATGGTCCTAGAGCGATAGGGTATCGCCATGGATTCTTCAAGGCCCAGTTTTATATTCCCTGATTGAAGGCGATGCTCGTTTCGTGGCCCGATTGCCAATTTACTGGCATAAGAGCCCGTGTCAATGGACACCTCCGCGGTCCAAGTCCCCCGAAACAATTTGACTGCGGCGCAACTCCATTCAATAGATATTGCCGTCCGAACTTGTGCCTCTGTTTCAGTTCTGGCCTGTATCCTTGTCATTGGATGTTATATGTTTAGTCGTCGCTTTCACACTCCACTTAATCGCCTCATTTTCTACGCGACATGGGGAAACATTTTAGCACATCTTGCTGAGCTGATCGCACGCTCGGGACCCAGGGCTGGTGAAACTAGTTCGCTCTGCAGATTTCAGGCTTTTTTTATTCAATGGTGTGTTGTGAACCGAATGTTTTGCGGCTTTTCTTGCCCTATCCATGGGCCTACTAAAATGAAACTAGGTTTACATCTGCAGATGCTCTCTGGAACTTGTGTATTGCTTGGAATGTCTACTTGATTCTATTCCGCCATTATGGCTTGCCAGAATTGAGGAGGTTGGAGTGGAGATATTTTATACTTTGCTATGGGCTGGAGTTCATTCCTGCAATAGTCTTTCTCTTTATTGAAACTGAATCTAAAGGGAGGGTCTATGGTGATGCAGTTGTATGTTATCGCTGGTCACTTTTGGTATGAATCCCTACTGATTCCTTCTTTTCGTCAGTTGTGGTGCTGGATTAGCCGTCCTTGGGGCTCACTCCGTCTTGGTGTGTACTACGGCATCGTTTGGTTCGCGTTTATTGTGACACTATCGATTTATACCGCCGCTGGAATTAAGATGTTCTTGCATGAACGGGGGATTCAGAGTATTACCGCCTCTGATCGGCTGGTCCTGAGTGCCCCATCGCCGCGACTCTCGGACGAAATTCAGCCCTCTGAAACTCCCCAGCTAGAAGATGGTCAACTTCCTGCAAACGGCCAAGTGATATTGGAAAACCCGTCTATGTCAAGAGACCAACAGACATCTGAGCCCCAATCCTCTTTCGACCCTGCATCGATTCAAGGGAGTCGGTTAATGTCTGGCAGTCGGGCTCCAGTGGCGAACTCCTCATACGATACTTCGGCATCCACACCCCAAGAGGGACAGATATCTGACCATATATCGGCTTCCCAAAATAATTCAATGTCCAGTAACCAAGAAGCCTCCCAAAAATTTTCAAATGCCGCTAGCATCGAACCCCCGGCCCAGGCCCACCTCCCAGAGCAGCCTGGCGATGAAAGCTACAGTAGCCTGGAGACCCTCCCTGAACTAGCAGATTTGAGACGCCGTCAAAGTCTCGCAAATATTATCGACTTTGAAAGACGACTGAGCGCGTCGACTGAGGGCCAAGAGAAAAAAGCGAGAAGATTATCACTGGAAAGGCACAATGCTGCTAAGGCTTATGCAAAATTTGCATCCATATATTTCATCTCTTTGATAATCACCTGGGTATGGGTTGCCGAACCTCTCCTCTGAGAAGTTCCCCATCTATTTTGCTGCAAGGCTAACGAATCATCTTAACTCTAGGTCCCTGCTACGTCAAACCGGATATACATATTCATACACCCACTAACACCAAACTTCGGGCTACTCCTTGCAGCAGCGATTGGTCTGCCGTTACAAGGCTTTTGGAACGCCATCATCTTTTTTACCACCTCATGGAGTGCTGTCAAAGCCGTCTCTAAGATATTGATGTCGCCCAAAGACTGGACTCTGCGAACAACGTTTAGGCGGCCCTTGGTGTTCTTTCAATTTTTGAAATCTTTAAGGGGACAAAAAAAAATCCAAATCCAACTACCAAGGAAGTAATTGAGGCTCAAGTCTTTTTGACTAGTTGCGAAACCGTTGAATGCTGTATTGGGTCTTTTTGTTGGTTCCACCGAAGGAACTTCAGCCTTGAAGGCTATTGACAACGGCATCGTCTTCATTTGAAACGCAAAAGCGAAAAAGGTAATTGTGCATTACGAAAATGATCTGAGGGGAGTGCACTCGAAATCTGAAACTGAATTTGTTTTACAGGCCATTGTCTTGTTTATTTTACGTTTAATCCTGCTGATGTCGAATAATTTGGAAAGTTTCATCATGTTCCTAGCTTTTGTGGGAGGGTCCCGACGCCTCGGATGTTAGTTTTGGTGGGAATATTCTGATTGCTGATACCCCAGTGCTTCTTCTATATGGAGTAAGGTAACGGGAATTCCTTGATGGTGGTGATTTTGGACATGGTAGTTTGGTATAAGATTATAACGACATAATAAAATTTGATTGTTTGCAGATTAAGGTTATATAAAAAATGATATCTGTCCGCTCCCTGAGATAAAGTGTACGACATATCTAGACGTAGATGGATCCCTGTGTATTATGTGACATCTATCAGTACACGCCCCGTCAACCGACAAAAAATATGATAAGGATAATGGTATATAGATCCAACTCGCACTCCAGACTCCCTGAAATGAAATAACTAGAAAAAGGCCCAGGTCTTTCTACCAAAACCGAGTCCAAAGGCAAAATCAAGTGATCATACACGCCTTCTATAGACCCCGGATCCCCAGGCCACTCTCAACATCGCTAATCCCCATGCCATCCCCAGACTATCCCAAACAACATTCAACTTGCTGCCCTTGACTTCTCTCCATCCTACTGGGACCTCGACAACGGGAATGTTCGCGAATTCCGCCAGCATAAGCATTTCAACGTCGAATATCCAACCTTCGGAATGCATATAAGGAACTATGTATGGTAAGCTGGCGCGGGAGAAGAGCTTGAATCCACACTGGGTGTCTTTAATTTGCGCGGTACGTGGAGGGGTAAGAAGACGGATTGTAATATGGAAGGCATGCATTAGAAAGTTGCGGAGTTTGGAGCGCTGATTGGAGTAGCATATTAGCAAGAGAAGTCTTTCTAGGGAGAGGGGAATATATGATGTACCTTGACCACAGCGTCGCTTCCGACTAGATGTGCTCTAGATCCTACAGCCACACCCCGCAGTTCGGAATCTTCAGCCTGTTGACAAGCCTGAACTAGTTTACCGAGATCATTAAAATTGCTTGCGCCATCGGCATCGGCGAAAACGACATATTTGCCTCTAACATGCCGCATTCCATGTGTGACGGCGCCTCCTTTGCCCCGGTTTTGTTTTAATGTAACTGCCCGGATCGTGCCCGGTGGGATGTGGACACCTTCTCTCAACTTTGAAGTCCACGGTCCAGCATGGCCTTTTGGATGGAGGGATAGCTGGTGATCTCTCGCAAAGGATAGTGCAGTATCAATAGTTTTATCCGTTGATCCATCGGACACTATTATTATCTCCCAGCCCTTCAATAAACCTTCCGATGTACCAACGTTGTTCGTTTTGCGTTTGCGCGTGGTTCCGATTCTGTCCTGCTTGGGATTTTCCCGCTTCCCTAAGCCGTTTATGTGAGGCGTCAGGGTTCCATATGCTCGCTCAAGATAGTTTACTGCTTCTTCTAACATCCCAGGCAAACGTTCTTGTTCATTGTACGCGGGGACTACGACGGACATAAACAATTCGGCATCCTCTAGGCTATCACTTCTGTTATCATCGGATGGTTGGGCTCCTATGCGGTCATACCAGCATGGCAGTGCTTTGGGTGGCGTGATGGAGCCATCTTCTGCAATTGTCTGGTAGGTCTTTTCCTCAGGGAACGGAGGTCTCGGGACAGGTGCGAGTAGGAAGATGAGGGTGTATCCCTATAACGTAACACGATATGGTTAATTACCGAAGCAAAGTATCGGCATAGAAAGGTCATTAACGTACAAGAAAAGTAAGTCCAATAAGAGTCGAGACGACGAAGCCAATCAAGTATGGAAGTGGAATATCAATGACGGCCTGCGCACAAGAGAGACACACATCCCGAAAGCCGGGTACGTCCATGACTTTTCGGGGCTCCTGCAGCGCTTGTTCTGGTCAATTGACCAGAACTCAGGTTGGAAGTCCTACCAACAAATGCGACATTAAGTAATAGCCTTGGATCGTGAACTGAACTGCAGAAGAAGCCGGAGCGATGCGGTGCTGAGAGATAGTACTGTATGACGCTTGGGCGGGCGGGCGCCACAGTGTCCTTTAGCGCGTTGGAATGTCAGGGGAACCGGTCAGAACTTAGTTAGTCATCGCCATCCACGTGATTTCTTTCAGGGGAAAGGTCCATTGCGCTGACTCTGCCAGGCGCAGGGATCATATTGCAACATCCACCTGTTCAGGTTTGACGGTATCCCCCGCGGGGTCTCGTCTTATATAGCTCGCCCCGCGGCCCCGGGGGGGGGGATCGAGCTTGGTGCAGTAGGTTGGTTAGGGCCCCAAACAATCCCCCGAACACTCTAGTTTGATTCCTACTTAACTACCATTGGTGGCGAATCGCCGATGATTCTTTTCCCGTCCTGGATTCAATGCGCACCACTCCCTAGCTTCCCAAATTCATGTTCTATGATGGTGGCATATTGGCTTCAAAGACAAGTTTATTGCTTTGAAGAACCTATCTGCCGTGAGGATGTTCCGATCCCAAGGTCTCTTTGGCGCTTGGATGTGCTGCTGAATGACGGTGTGGGGTACGGAGTACGGAGTACTCCACAGTTAGTTAGCTTTGCCCGCAAATAAATTTTCTGGGGAAAGCTTTGCCTCAGGGCAATTGGATCTATGGACCTGACCAAGGCCAAATGCATCTTGAGTCCGGGGAAGAGCCAACCCATGCATCTGGCCATGCTTGAGGCTCATCGTTGTGCAGTTTCCCACAATATTATGTGTGCTCTATTCTGTATGAGAGCATGGGAGAACTCTTCCATCCTCTTGGGGTTTGGATTTTCAAATAGTTGCTGGGATTGGGTTCTGCGCTTCGTTCTGCGCCAATTGTGGACAATTGTGCGTTGGATTCCCCGGAAGAAGCCAAAGCTTCTCATTATCGGGTTCCATTCGACGCCATCATTGTGATGTATCGTTTTCAAAGCCATTCTATCTAATGAAATAGAATGCCAGTTTCATTCTGAATATAAATACACTCGCGCAACCCATAGCTGTGTTGGAGAAAGCCACACTTCTCCTAAATTCCCATACCCTTGTGCAGGCTTCCATCATGCATCTCAAAAAGGCTGTTATTGGTGGTTTTCTTTTGACCTCAACATGTGCATTCCCAAACCACGATGGAAACGATGCGCAAGGATTGCCATATCTACACCCGCGATTGAGAACGATCAGGTCGAACACAGGCGCTAGTATCAGTTTTACTGAGGCCAGCAAAGCTGGAATCTGCGAAACAACTCCCGGCGTGAAAAGATACTCCGGCTACATTAACCTTAGCCGTGACGCTCATATGTTTTTCATGTTCTTTGAAGCCCGGCAGGATCCTCATAACGCCCCGACTACCCTGTGGCTTGGTGGTGGTCCTGGAAGTGACTCTCTGAACGCAGCATTCAAAGGCAAGCCTACTGAAAATCTAACTGAATATTGTTGTGCTGACTTGGCCTGAGTCTCCAGGCCTCGGGCCATGTGGCGCGCCACCGAAGAACTGGCTACGTATATAAATCAGCATTCATGGACTGAGGTGTCAAATCTACTTGTTCTATGGCAACCTATCGGAGTTGGCATGAGAGTATGGCATGTTTGTAACCGCTTGTCACTCATATCGATTACCAGGCTTCTCTCATTCGTCGATTGAGCCAGGATCTTTGAATCCCTTAACACGGATATTCGAGAATGCATGGTTTGCTGGAGTCACTGGCAGATATCCTGTCATCAATGACGCAAATAAGGTTGGTGGGAAATTGACGAACCCGACAAAATTAATTTCGAATGTGTGCTTATATCTGTACAGGGACTACTCAAGCGGCTGCGAAAGTAGATTGGGATGCCGTCCAAGCGTTCTATGGTGCTCTACCCAAGTTAAACCCTAGGTTGAAGTCAAGACATTTCAACTTATGGACAGTTAGTAACGGCGGGTAAGGCTATCAATTTTTCGCTATTGGTCCAAGCTGACGGCATTTGCAGGCACTACGGACCTACTGTGAGTCTGCATCGAAGTTGTTATATTTCTGAATTGCTACTTGTATCTATAGTTCTTCAGGTACTTTTACGACCAGAACACTAAGATCATAAACGGAAAACTTCGTGGTCAGCCCTTGGCATTTGATGCTCTGGGCATAATAAATGGTGCTATTGACACAGGGATCGAGGTAAGTGATTCTTCGACTTTAAGTCACGATCGGACTTCTTACTTGATCTTATTACGCGCCTTATTTCCCTGACATTGTGAACCACAATACCTACAACACTTAAGGAGTTGGTTTCACTTAGGCGTCCGTAGCCTTGATGCTACGACCGATAAAGAGCTGACCGTTAACTTTCTCAGGTAAACCAAACAGTGTATGATTATATGAAGTTTGCAAATTCAATGCCAGGTGGATGTCAGGATAAAATCAAAGCCTGCAGAGCGACAAACTATTCCTCTATAGCTGATTCTACCGTCTGCGTTCAAGCTGTGCATATGTGTAATGACAACGTCGGTCCGTAACCAAGAAGCATTGTGCAGGGTTGGAACGCCTAATGATTTATAGGATCTCCTTATCTGAACGCAAATCCTCGAAACATGTATGATATTCGCATAACTGCTGACGTGAGTACATATTTCGAATCTTTGATTATTCTACTTTGACCTCATCGCAGACTCCTCCTGAACCGGACTACCTAACGCCCTTTTTTAACAAAGCCTCTACTCGGAAGGCGCTAGGGGTAGCGCTCAACTGGACCAGTATGAGCTACGACGTCTATTGTGCGTTTTAGCAAACTGGTGATCTTGCATGCGCCAGATCTCTTGAGGACGTGGAATATATACTCGATCTGCCTGTTCGGGTCACACTCATGTATGGTGACGCAGATTTCGTTTCTAATTGGCTAGGTGGCGAGGCAGTTTCGCTTGCAGCAAATTATTCTAATGCTGCGGCTTTCTGACGTTCGGGCTATGTTCCGATGACTGTTGACGGGAAGCAATATGGGGAGGTCCGTCAGGCGGGCAATTACTCTTTTGTAAGAGGTTACGAGGCTGGGCATGTGGTACAATGTATGGCTGATATCCTCCTACTTTCATTCCCAGATAGCGTCATGGATTGTTATGCTGACGGCTTGTCTCAGCTTACCAACCTCTTGCATCGCTCCAGATCTTTAACCGAACACTTCTTGGATTGGACATTGGGGGCGGATTCGCAGAGGCCACACTAGATTTTGAAACGAATGGGTCTCCACATGCAACACATATAAATAGAGGGTCATCACCTACACAATCTTAAAGTCATTTTTGCTTTAACCATGCCAAAAGCTGATTGGCCCATGTAACTTTCTTCCTGGCCGCATGCTCCGAAACACACCCAGGTCTTAGCTACCTCTTTGCCTTTTACGGATACAAAGGAGTGAGTTGTGAAATAGTACTACAAATATATGTACTATATACACATACAATAGGACTACAGGAATTGATGAGCCATACTCCGTAGCAGCGTCAGCTTCTCCTGTGTGATTTGATTTTGCCAGCAGGGTCCATTCCTTATCGTTCAAGATTACACTCAACCGTGCCTCATCCAATTCTATTCCACTTGCTATACGTACGGGATACGTAGCTGAGCCACTTGCTTTTTAATGGCGAGCACAGAGTACTCAGGAACATATATTTCATATAGAATACTCCGTACTCCGTACAGGCCCATGAAACCGATTGTCTCGTCATAAGCCAGCCTCATAATATGCCGGTTGCGTTAGTCAAAGGAGCGTGCTTATTTGACAGGTTGGTTGTTAGCAAGAACGACCCTGAAGAAACCATAGCGTCCTCCATGCCCTCAGCTCTGTAGAAGCGAGCGGGAAATATAACGATGTATGGAGTAAAAGAGACGAAAAGCTGAAGAGCAATGAGACGATGACTAATTTCACTCTGTGGTGGCTGGTTTAGTTAGTTAACTCTTTGGTTTCCGAGTTGGTGATCCCAGCCACATATTTACCCGGACAATGGACATGGGTGCCCCGGCGACAAACCTGCATGCGCGGTGCTTCTTTAGCGTCCAACATCAGCACACCGGATAGGCTTTGAGAGAGACGCAGCACTCGTTTTGAAACTCAGACGCATCTGCTGCTCATTCAAAACACGCAATTAACCTAGGAATCCGGTTTCCACTACAAATCCTATTCCCCGACCTGGATGGCTCAGCCACTTTTCACCCATCGAAAGCCAGCTTGCGCACGGTCAATTATTAGGTCGGCATTGCCATCTGGTGAAGTGGTGGTTCCCAATTGACCCTGTACACCAAATGGCTACGTGGAGTGAAAATGTTGGCGATCTAGCTGCCAAATCTTCCACGAGACCAACGCCTACGGAACCGCCACGAGCTCTCCTTAGCGGCCCAACGACTGAGCCAACAATCATGCCTATCGACCCTTCTGACGATTTGTCGTGCCTGCGGCCTTCCCTCGAAACGAAACACCCATTCAAAGAGAACTCCATAGGTGAACCTGAACTCTCGAGGCTAGCGTTGGTGACAAGACAGTCTCCCAGACAGCTTCAATACCCCAGGTCTGAACAACGTACATCGTCACTCCAACCCACACATCGACGAGCGAGGACAGATCTATTTTTGCCTAATAGACATAGCATCGCTTCGACATATGCATTGGAGGATGTTGTGCTTAGTACGGATCAAGAAACGCCCAAGTTGAAATCAGGCAACGGAAACGGACTGTTTGGTGGGTTATTTCAAGGGGAATCGACACCTATTAGGCTTGGAATAGTTCCCTCGCCTACTGCAGAACAAGCTCAGCGATCTCGCGGATCCTCTCCGACACTTCATAGCCACTCTTCGTCTCCGAATAAGAAGATGAACGTGCCATCCCCGTTAAAGAACATCACATATTCGAGCCCGTTTTCATTTTTTGGCGCGAAGCAACAGAAGGAACAATTGCCCAAGATGCCGGAGCCCGCGGACGATGAATATTTGAACCTTGACATTGACGCTATTCTTTTCCGTACCGATATGCCCAACCTACCACCGGAAGAGGCGCTCGTGAATTTCCAACGAAATGCAGAAAACTTGGTTCGCCAATTACAAAAAGCCTACAAGCAACGTACATTCGCCCTGCACCAAGCACTCGCTGAGAAAATTGAGCAAAAAGAGGAGCTCGAGGAGACCCAGTCAAGATTTCAAAATATGAAATCCCAGCTAGATGGGATGGCCGCCAAAGTATTCGAGCAAGAAAATGAAATGAAAGCTCTGGTTGAAGAGCTAAATATAGAGCGACAGAAGCGGAAACAGGAAGATGAAGCGCGACGGCGAAGCATTGTACCTGTTAGAAAGCTCGATGAGGTCCCTGACCCGGCCGGAATACAAATTAGCCCTACCAAGAAACACTCTAAATCCTCGAGCGGTGCTTCGATTATGATTGATTCTGGATTCGAATCCGCAGACGAAAGTATTTCGGAGAGTATTTTCTCTAAAGGAACGGACGATACCGCTCCGACAAGACCAGCCTCCATCATATCCACAACTCTTGACGTGCCGCCTCCTTCGACCTATCAGCCATCTCCGCTAAAACCTCGACCTCTTTCCCCATCGAGGCCCTCAACCTATGATAGGGTCCTCAAGGGCATATCCGCAGCCGGCTCTTCTCTCAGCACCCTGACTTCTTCCCGGTGTCCCAACTGCCAAGGAGGTAGATCATCGGATCCTGGTTATGTTGCTACTATACTGCAAGAGGAGAACCGCGTCCTGAAGTCACGAATCACCGAACTTGAGACTGCTATTGAAGAGTGTATTACCCTTGTTGGGGGATGACCGGTTTAGATAATTGTGTTGTGAAATTACTCGGATGGTATGCTCCGATGTTTGGAAATATTTTGTTCATGGATACTTGCCCTGTTGGACTTATGACTTGCCATTCCGACCATGGCTATACGACCTTTTTGCCAATACGATGTTTTCTTTGGCTCAGGATAATTATGATTTCTACGTTCAATTGTATGGTGTGGCGGTTCTGTGATCTTTTTTTTTCCCCCTGGAATTTCCTTTATTTGAAGTATAGACGGCTCTCCCTCTTGGAGCACATGCAAAATGACATTCCCTTCTTTTAACATCATAATGTCTTAAATGTTAGGCTCTTCTCAAAGCTAGGTGCTTAGTGGAAGGCGAAAGAGCCAGCTCATGTCTACAATACTTTAAGCTCCATTTCGAAAAATCGACACTCCATGGTCCCTAACTTCTTCAATGCTTGTGGAATAATACGAAACCATAACTATAACTCAATCATTACCGCCAATCCCATACTCCCTTTGCACGTCTACACATCTGACTCCTCTACCTTCCGCAATCAGTCCGAGCAGACCCTGGCCGATGTCTTTGATTTCGTTGTATTCGTGGAGAAGGCGAATGTGGCGTTTCACTATGAATGCTGGGTCGGGTGGAGGATCATTTGCGGGATGAGTTGCCCTTAGGAAGTTATTAGGATACGATTCATACGCAAAGTATTAAACCAACCGCATTTTCCCAGATCTGCCAGGCCATCGGGAGGGGTTTGTAGGAGTGTATTTACTTGTATTTCTCCTGAGCCTCTGAAAGAAGCTTTTCTGTTTGGGTTATTTGACATTGAAGCCTGGATATGCTTGCTTCAAGGGATCTCTGAAAATGTAATTTTCGGCATGTTAGCAGGCCCCTTAGACCTTTCCATGCTTTTGGGGTGAGTATATGACACTTCACAAACAATCTAGCAGCATGAAAGAAAGAGCCATTGGGACTAACAATTTTTCTCTCTTGTTGCGGAGTGAGCTCAGCAACTGGCATTGGGGTATTTGATTGGGGTGATGTGATGATGCCATTGCTTACTGCGGCCAGCTCAGACGATGGTCGCCCTTTTTTTGGAGGGTTCGACTGCAGTTGTGCGGGCATTTTGGAGTATGTGTACCGAGTAGTTGAGGCAAAATAAGTTGCTCGACTTGATACTTTTATTCCGGAGTGCTTAAGGGGACCCTCGGCTTGATACGGGTAAGCAGGCGTGCCGGGAACCGGTGTGGGCTGGTGTCCGCTGTGACCAACCGCTCAGTCCGTTTTACCAACGCTTGGGGATCTCCCGTCTCGATGCCTTGGCGGTGGCTTATTCAGCACCGAATTTGACTTAACAGTTATCCACCTTCTTCCGTCGAAACCTTGGGCTCACGATCTCTCATCTCCTTCTCATGGCCGACGACATAATCATCCTGGTAGTGGTCATGTTACGCGGTTTTAGGCAGCCTTGTTGTTGGCCGTGGAAACCAGATACATATTAGATTTTCTTTGTCTATCCCTCCTGATGTGTTCATTCTTTTCCCGAGCACAATTGACATCCGCAGTTCCCCTTTCCTCTTGAGATTTGTCTCTCAACCCTCTTCAACCCTCATTTCAGCTCAGATTCTTCAGGTTTCACTTATACTGTGAATACAGGCTTTGTTGATGAAGAAGATGGGCGGCCTTGGTGCTTCAGCAGCTCTTGTTGTGCTGTCACTGGCAGCAACTGTTCATGGCCATGATCATCATGATAGCTTGCCTGAAGGCCAGGTTATTTCTGCTGAGCCACTTGTGAGTTATCTCAGTTTTCTCAATTATTCTGGTTAATTTACTACAAACTTTTGGCTGACAGGTGTATGCCCTTAGGATTCGATTTTATGGACCCATATCCTTTTGATGGTATTGGCCTTCGGCCTCATTTTTCCTACTGGAATGGTCCTCGGTGTGAGTAATTTCAAGCCCAATTTTATGAATGCTTTCGCATCTAATATTTCGGTTTTATTTTAGCTCGTTAGATCCCGTTGGCATGTCCCTGTTCAGATCGTCGGTGCCGTCGTTGCTTTCCTCGCTTACTTCCTTGGCCATCTACACAAAGGCCGTCAATTCTCTACCAATATCCATGCCGCTTTTGCAAATTCCTTGATGCTTATGCTTATAATCCAACTTGTTTTGGGGGCATATTTGAAGCTACATCTATCCAAAGGAATTCATGGTAAATTTCGATGCTATGTTGTCACCCTACACGGACTCATGGGCAAAATGATGCCTCTTGTTAGCTGGATTCAAATGTTATTTGGTGGCATAACTGCCTTGGGTTTCTGTCATGACGATCACCTTGGACAGTGCCTTGCTCATTTTATTATGGGAAGTGCGTTCATTGCCTATGCGATCATCCTTACGATTCTTCTTTTGGTAGGGCAAGTTTGGCTCCGCAGAACGGGGCGCAGCCAGGAATTCTTCGACTCACTCGTCATTACCCTTTGGGGCTGCATTAATACATTTACAGAGCATCGTTGGGGCCAGCCATGGAGACACAATGATATGCAACACACATCCATGGGAATCATCTGGTGGTGTGCAGGTCTTTTGGGTCTCTGGCTCAGCAGAAGACGCAACGGAAGACCACGACGCAATATTTTCCCGGCAATTGTCATTCTTCTTACAGGCTATGCGATGTCTTCCCATCCACAGCACCTGCCACTAAGTGCGATGGTTCACTCTGTTTTCGGATATACGTTGATGGCAGCTGGAGCAGCTCGAATTGTCGAGATATGCTTTGTGTTGAAGGATCGAAGTGCTGTTAGCGATGATGGAACTGAAGCGAGCAGTTTTCAGTACCTTACGCCATTCGTAAGTCGAGACCATCGTTTCTTTGGCCGAATTTCTGACTCACAACATTTTTTAGTTACTCTACGCTTCAGGTTTCCTCTTCATGGGAGCAACTGAAGAGCAGATGGAACTCCTCTCAAATGCAGGAATCGATCATGTCTCTTACATTTTAGTCCTCTACAGCGTTGCATGCATCATGTTTTTATGTAAGAAAATCTTGCTCCTTGTTAAACCCCTAGTTGGTACTAACGTATCCTGCAGTTATCAACATCCTCCTGCACATCTACGGTGTTCACGCATTCCCTGAGACCGCTAAGTACAACCGGGGCGCCCGAATGGCACGGAATGGATCACGCCAACGACCGCCTCAATATCGTTCTTCGACTTCCTTTGCCTTGGAGCGATTTCAGCTCGAGTCTCCACAAGTCAACGGGCTTATCCGCACTCCATCTCAGACCGAGCAAATTAGGGATGCACAGGAGTTTGAGCTCGAGGGATTAATTGGGGCTGCTGATAAGGATCGTGATGAGGAAGATAGCCCGGTTACATCCACCCCTCCTCCTGTTCCTCCCAAACCGGAGGTTTAGGCACTTCAACACCGGGAATGTAAAGGGATATTCTGACCCTGGGGGCAATTTTAAATTAGGACGGAAAACATATCAGCGCTTTACAGGGTTCGGTCGGGTTTTCTTTGCTGCACAACTTATCGATTCTTCTTCTACTGTGTACATCATTTCACTTTCATAAAATACACTTATACTGTTTTAATTCTCCATCAGGTTCCTTGTTGCAAATATCGGCCGTTACAGCGTGAATTGAAACAGTATTCAGTACAGAGTACTCCGTACATTTCGCACATATTCGCGCGTGACTTTCAGCTCAATGTGGACAGAGTATCGCATTTGACTGGGGTTATGGCCTATGAAGAAGGCTCCTTACAGAGCACCCTGTATTATCTGATTTTCTAGGGACAATACGGAGTATGAGCCGTTCTTTTGCAGCCCTACGCCCTTTCGGTGGCAGAACCCGTAAGATGAAGTGACGTCATACACAGCCTTGAGCCATTGAGCTAACGCCCAGCCACGGGTGAGACAGCCTTGGCATGGGAAGTTACCAAAACTCTGGAAAGGGGCAACGAAATGGCGCACGAGCATAAACACGCCTCTCAAACTATGACTCTATTCTTTCAACAAGCTTTACCCCACCCGCCGCCCGCAGGGGTCATGACGACAATCCTATCATTGGTCTTCATCATCACTGTGTTCTTCCCTCCAATGTTTACAACCCCTCTCAGTCCCGCTTTCAGTGTCCTTTGTAATCCACAAATTCAGCCCTGTCTGTCCATCTTCGCCGCCCTCAAGACCTTATGGTCTATAGACTCTCCTCTCAGAAAGAATGGAGCATTGCAGAGGGCTCAAAAGTTCAATTTCCCTGACCACACCTTCCCCGCCTGAGTGTAACCCCTTGCCGCCGGAGTTCTCGCAAAGAGAGAATTGACGCAGGAAAACCGGATAACGCTTCTCAAATATTTCGGGGTCTGTGATGCGCGTATTAGTCATGTGGACATGAACGCCGGACTCCCCGTGCCAAGTTGGGCCAGCACCGCTTCCGCCTGCGATGGTCTCGTAGTAGCCGAACCCGGGAATGGTTTTACCTGTTTCCTGATCAATTTTGGGGTCTCTGCCGAAAGTAAGCTTGTTGACACATCATTGAGAGGCAGCACATGCCCGAAGGGCCTTGAAGACGACATCGGTAATACGCTGAGAGGTTATGACATTCCCACCCACAACTGCAGCTGTCTTTGTTGGAGAAAGGATGCTCCTCTCCGGAATGCGGATGTCGATCGGGCCCAGGCACCCTTGGTTCAGAGGAATGTCCAAATTCATCATGCAGTGGAGTCAATAGATAATCGCGGAATGAGTAATGGCAACTGCTGCGTTCCAGTTGCCGTACACCTCGGGACAGGTATCTGACTGCATGAATTCGAAACGACAATCTTCCTGTCCGTCGAAACCGCCATCGAAGTTGTCGGAAATTGAATCGATATACGCTTTTATAACGGGGGCCAGATAAGCATCCGCAGCGGCAGACATGGCTCGAGGAACGATCTTAATCATTGGCTGCAATTTCGAAGATAGAGCGACGGAGAACCCCATAGACTCTGCAATTTCACCAATCTGCATTTCTTGCTTCGGATAGGCATAAGAACTTGTCGTCTACTTACTTTTGGAAACAGAAATATACCGGAAAAGGTCAAGATCAGGGATGAGTCTCCTGACATCCGTGCAGGGAATCATGAACGAACTGTCCGCCTGGTTACGCAGAATCCCCGACCGACTGAAAATCGACTTTTCTACATTGGAGGCACGCGTAAACAGAGAAGCTGTATCGGTATTTCTTCATTTCTATTCATGCATCAACATGACAGCACGGCTACTCGTTTTACATCATCAAAAGGCGGCTCGACGCTGAATCACAAGGCTCTGCGACACGCAGCCGGCAGGATGGCCTCTCCAGAAATATTGTTGCTGTCATCGATTTTTCGATCAATGCCGCTCGTGCATGCGTTCATATGATGAATACAGCTGCAAAACATAACCTTATGTGTAAGCTCGCGTTCCCATGCTTATTGAAATCCATCTAAAGGACTGGAAAAGCTACATACGGCTATCTCGACGGGGGGTATGGTGATGTATTCAAAAGCCGGGTAAGGCTAGAGAATACCCCGGCTTCCTACTATGCATGCGCAAGCTAGTGAGGTAACTCTGGTTTTACGTATGGCCCACAGTATGTAGAAAGCTTGCAGATGATTAACAGGGAAGACATTGCCTGGTTCAAGCAGAAAGTCATATTTAACTTGATAAATATTCTCTATGACATGATAATAATATCCTTTCCTCGTATCTCTACTCAACTTAACTACCCATGCATTCCAGCATATCCACAAAACATATTCATAGAAAAATTTTAGTTGGTTGATTAAATATTAAAATATCGTTGTCCATTGAGGTCATTGAGGGGTATAAACTTTTATTTTGGTTTCCGAAATAAAGAATTCTCCAATTGCGCCAGTATCTCCTAGAAAGTGTCTCGATGTTAGAGCTTTGAGGACAAAGGATGAGGAAAATCGCCAGTCTTGCTTACCATATCGTAAATGTAAGTTATAGTCAATCCATTCTATCCACAACACAGTTTTCACGCTCCGTCTTCTTTATCGTTGGAGCATCGAGAAATAAACGGCGCGGCTCTCACTAATGGTTGCTTTTTTCAAAGTTTTCTTCTCCTTCTTTGCCTGGGACTGAGATACCGGAGAGAAGTCCGAGGTGCTGGTGCGTCTGCTGGTATTGGCTGAGGTAATTGGAGTGCTGTTGACAGACTCGGGGTTAAGATAGGAATGGAAGAGCTTGATATCGGTAGCGTGAGCAGACATGTTTGAAGTTCGGTGGTTGTGTTTGCTAGATTATGCTTTGCGATAGCGAACGGTAGTTTAGTTATTAGTTGTTGGTGTTATTAGATCTACATCTCAGTTAGTCTATGCAAAACAACTATCCCTGGTGTTTGGAAGACTCACAACTAGCTTTCAGGATCGCAATTGATTTGTTCTTTATCTTGCAATTGTCTCTTCGTTTTGCTTCGGTCGAGGAATCTGATCAGAGCATATCAATCCTGTTCACTTGGGCATATTTATATCCGATTGCTCAGCCTTTTGACTACGGAATGAAGGCTCTGGAACCACGCAATCCATGCGTCCAGACCACCAAACCCCCTGGCATAAAAATTTTAATGCCAGCAACTTTGACTCAGAAACTGACAGACGCGATCCAATCAATGCGTCTGTTGGCGGCGGCTGTTTCTCAGTGAAATGTGTGGCTACGCGAGTGACGTCATTTTCGCGTTTAGACTTCCCGTCGGATTAAAAATGGCGAACTCCGACGCCAAGCGCAGGGCGGAACAAGCCCAGTGCTCCTCGGAATTGGCGTCTCGATCTCCCAACGACAAGGATGGTGAGGATCGCCTCCAGGGACCGTCCAAATGACTAATGCAAGCCTTGTGGGCCGGCAAGGAAGATTTTGTAAGGCGATGCTTCTAGACATGGGATATTTTCCATCCACCCAAAGCATGCACAAGAACTGGTGGCTGATTGAAGTCATAGCCGAGTAGTTAGGGAGTACAATGCCACGCAGCTATTTTAAACCCAACGAGCTTTCCTCCTCTATCCGCCGTCTTCTGGAATTGATTTTCTTTGGAGTGGCAAAAAGAAAATCTAGACTCGTGTTACAGCCTGGTTCTTGCTCTATATTACTACAGTCCTACCAGAAACCCATGCCTGGTTTGCCTAGAAACAGTGGCCGCCCTTCTAGATTCAAAATTCCCTAATGATATCCGCCCGTGCAACATGCCGTGGCCTATGCTCCATTATTATTCGCACTCGCATCGGGAAAGAAAGGGTGAAGGGAGTAGATGGGGGAAACGTTGCGCTCGCCGTCAAAGAGAAGAAAATTCTGAAGCGGTTGTTCACGGCCGCTTAATACATTAATTGCATCTTGCGCTAGATGCCCACCCAGGAATGCCGCCACTGGATTGATTTCGCTCCCGATGTTCTGCAAGAAACTGCGTAGAAATTCAGCTGTCAAAATGGAAGGGTCAAGCTTCAGCTCTAAATGGCGTTCATTCGACAAGACGGTAAAGCGTTCCAAATCCGATCTCGAAAAGGACGGATAGACTCCGCCATTCTGGCGTTGAAATTCCCATAAAGCTCTAAGGCAGGTAAGGAGAGGAGTGACCTGCTTTCGTTTCCGGGGAACTTTTGTAAATTCCTCCGGTAAGGGAGATGTGTTTGCTAGAATCAAGGGCGTGTAGACCTCGCGCTTGGTTACCATCTCGATGACCTTTTCATTTTCTACCTTCGTGGTTATATGAAGAATTTTTCTTGTTCTCGTCTCATTTGTGCGTGATGGGACGTTTGACTTTTCGCGCTCGATTACGAAATCGTGGCTAACTAGATCTGCAAAGATAAAACCGTAAAAGCCATGCAAACCAGCCATATACGACGGCCGGTTAGCAACCCGACATGCAGCATTGACAGTTGCAAATGTGTCAAAGTCGAGGTCAGTAGCAATCGTGATATCGAATGTAGCAAAAAATTCGGGAGGTTTGGATTTGACATCTTCAGTATCAACGTGGAGCTGTACTCGCGGGTTCATCTGTCTGATGCGTGGTGCTGCGGCTTCGGCCCGCTGTAGCAAGTATCAGTCCTGATTGCAACGTGGAAACATAGAGTCCATACGTTTTGTCCGATGTTATCTTCAGAGATGAAGAACTGTGCCCCAAGATCTTCTTCGCGGACTGTCTCATTGTCAAGCAGAGTAAGGGACCCAATTCCTGCAAGCACCAGATTTTTGGCTATTTCGTTGCCCAGTGCTTTAAGTGACACCAAAAGGATCTTAGCTGTTCGTATTCTTTGCAATGAAGCGTATTAGAAACCCTAAGTTGCTATCCTCAAAAAAAGGCTAAAGGTATATGTACTTTTCTTGGGCTTTTACACCCCATAGCCTAATCTGACGGTCGTACAGAGCAATTTCATCTGGGCTTGGTTGTTAGAAAAAGTCAAATCAGATCTTGGCTTCAAGCCTCACCTGCACTAATTTTGCTACTCTCAGTTTGTGCCATTGGCCTAAATCTGTATAAGGAGCTCGAATGAGGTCGTGGAAATGCTGTGTTGGAATACCAAGATATGATGTTGTTGATCAAATGAAAGAGTAACTTAGTTGGCAGAAGATATAAGGAGAAGTGCAATAAGAGTGCAATTAATACTTCAATTGTATTTGTCTCATTGGTGCCTTTGTTGGCTGAGTTACTCTTCCTTGTTGCCGCTTTCAACAATCTGGCGCGAGCGCTTTCAGATCGCGCTTGATAATGGAGCGTCACTGGCGGCTTGGCGCAATGATTAGATAACCTTCCGAGGCAGTAAATCACGTGCCTGTGTGGCTTAAGAGTCAGCCTTAAATTGATTATGTAATTAGGCAAGCATGGATTTAGAGTTCGACACTAGTTAGAGCGCCCTTTCCGATGACATAAGCCCCCCCGTCCGCGCTCTAACCGGCCGCTCTTGACGACACTCCATCCCCCGTCCTCTTTTTCGATAACTCTCCCTCCCCCTCATTCTATGATATCTCCTTCTATTCCTGGTCGTCATTTATGGTTTTGGACCCCTATCCGAAGTCTTGTGGTTAGAGTAAAAGATACCCTGGAAAGCTAGAACGTTTTCGTGTTGTCCTCGCATCCACCCGCCGTCCTCACCTCTCCCACCTTGCACATGTTAGGCGACACCTCTGGCGTTGCATTTGACTGCCATCCTTTCGTATCCTGGGTTGCGGTGAAGTGACGGCTTTTCTTTTTGTTAAGATGGTATTCACTGTGCACTCTTTGCTTTGAAATGATGCCACAATTCGTATTTGCGGAGTCCATAGCCTTTTGGTGGTAAGGCTAATGTTGTGTTGACACGTGCAGTCTGACAATTTTGACTACCCTCCGGCATCAAACGATCACCCCCCAAGACCCCAATTATCGCAGGCCACCCACGCCCGTTTAAATCTAGCAAGTCAACTACGACACCTTCGAGAGCTCATTGAATTTCATGACGGGGATGGAACACAAAGAGACCGTGCGTTGGACACCCTTAACCGTGAAGTAGAGGAGTCGTACCCTGCCACTGCGGCGTCTCGATTGTCAGATTACCGTCTTAATAATAGGTCGTCAGGGGATCACGCTGAACGCCGTGATCGTCTGCGACGTGCTATGCAAGATGCTTCAGATGCCGTTGAAACTCACCTGATTAGTACCGGGTCAAGAAGACCAAGAGCAGGATGGGAGGACGATTTATCGATGATGGTAGGAGCACGGAGACTTGCCGATATTAATGGACTGAGCGGCATTCAGTCGGCCCAGGAGCGATTGAGGGCAGCGAGTTCAACAATTCGAACCTTGTTGGATGATAGTAATGCGACCCCTGGTCCTGCTTCCCGCGAACATCCTTCCGAGAGACAATCAAGCCGTCGACGGAATAAGCGGATCAAACTTGATTCCGATGATAAACGCGAAGGCATACGGGGTTTAAGCTACGGACACTACGGTCAGGTTGTGCCTGGGGCGCTGGAGATGGAAATTCTCAGCTGCGATGGAGGGGCTTATGGATTAAACGGTCGAACCTCGTGGCCACAGAATATCCTGGAGGATGACAATTCAGTGTTTAGTGCCAAGAACGAACGATGCAACATTATACTAAAGCACCACGGCCAAACCCCATTTTGTTTGAGAAGATTGGTTATTAAAGCTCCAAACTCTGGATATGATGGACCGTGAGTCTCGGGCTAGATATCTATGCAATACTAATCAGAGGATACGCTGACTCGTTCCGCTGATTCAGGGCTGGTATTCGTGAGGGGATGGTCTTTGTGACTATGGCATCGGATGAGCTACTCAGTCGTACGGCCCGGTATCATATAATCTATTCTTGTCGACCTTTGCGGCCACCGCCTCGCCGACATTCTTGGCAGACTACTTCACAACGATATCTTAGCGCTCTTCGAGCCTCGCTACAGTCACCACAACGCACAGTTCTAGTACACCCAGAACAATTATCTTCCCACGCAGATAATTCGACTGACCCCGAAGACCGTAGCCAGCCCCAAACCACTAGCCGACAGTTGTCGCCAGACCGTCGTACGGAATTTCATGTCACTCTAGAACAAGACGATAGGTCTGACGATGGATCTATACCCGATCAACACTCAGAGGAGTTGACAGCTAATGCTGAAGGAGCATATGAGGATATGTCCGAGTATCTATATCCGGTGGAGTGTAGCACCGATAGTAGTGATGATGAAGTGAGTGACACGTCTGATCGTCTCCTCGACGAAATTCGACGTCAGGTGCGACAATCAATGGGTGTCGATTCGAGCAGTATTGGACTCAGGAGCCGATTACTACCGAATATCATCGCTCCTCCAGCAGGGCCGTACTCTGGCAACGCGGAGGCTACTGAGCCAGTCCCACCTGCAGAGGAGGTCCTCTCCCCACATGCAAGGTTTTTTATCAGAAGAGACAAGAGCTCCGTCAGTATCAAGTTCGATCCGCCTGTGTAAGTTGCCTTTTCCCCTCACCTTTACCCTTTAGCCTTTACACGTCCATCCCATTCTTGTTGTATCTAACCGGGAGAGTGGTAGGTCTGGGCGGTTTGTCCTCGTCAAAATGTGGAGTCCGTTCGGAAATGGCACAGTCGATATTCAAAACATCACTGCGTACGGTTATGCAGGTCCTCGGTTCTTCCCTTCATTGCAGTTCAGGTAGACCCTGCTGTACTTTACTGCCAGCTGGACTTCTCCATTCACATGTATGCTCAAGTCTTTATTCACTTATGCCCTGACAATTCTATGACGATGCGATGATGGAATTCATTGGCGCCTGTCTTTGGTATTCGTTTCAGCAATGCGGATCCGACGGCGTTGGCGAAAGGCTGCTGCATATCCCTATTGTTAAGTATCGCCTGTTTATCGAATTTGTAACCCAGGATGATTGTCAGAGGGGCTCTGCTGTCAACAAGGACAATAGCATAAATCTAAAGTATTAGAATTATTCTAGTATGTACTCTATCTCATCACGTTCGCTATGCCATGGTAGCATCCAAACCCCGAAAGGAGAACTACCGCACATAGTTAAATAGATGACATATGCAGCACATATCCGCCCAACACAAAACTGTGTATCTCAATACCGCAGTTTATTTCCTTTTCTCTTTTTTCCTTTTTTTTTCCCTTTTGTTAAATGATTGCCCACCCAGAAAATACATTTTTTTTTCTTACATTTGTTTTATAACTGGTATCTGTAGCTTGGGTTCAAGTCTCCGAGCAATTCTTTCTCTCTCAACTGCTCGGGGGTGAGGTCGCTGTCATCAACCACTTCTGCACCAGCAGCGGCAGCCTTGTCACGGCTCTTGTTACGATAGACAAGGAGGACGAAGTAGACGCAGCACATGGCTGCGGCGAGGGCAAGGAATCCAAGACAGATCGAGTGGCCGGGGATGTAGTTTGGTTTATCCTTTTCAAGGAAGGAATATGTTGCGATGATGCCGCCAACTAAAGAGGTTTGAGAAAGTTAGGGGGTAATTCGACACTGTGTACAGGGATATGCATGTTGTCTTTGTTGTGACGAAGGGAGGGTGGGGCGCGCTTTGACTTACTGTTGCCGAAACCGATTTGCCAACCCGTTCCGATGCTGCGACGCTTGTGCCCACTTAGGTTCATCGCGAACCAGCATACGATGATTGGCATGGCGCTGTAGGCGCCCATGGTAATGAGGAATAGAGCACCGTATTGAGTGTGGCGAGTTGTTTCACCGTGAATCGTTCGGACCATCGCAAAACCTGCGATTGCCATGCAGATGGGAATGACAGCGCAGAGGAAGCGATGTCTGACGCGGTCGGAGATATAGGCAAGAGTCATAGCGAAGCCAAATGCCGCAGCCCATGGAGGAATGGAGTAAAGCTGGGTTTTGATTGCTGTGGGGAGTTAGCGTAATGAGAAGCCAAAGGTGGGACATGGGACGGGAGGCATACGGCTGTATCCATATGTCTTGATGATCGTGGGAGCAAAGTAGGCATAGCTGTAGGCGGGAACGATCATGCCAAAGTACATCAATCCACCGACGAAGATCTTGTCTGCAAAAATGGGTTAGTCCCTTGGAAGTCTAGGCTGGAGATCACAGCGACTCACAATCTTTCAACACGTCGAGCACATCCTTCCAGGTCAGAGAGATGTGATGGCCAGCACTTCCGACATCCTTGCTCAGCTTAGCACGGATGAAAGATCGCTCCTCCTCGTTCATCCATTTAACATCTTCGGGGAAGTCTGGAATCAAGAAGAACCACGCGACGGCGACGACGCAGGTGAGAAGACCTTCAAGGATGAAAATCCATCGCCATCCACGGTAGCCGGACAACCCATCCATTTTGCCAATGGCACTAGCCAGGAGACCTCCGAAAGCGCCCGCCAAAGTTGTGGAGCTAAAGAAGAAAGAGAAGCGCTTCTGGGCTTCACTTCGCTTGTACCACATTCCCATAAGGTAGAAACCTGTTTAAAAGCGTTTAGCTTCACAGATGTGGGAGTAAAGACCGGAGAAAGGCGAGCTTACATCCTGGAAACATGCCAGTCTCGAAGAGACCCAAGAAGAAGCGCGTCGCTAACAGGCCAGCATAATTTTTGACAAGGCCCTGGCAGAGCGTGACGAGGCCAAAGAGGAACATGCAAACAGACACTAAATATGAAATGTGAGCGCCAATATTCTTCGAGCGTGGCCAGCAAGGGATCACCTACACCACACATGTGGCCGAAGTTTCTTGAGGAGGATGTTTGACGGGATCTGCAAAGTCAGTGATCAAAACTGGAAAACAGTCTAGAAACGGAAATTTTACTACCTCAAAAAGAATATATGGTATGAAGAAGATTGTCAAGGCGGTGTTGTACTGTGTGCCAGAAACGATATTAAGATCCTCGCGTAGGCCAAAGATGACAGCATTGCTGATGTTGACACTGGAGTAGACATTAGGATCTCAAATCAACAGAATGCATTGCGATGGCGTACCGATCCAAGAAGGCAAGAAGGTAGAGTACGCAAAGGACGGGAAGAAGCCGAAGGTCAATCTTAGCCATCAATCTACGTTCCGTTGTGTTGGTGAGCTTTGGGACATCGCTGCCATTCTCGATGGAAGTATCCGAGGGCGCCTCAGCGTCCAAGACTATAGTGAAACTCAAGAGTTAAAAAAGGCATATACAAAGGCGTGAAACAAACAGAGGTAAGTAGATATCAGAGCAAAACACTCACCTTCTTTGCCCATTTTGATGGGTTTGTGACGCGAAGCTGTGCAAGCTACTCTCTGCGTGCGCTGAGAGCGGAAGTTAAAAAGGATAAAAAAAATTGACCTTGTACCCAGTGATCAAACAATCAGTGACAACAGCAAGTCACAATGAGTACGGATGGAGTACAATGGGCAAAAAAGAAAAAAAGAAAAAAAATCAAATAAAAAAAATTACTACAGGATAGTGAGAGCTGAAGGGCAAGAAAAAGAAAAACGCGGGGATCGACCAAGGCGAGAGAACCCGGGGTAACTAAGGGGAGGTGCTTGTTTAATAAGAACAGCCACCTAGCACCAGAGTTTTCGCAGGACGCCGCCGATCGTACCTTTATTCAGTTACGAGCACGAGAAGCGCAGAGGGATCGCGAGAGGCACGCGGGGGGGCCGGATGGCGAGGAAATTCCAGAAGCCGGCTTTGCAATCTCCACAAGTCGCTCCCTGGTCCCCGACTCGATCCCTGGTTGAGTAGTTAGCTCGTCGACGGCGAGAAGAGCGAGGAGAGTTATCCGCCACTGCTACTCCGTTCATAAGTTTAACTTGACTGCATTGACAGCACGGTCCATTGCGGGGGGTGGGAAGACTCCAGTTGGTCAGGTTGGGATCTGTTCTGGGGTTGAGTGGGACAGGGCAACGCAGACCAAGTAAACCAGATTTGGATCCACCAGAACTCTCACACCACGTTTTACGCAGTCAACTTCCCGACCAAACAGCCGAGCGTACGGGAGTTGCGTCTCACCCGTCTTCTCCTGAGCAGTGGGATCGGGTCTTTTGTCTGGCTGCCGGTGATGCGACGAGCGACGAGCGACGAGCTGTGCTGCCGCGGGTGTTGGCGTGTGTGTGCGTAACTTACCGGTCGTACAGGCGACAACTGCGTGAGACACGCCAAAAACCCGCACGCTGATTGGCCAGCAGCCCCTTCCGGATCGGATGTTTCGACGGCGGACGGTGGAAATGCCAAGCCATGCCAAGCCACCCGGCCGGCCAGTAGCGGCGCTCGGGCGCGGATCGAAGGTTTGCCAAGAGCGGACTGGTTGCAACTGTGGCCGGCCGCTAGCAAACTCTCCCAAGGCTTAACTGCTCTCGCACCAGCGGCGTCAACCCCAAGCAACGAGGAAAGGCGGCGGCGGCCAGGGACAGGAAATGGGACTGCAGTCCTGAAGGACCGGCAGCGGCTCCGATCTGCTGTTCTTTCCTTCCCCCCTTCCGGCGTTGTGTGTTCCCATCCGCAGGGGAAAGCAGGTCTCATCGGCCAGACGAGACGCAAATTACGTTTTGGTTGGCCCGTTTGCAAACCTTCTAGAAACACAGGAGGTCCGCTCTCGGAAGTAATTTTCGGGTTTTTCCTCCCGCAGGAAATCTTAAACTACAGTACGGAGTACTCCGTAAGTCCACCAATAAACTTTTTAAGGTTAAATTAGTCGCTTTTCGGGGCTTTTTGGCGTCCTGCTGTGAAATCCTGCCGAGGGGAACAGCATTCTCGAATTCAAATTTCAGTCGCCAAGGTATCTTCGCGGGATTCTTCAAGAGCGAAGGAGGCTTCTGAGTCCACGTAATCCAAAGCGCGCCTCTTTGCATCGATCTTCACTCTCCCTCAGACGAAGGATTTGCGCTCCTTGCCAAGCTCCCTACTGAGCTTGCTTCCGCATGCCCGATGAGGGATAAACTTTTCCCCCACGCCCCCCACAGCTTTTGCCGCTCTTCTCTTTTTCACTGTGCATATGTATACATGCAGATGAGTCTTACCTCCATCATCCGGCGAGTGGGCAAAAAAAAAATCAATCATTTTGAAATTAAAATGGTCCTGTGGGATTTCGGTTGTGAGCGAAACACGGTTGGACCGTTCCAGCTCCGTCTCGAAGTGAGCTGGCCCTTGGCACGCTCCTGATGGATCCAGATTCCGAGCAGCTGAAATCCTCGCTGTCCACAACTCCAGAAGATCCACCTTTCAAACACCAGCCTTGGTACGGATCACTCTATGTACTAGGCTTCGACCTACCTCGTACAGAGGTGTTACTTTCTCTGTACTCCGTACTGTACGGAGGAAACTCACTTGTGAAATCAGGACGATACCAGGGTCACTCGCCCCATTCGCTGTGCCCACATCTCTGATATCTCGAACATCTCTATCTCAATCTATTGGAGTAGCGCACGTCCTCCACGACGTAAAGATTTTACGGTGAGTGCGACCGACCATTTGTCGTTTCGAGCGAAGTTTCGCTAATCAAATGCGACAAAACAGACCTGCTAAGTGGCTCACATGTCCTGTGATCTTGGTGCGGAACTTACTCCGTAGGTTGGTTGTTGAGCAGACCGCCGTGGCGGTGGTGCCTTGGAAATTATAATTGAGTTCCTATATGGAATACTCCGTACGGAGAAACTAACTAAAAACTACTTTGAAGACTCCCCCACCCGCACTGCGAAAGCGCCGTTCTGAAGGGTCCTTTGCAGGCCTGGAAACAACAGCTTTGCCTCCCAATTGTGGGGCCGACAGTTGCGAGCTTTTGCCACCGCAGACTCACTTTCGGTGATAAAACGGCGCCCGCGAACGTGGGCGCCGACGGCCGTCATATGAATTTGACCGAAGAGGCGATCTATCAAATATGCCCCATTTCTCCGTGCTGTGTGAACCCACATGTAAAATCTGACAGCCCGTCATCGGAGTCCAAGCTATCTACATAGTTCTCTTCGACTCGAACACTGCCAAGAGTTACTCTTTTCGGTAAGATTCAAGTGCCGACAACCTTTATGGATCCACGACGGACCGGTTGCTTGGGTTTGCTAAACGCATACATACTACTAGTTAGCTACCCGCAATCATAGCTGCGATGTGACACGGGCGGCAGAGCTAAGATTATCCCCTTCGGTACGCGTTTCTCAAAGCGAACTCTCACGAAGTGTTAGCCTGGCCGAAAAGCACATATTTGGCGTTCCTCTGGAGTACTCCCCAACAACGACCTTTTCGCTTGTTGGGTTCAACCGAGGAACTGAGGAAAACAATCCCATCAAACCCAATGAACGAAACCAAACAGAACAGCGAGAGGAACGTCATCTTAAACTTGTTGGACATCATGCAATGCTTCGTTTCTCTACCTGCCTGGACAAACCGCAATACATTTGATACCCCGAAAGATGATCATCTTGCTATTATACCGACGGCATCGTTGGCTCTTGGAGCGCCTTGGACATGCGAGCCCAAGTAGTCTCGGGAAATTCTTTAGTTCCAAGGAACAACAACGGCCCCCCCCTTTTTTTTTTTTTTTTTTTTTTTTTTTTTTTTTTTTTGGGGTTTGTTCTTCCTTTAATGGCGCGATGGCTAGTGTGTACTTCGTTCCCGTGTTTCTCTGATGGTGCAGAACTTAGACGCGGGTGTGAACGGGTATTTTGGAAAGAAGCCTTCGGTGGGAGACCGTTAGACGAGTTACTTTTCTAGTCTCGCCGATTTGTATGACTAGCGGGTTGTTCCTCTCGCCTGGAGGGCGGTGATTACGTGCTGGTAGTCAAGACAGGAGCGGACACCTTGTGGGATCCCACCATTTCTGTTTTTCTAGCCGGCACAGTGCTGCAAAAGTAGCGACCAGCTTTTGGAAATCTATTGGTTCAAATTTTATCAAATAATTACTTTTGCTTCTGAGTATGTATGCTGCGAGGAGCGGGGATTTGGGCGGGGTGGTGTAGTCGTTCCAGTGCGGCTGACTCGTCCAGAAGCATCCGTTGTCGCCCTTCAGCTGACGCACGAACCTTCCAGGGTACATTCTACATTCAAGTGCACAGGGGGGCTCCGGGCTTTACAGATGCGCTTGATGATCTGTCGGTTCGGCAGGTGTCGTTGCAACGTCTTCATAGGATTCTAACAACATACCGCCTCCAAACCCCTGAGTTATGTGTAATTGTGCAATGCTCGGTATAACAAATCTAGATGATAACCTTGTGTGACACCCGCGAACACGCAGCCCTCCAAGGAATAATTGCAACCACATAGTTAGGATTTAAACACTCATACTGGCCTATATACGCTCTCGATATATATATGAAACGTCACCGCCTTCAATAAGACCCAGCACACCCTCCCCCCTCCGTTGTAAATCAAGAGGCACTGGAAATCGCTGTAATGGGAATTCAGCCTTCTTTACCCGCCTGAACCACGAGCACGCTAGCCTTCACGTCATTCGCGTTCGTAGCCATCGATTCACCAAGGACACCTAGCGCCTTTCGAGCTTCCGAGCCAATCTCCCCAGACTGCGCAGACGTGGCAAGCCCGAAACTTGAACCGGTACCGTGCACGACACTGTTCCTGCCGACTATGACAATATCACCCCGATTTTGGTTCGATTTACCTACATCTAACTTGGCTGTCTGCAAGGTGGCGCTGATCAGGTCGGTGGTCGTGGCATGAATTGTCTGGAAGATGACTCGGGGAGTAAGCTCGGAAGGAAGAGAATCGCGAATGGTGTTGAAAAACGCACTGTCGGCTTCCTTTTCTTCTGGTGCCATGGTAAGGCCATAGAATACTGCCGGGTTTTTGGACGAAGAGGCAGGAGTGTCGGTGTCATCAAGAACGATATGTGCTATGGTCGCTGTGATTGTTGCATTTTTGGCAAGTTGGAGAACCAAGCGAAGAACGACTTGGTCGTCATCGCCTCCAAAATAAGGGAAGAATATATGATGCCCATCTTCCATCGAGGGCATCATTGCCAAGTCATTTGTTCGATAAAGGCTTCGTCCGCTGATAGTGCGCTTCAGGTAACCTGGTTTTGGCTGGGTTAAGGCGGGTCCTCCGAAGCCGTTGTTCACCAGGATGCCAACATGGCTTTTCGAATTCTTCAGGATGTTGGAGATGAATGTACTGTGTGGGCCGGTGGCAAACTTCTCGCTGTTGACATCGAGGAAAGGAATCTGACGTTCGCTCATGGCACCAGTTTCGCTCCATGGAATGAGCATGAAGTCCGAAGAGAAGTCCCGAGCTTTGTTGACCAATGTTTCCGCGTATGCATGTTCCGGTGCAATAACGACTGCACCGGAAACGGCAACTCTATTCAGTTGCGCAAAGGTACGGAATGTGTTTAGAATAGGGTCGCTAAAGCTGTAGTCGTGAACCTCTGACACCTTCATGACACTAGAGTCACGATCCGTGAGCTCGATGAGTCGAATTCCATGAACTTCGACGGGTTTGTTTCTCTTTGCACTGGTGGATCGGTCACCCCCGTTGCTGTCGTGGCTATGATGAGTTTTCGAAACTTCAACAGTTGTCATATCATCGGCTCCCAACAAAGAAATAAACGTGAAAAGGCCTGGAAGATTGTCGAGGCGGAGGTAAACCATCAGCTTTCTGATGGACAAGGAACGGGCCTTCTGCTGAGCGAGATCTGAGCTGCCACCGCTGTGATCGCTCTCAGAATCGAGTACATTTCCATCCCAGTCGATTTCTCCACGCCTCCACCGATCTACCTTGGTTTGATACCATTCAGGGTATAACCACAGGGTAAGAGGCGTAGTAGCAAAGGTTGTAATCAGGGCCATTACTATAAAGATAGTAAACGTACGACTACTGAGGATCTTCGCCTGAAGGCCGATATTCTAGGTAGAAGTTAGTCGAGGTCAAGTGCACTCATATCATGGCCAATTGCCAACATACCAAGACAATAAGCTCGACTAAACCTTTGCAACTCATCAGCACTCCGATAGTTGCACTCTCCCTCCAAAGCAAGCCGTGAAACCGAGAGGCCAACATTCCACCAGTAACCTTGGCGATAAAAGCAATAAAAACAACAGCAAATACATAACCCCACACTATACCAGAGTTGAGCAAGCCGACGTTCGTATTAAGCCCAGAAAGTGCAAAATAGAGCGGAAGGAAGAGGGCACCAATTACATCTTCAATCTTTTCAGTGAGTTTGATAGCAAATCCTCCGTCGTGGGGACAGATAATTCCAACCAAAAAGCCGCCAAAGATTGCATGCACACCAATTACCTGGGTGAAAAAGGCAGCTGCCAGGGCTAAAAGGAGTGTTAAGGCAACGACGGACTGATTAGGGCCATCGTGCAGACTGCCAGTTCGCTTCAAAAACCAGTGGAACACGGGGCGAACCGCATATATCAGGAACAGAGTAAAGCCAATGCAAGCCAGCAGCACCCAGAGTGCAGTTATACCCGTGTTTGCGTTGACGAGAGCAACGCAAAGAGCGAGAAGGACCCAGCCGACAACATCGTTTCCAACACCAGCCGAAAGAACAATAACTCCAACATTCGTGTTTAGCAGTTCCAGTTCAGTTAGTATACGGCAAAGCACGGGGAATGCCTAGATATAATAGGTAAGGACGGGATTGGCTAGATGGAACTTTTGGAAGAAACACACAGTAATAGCCATTGCAATACCGATGAAAAGCATATAGGTACCAAAGCTAATTGGAGCCAGTCCGGGATCATTGCGGAACTCGTGGTACAACCCATATGCGATGCCGCAGCCCAGTCCAAACGGGAGAATCATACCGGCTGCGGATACGCCAACGGCAACTTTCCAATTGCTCGTGAGGGTTTTAATATTAGTTTCAACACCGATCATGAAAAGGAACAACACCAATCCAAGGTTAGCCACCAGGTTGAGATTTGGCAGCGACTCTTCTGGAAAAATGGCATCTCGAAATCCGGGGATCCTGCCCATCACAGACGGACCGAGCAGGATCCCACCGATCACCTCTGATATCACACGAGGCTGCCGAATCTTAGACAGTGGGAAATGTAAAAGACGGCAGAAAATGACAATAATGCTAGCCTGGAGAGATGAGCACGTTCAGTTAGTAGAAGGCCAGCGTATAACCACCTCCACCAGTCCTCGCCTGTCGGTTGCATTTTACCTGGATGATGAACAAGGTAAGCGGGTTCTTTGGATCATACTGAGACGGGTTCAGACGATCGAATATACCACCCTGCGGAGTTGCTCTGTTTGTAGGTGCCGCAGGAGCTGCAGAGCCACCCACAGTGCCTGTCTGTGCTACCACCAACGCCATGTTGAACGGTCAGAGAGGACGGCCAGGCAGGCGGCCTTCCCCAACAAAGTAAGAAAGACGTCGAGGGCAAACTCCAACGCTGCTCTCTCCGGGGAGGTGAAGGAGAGGGGAACGAGAAAATGTTTTTGAGAAAATGGAGGGACGCAGGGCAGCTTCACACATTCTTCCCCTGCTGAGGCCAGGCAGGCCGCTTGGACGGGAGGCCGAACGTGCGTTACGTACAGTACCCTGGGATCAGCCTGGCTGCTGCTGGATGCGGCGTGCTGGTCCCGTGGCCCGGTGGAACCCGCTCGCGGCTAAATCGCAAACTGGCCAATCACCGCACGGGCCCAACACTGAAAGCCACCTCCGCACCCCACCCAACCTACCTACATGCAGTAGTAGAGCGCGTCCGCCTGGACGTGAAGCCGCCGCGCCATGTGCGATCAAGCTCAGACAACCTTCTTCCCCGCCTGGGAACGTGAGCAGGCTGAACGTCCATGGTGGAGGAGGGTCATGGATTCACGAGCCATTTCCCGCAATCCGCACCAGCACACTGTCAGCTGTCAAATAAAAATGAAATTATATGCAAGGATGACGTTTGAAGCTCGCACTGTCAACCATAAAATTGGTACTGTTGAACTGCATAACTACGGGACGGAAGTGGGGATCTATTTTCCGTACTCTATGCTCGGTATACTCTGCGCTTAATACCGTCGTTTCAGCCAGCTGAAACGAGCAACGTCAAAGCCGGGCGGAAATTCATTCCACAGTTATTGCGATCCCAACGCCTCCTCTATCAACCAATTGACCCAAAAAAAAGTAGAAGAAATAATGGCGCCGGCAATTCCGGAATCATGCTTATTGCAAGGTATATACATATATATCGTGAACTCATTGAGTAAATCTAAGATTCCATACAGCCCGCTCAAGACTGCTCAACAGCTTTACCCCACGCCTTTTCAAACCCAAAATCTTGCCCGGCTTCATTTGGCTCCGCATTGGCAACACTGGCAGTTTCCGCCGAAGGTATTGGAAGCTCGATTATGCTGGCTTCGCCGCCAGGTGCATCCTCCACAGCTGTAGATGGACCTTCAGGCCCTATCTTGGTGCCGAGCATGGACATCGACGGGTTCAAGTCAAAATTGCTGCTATATATGACCGCCGCAAAGGCTTCCAACTCGCGGACTTCTCGCTCCATGATCGATAAATACTCATTGGGCGGATTGGTACCATTTCCTATCACATGAGACTGGCGGGAAATCACCGCTAATATGGAAGCAAGCTTCGTTTTTGGTGCTGAGGGCTCCGCGACGGGTACCATAGTCGCTGTGGAGGAGAACGGTGGAGACTGCTCTTTCTTCTGTGCCTGGGACAGCCCCTTAAAAGCTTCCGTTGCACATTTGGTGTCAATTAGATGGGAGAAAGCTTCGTTGTTCAAGAGAGAGAAAACATGGGTGAATGACGGCGAATCGATAAGATCGGACGTTTCATCCAACAGATGCCTGAGGGTTGCAGCGCTCTGGGGACTTGCCTCCGTGGCAGAGAGGACACCCGACTCCTGAAGGACAAAGTCTTCTTGTTCCCGGGGAGGTAACAGATAGGGGAGCCACTTCCGCACTCTGTAAAATGGTAGATTAGAATAGGCATCGCATAGTCCGAAATTGAGAGAAATAGACGACGTACCGTCTCTCCCCACTTGTAGCTCCTTCAACCTTTTTCCGGACGGCAAGCGTTAACTCTGAGAGCTTTTCATGGGTTATATCCTCTCTCGGATTCACCTCTCCGAAGACATCTTTGACTGCGGCCTCGACTTCGGCCATTAAGTCTTTCCATCCCCGGTGCAATAGCCACCAACTGAAGGTTAGGTACCGCCTATTGGTTTCAAAGTCATTTCCAAATGAATGCTCGGGATTATCATCGTCTTCAAGGCTGATTGTAGACGGATTTTGCGGAGGCGATGCCAGTGCCACAACGCTCGAAAGATAATTTCGCCGACCAAGAAGATTCAGCTGAATACGCGTTAGGAGGGTGAGGAGCGAGAGTGTGTATAAGAGCGTAAACGATCGTGTGAGGGCTAAAGCAATGAGAACCTCATTTAAAAGAACACTCTGGGACAAAGAGCACCTACAATTGATCTTCAAATCGTTCCACAGCTGTGTCCGCGACTTTGCCCTTTGCGCTTGCTCCCCCGTTGTAGAGTCAACCACTTGACTTGCATGCACGTAGTTGTCGCTTCTTAAGCTAGAAACATCGTCTTCTGTCATACTAGGTGGTCCAGAGCTCATTTCTGACCCTTGCATCTCGCTCGCAGTAAGCTTGGCCAGTCTGGCCGCTCGCTTTTGTTGAAGCTCGTTAGTTAACTCCTCGATAGGGAGAGCTGCAAGGATATTTTCTGTAGCCGTTGGAAGAAGGGCGAGAACGGTAAAGGTGCAATCACTTTGATTCTGTTCGAATCGGCGTCGGAGACTATGTGCCGATCACGTCGTTAGTACCATACTCTGGTTCCATGGTCGATTTGCTTGGGCCACTACGCACTTCTCTCGGGCTATCCTCTCACTGCTCATCCGTTCGCTTGCTTCTGAGATCTTAGAAAAGACATATTGCGTGGCCAAATACCCAATGCCCACAACACCTGCTCCGATGGCAAGGCCTTTGCGATGCTGTCGCAGCCAGCGCCTCGTTGCGCTGATCATTTTCAAGGGGTGTGACTTGGGAGCTTCGCTGGTGACGCTATGATAACGGGACTACCATAATCAACTGAGAAAAGCAACACCCGAAACGAAAAGTCGATAAGAAGCGCCTTCAATGAAGATGTCACGAGTTTGTTTCAGACGAACTGAGGTTGGGCGCTGTGGAGGTTGATCTTCAGATGGAATCGCTCTGGCAGGAGCTCATCCCCAACAGACGACCTCGGCTATCTTTGTCAGCAGTGGCTAGTGAGCCCATGATGTAACTTACCACCTCCCAACGAAGGAGCCCACTAGCCACACACCTCCTTGTCTTTGCGCTGAGCTGGAGATTAGCAGATGCGGAGTCCTGATGCGCCGCCACTCCGAGCCTCCGTCATGACCTCAGCTCCGCGAGGAAGCCCCCCTAGCTGTACTCGAGTAAAGAGCCGGCGAACTCCGCTGGAAATAGCCAGGTGACTGTACTCCAGACACAGGTATTCTCCATCTTTGATACTGATGATCTTTTCATCTGCCCAATCGCAGTGGACCTATGTACTCTCAGATGTCGGCAAAGGCCTTTGTCCTGCTTATCCCGTAGTTTACTCTGACATCGTAACCTCTTTGATCTGGACAGCAGACCCTGTGATGCGTGCCCTCCTCAAGCATGAAACTGAAGAAAGTCTAAAATGCAGCTAAATGGAGGGGCGGAAAGTCTTACTCAGCCCGGAGCTAAGGCACATACAGCTAATCCCCACCAAAAAATTATCCATCCAAGCAAAAGTCGTGGTGTGAAACGCTGGCCAGGGCCGGAAGAGTCGACCACCACCCTGGACTTCACGACCTTGCCACCCCGCGTACACCAGATATAATTAAAACCGACCCAATCTTCCGACCCAGCTGGTCTCCTACGCCGCTGGGTCACATATTTCCTCTATACCTTACCCTTTCTAGCATTGCAAAAAAATTTCTCCGCCGCCCAAATGGACCCGCGAAAACCCCCGGAACACGTAATCGACGTGTTCGCCGACCCCGCGTCTGTGAAAGATGTCCTCAAAGGTGGGCGCATAACCCCGGATTCTGCGCTCGACATGATTTTGTGCGCCGCAAAACCGCAGATATGGCATCTGCTACGGGCTAGTGGGCTCTGCAAGAAAACCGCAGGCATCCATGCTTTTGAAGGAAAAAAATATATATATATTATTGCGAAACAAGCTAACCACCCGGTCGCCCCGTGTCCCAGGCATCCTCCACACTATCTTCTTCCACCGATATTTCCCCTGCGTTCGCCCCGACACCTTCGACGTTCTAGACTTAACCCTCCCCGCTGTCGACGACGTGGAAGTCGAAACCCTAATCGATTCTCGCATAAACACCCTTATTCGGCAACATCTTTCCCCCGCCTCGAACTCTCCCAACGGTGGTGTCCGCGGGCGCATAGGTGTGCAGTTCTTCGAAAAGAAGCGACGAAAAGGTGGACTCTGGTTCGGAGCGCTTGCTGGAAAGAATGAAGAAGCAGTGTGCTGGGAGATATGGACCGTTGATGTGACAATCGCTACACCGAGAACCGAGTCAGGTCAGTATTCTATTGGTGGAAGCATAGCCCATCATAACGTTTTAGCTATAATAATCATGGACATGAGCTCATCTAACTGAGCTTTACAGATCGGGCGAAGGTACGAAAAGCTATGGAGAAAACGTTGCAGAAGGCCGCCTTCAAAATTCTTGCCATTGCCAATCAAAGCAAGGACCATATCCCCCCCATTACGACAAGTGACGCGAATCCATTTCCATTCCAAATCATTTTAAATCCCAAATTGGACAATTGGGGCAACAAACTTGGGTTTTATTGACTGATACCCCTTTTTGTTGTTTGCTGTGATGTTTGGCATTTGAGACAAATACATGCCCACGACTGTACATGAGCCACGCTCAACTGAAAACCGAAATAGGGAAAGAATTTCCACCCTGAGCTACGCTATCATCCAGAGACGCAGATAATGTCCTATCGATTTGCACGATAAACAAGAAACCCGACAACAAAAAAAAAAAAAAAACAGGAATGATACAAAACAACCGAACCAGCCTCAACAGCCGCCCCTTCTAATACAAATCCCGTCAAGATTCGAGGCACTCAACCCCATCGAACACTTGTATATAAGCAGCTACTGCGTTCCCTCGATCTCTCTCATAAAGTTGTGCGTCTCCACGGCGCTGATCGAGCATTTGGACCTCTTAAGAACGGAGGAATCTTAGGACAAGCCAAAATTGTTTTTTTGCGGGCTTCAACGTCCTCAATCACTGATTCCTACCATCTACCAAGAGGCTCTTAGGTAGAGTGCTCCTTGGTGGCCTTATCGGCTTGCGAACGCAAGTTGGAGGAGGTGGAGCCGCTCTGGAAGTAGCGGGAGAACACCGGCTGAATGAAGGATCCGAAAACGATTTGGGCACCGCTATTACAGTGATCAGAGAATAGGTCTATTCCAAAGGCATGGGGCCATATGCTTACTGAGTCTGTGGAAGGGCCATCCACAAAATAAGCACAAACTTGAAAAGGTAGTAGAAGGCTAGGTATCTGTTAGCACCAATTTCAAAATGATACTTTGGCACATTTAGTGACATACGGAACCAGTAAGCAGCACTAATAGCGCTCTCGATGACAGTTAGGAAGGCATAGACCACCCAGTACTATTTTACATGTGATCAGCTTCAGGGTCGAAGGACAATTGACAATTCGAGACAGGAACGAGGTTACTAACAGTGAGCCACTGGAACCATTTGTCAGCGTCTGCCATACATAACAAGGGGAGTTTTAAAGTGGGAAGACTTACCTGGGTATCATCGGTCTTGGTTGCCGTAAACAACGCGTTGAGTGAGTAGTATCCAGGAATCAAGAACCCAGCGAAGTTGACCAAGAATTCCCCTGCGATATTAAAGAAAACCAAAAAGAAGTAAATTCCAACGAGGCCCAAGAAAGCATACACCTTCGGGACTGAGGTTTGCCTCTCAAGGTTGTTGAGGACAGGATACTTCGAGAGCTACAATGGCAGACGTCAGCTGCTGCGGGTAAAAGGGAGAAAGTTGGAACTCAGCCAGCATAGAGTTTATTGCCTTCGACAAGAGCTCGAATGTCTCAACCAGCTGTTGTTCAAGGGTGAGGAGAAGGTGGGACTTTCCGATATACTGACCTCCTTGTCAATCTGAGCAATCTGGTGCAGCGCACGGTCCTGGAACGACATGTTTGCTAAGATTCGGGATTGCGGACGAGTCCCGGCGAAAAAGGAGGGATCCAAAAAGGGAGTTGTGTCAGATGTAAGATGGCAATTATCAGCTTGTATGACGATCAACCGAGCAAAGGGCGTTGACCTGGGATGAGCTGGTGAGCTGGGAGGTTGGTGGAGGGAAGTTGGTGTTTTGGAGAGAGCAAGGAGGATCAAGACGTAATAGCCAAATTTCGCCAATAGTTATATTGCCCCGGTCCCGTGTGTGCCGTGGTCTGCTGTATAGTACCGTAATTTACACGTGAGGGTATCATGTGGCGCGGTCGTATGACAGCCAATCAGATGTAGTAGACTCGATCGATCTGTGGCTTGTCCACAGTTATATGACTAAGCGACTACTGCCGGTGCTCACCGCTCCGCCAGCCACAGGTCCCGTGACTCCACCCCCAAAAACCGAAAACGGCTGCGGCGTTTCCCCATCAACAAACAGTTGTTTACAGACTGCGAAGAGGCTGCATCGCAACGTCAGTCAGTCGACATCGGAACGGCGACATCGAGGACTGGAAGCTAACTGTCGAGCTCTATGGTATCTTTTATCGATTCGTCGCTCTCTGACGTAATTATTTTTACCTCAGCGCCTCGGCGCGTGCAGTGGGTGTCGAATCACATCGAAAAGACTTTGGATACAAACAACACATCGCCTTTGGAAAGCGACGCCCACAAAGCGGATATTTTGGATAGTTAGCACAAACAGCCGTCATTCGCTTATTTGAAAATGCCACCTGACACGGGTAAGGTTCAAGATAGCGGCTGAATCAGTCGCGGCTTACTGCTACAACTCGTCTGGTTGTTTAGCTGACCACAATCGGTATGTAGGAAGAGACCCCTTCCCTGCCCAGAGAGGCCAAAAGCGAACACGAAGCCGCCAGAGCACAGTAGAGCCAGGAAGGTCGCGCTCAAATACCGCAGCCTCCAAATTTAGTCGTCCGCCCAGATCCCGTGGTTCCACTGCAAGCATTCAGTCATGTAGCACACAATACATGCCTGAGCAACAAGTACCTGAAGGATACGAACCTTACATGCGTTCTCAGTTTGGGCCGTCGCAGTCGGTTTACCATGGCAATCCTGAAGAAATGCTAATGCGATTTGGTGACCAGCTTGCCAATTCCAACCCTGGGACCCTACTTGATCCTGCCCTGCAGGAAAACCACAACTCTGTTAAGCCTCGTATGGACGTCCACTATCAGGGCCACGATATCCATGTGCATAATGTTGCAGCACATGGGCTGCCTCCAGAGCTATCCCAACATGGCATGACGGCAGAGATGCATCCAACTCATTATCCGAATCTCTTTGACGGTGTAGAAAATCAAATTCCCGATCATATCATAGAAGATCATGAAGGCTCCGAGCAAGGTCCGCGCAAGAAGAGAGGAACAAGTTCGTCAATTGCAAATGACAACGAGCTGAGAAGACTTCTTCGACAATATGACGGGTATACCCTACGCCAAATGGCCGCAGAAGTGCAGAAGCATGAAGGAGCGGGTGGCAAATCAGAGAAGGTCAAGCAGGTATTCGCTATGATCTGGTATGTGAACTCCAGACAAAGTTGGAGGCTACCCGCTGATATTCATCCAGGTTGCGAGAAAACTGTCGTAAAAGCACTGGATCAGTCCGCAGGGATAGGGTATATTGCTGCTATGCTGATAAATGTGGGACGGAACGTGTCTCGGTTCTCAATCCAGCATCCTTTGGCAAGCTAGTTCGTATCATATTTCCTAACGTACAGACTCGACGTCTTGGTGTTCGAGGAGAATCAAAGTACCATTATGTGGATTTATCGATCATAGAATCTGAGCCAAAACCTGATGTGAACGGGAAAGACGTTGTGGACCAGACTACGGCAACTACCGGCGAAAACACTCAGGAGAGTCACAGGATGAGGTATGAAATTTTTGTTTCTGTGAAGAGTTTGCGTCTGATCCTAACATCGAATGTTCTAGCACAAGCTCTACTCAGAGTCATTTGGAGACAACAAAGACGCGACTTGCCAACGTGTCTCACTCACCACATCCTCAGACGTGTTCACACTCTCATCAAAACTGTGGATGTCATTCATCTTATGCTTCTCATCCTGGCTCTATTTCAGTTGTTGATTTCTCAGCCATGTCAGCCCAGGAGAAGCTCCATCTGATTCTTCACTTTGAGTCTGCAGAGGAATCCCCTGCTGGTGATAATGAAACCTTGCAGCTACCAAGCATTCATAGCTACCTGCCGCCAGGGTCTGATTCGGATGTTGCTGGTGCCCTCATGGCTCTCTATAGATCACATTGCATTTCTGTGATCGATAGCTTCAGGTTCTGCAAAGAGAAGAATCTTTTTCGACACATTTCCGCATTTCAAGGCACCCTTACCGTCCCCGTTCATAAGCTTCTCATTCATCCCGATATGGCTCCATGGATTGAGGAATGCGACTGGCTCATGTACCAGAAGATGGTAGCATTCATTGCTCCTTTGACTACGCAAGTCGTCCCAGAACCCGTCGTAAAGGCCTTCACTTCAATTTCACGGCGTCTTGTCCCACACATTGAGGATACATTTAAGTCACAGCCCGAGCACGTATCCACTGCGCGCCTCGTCCCTGCTCGTCTCTTCTGTCACCTTGTGAAGCGGATGTTGGAAGTGAATCAGTCTGCGAATTCCGCAGCCGCCTGGCTCTGCCATATTGAAAACCGAACAAAAATGTGGGAGGAATTCCATTCATTCTTGAATATAACGGACATGATTTGCAAAGCAAGAATTCCTCGTTGTTCGTTACAAGGAATTGTTGATATCTTCAAGGAACATGTCAAAATGTTACTGAGTCCTCTCGATGCACCCCCACCCGAAGTTGAGCTCTATGATCAAGAGTTGGGATTCCAGAAGTTTACTTACACCACTACGGAAGGCCGCGACTATACGAATTTCCCAGATCGCTGGATCGCGTTTATTCTAGGACTTCCAAAAATGTTCCCAGGCCATGCTCCTCAATGCATAATCGACAAGGCAGATGCCATGTGGACGGCTATTCTTCACCGATTCACCCTCGAAGGTGCTGAAAGTTTTAGTGCTTGGTGGATGACAAAGGTTTTCTTTATGGAAATGATACAATGGCAAGCGGAAAAGGGAGGATTTATGCACTATTCTCCAAAAGCATTACGCCAGTTTTTACTAAACTCGGAATCGGCCACGAGTCAGCCCCCGGCGATCCTTGAGCAGACGAACGGTTCAGCGGACTCTTCAATTGCCCCAAACCCTGAGAATGCGGTGACAGCTACGGGTGAATCGGAGGTGGTGGTCGGACGAGCTAGCTTGAATAATGATGATAGCGCTATCGCTTTGGATGACGATTCCATGCTCCTTTCCGGAAGCAAATACGCCGACATGACAATTTCAGACCCGGCTGATGCTGAAGGTGATGTGGTGGTTGTTTGACGTGACCTACGCCTGAATGATCCATGATTGAGTACGTGTGCTGCTTGGTTTTTCTCGTGTGTTTTATTGCTGCTTTACGGATTTGTCGTGTGGTTATGGTTATGTTCTTTGGAATCTTGGCCAAAAATGTGCCACGGAGTTACGCGACACGACTCAGCCTCTCGTCAACACGCCCATTTTACATCTTTCCCTTTCGCCACCTTTACCTCGAGGTTTGCATTACCTTTGTTTGTGAAACCTGCTCGTCTATGAGGCCCGATTACGCTGCAACACTGTTGAATTCCTCAATTTTTGATGTTTTCAGTTGGACAGTCATGTTTTGGCTTATGAAAATTGGGGGAACCCGGCATAAACTGGATATACATCCCTATGAATATCTGCGCACATTTAAACAGCACGCCAGCATGGTTGGTCATGGCCAGGGCGCGCGTCTGCATTTAGCGCAACAGTTTTAACCCAAGCCGGGCGGGGCTTTGGCTTGCAGTGTTTTGACAATACCCTCCATATTAGTACCTTGTATCATTTCCGAACCACATACGTACCTTTTTATTCTTTGTTCATGTTCCTACCTCTCTCGCTAGCACATCTTCCTCTTTTCCCCAATAGCCGCTGAGCTTTTACCGCCCTCAACATTTCTCAACTGTGAGCCTCTGGCTCCCTTCATTGTGGGATCATATGGTTACCGAGTTTAATGTATGAGTGTCATGGAATGCGCCTTGTTATGTATGGGTGTTACTGGCGAGTGTTCGATTGCTTATTTTTCTTGTTTCTTTGGGATGCATTCGCACTGTCACCCTTTCCTTTTCTTTCTTTATGCTCCTTTTTCTTTTTCCCTTGATTCTTTTCCCCGCTTTTTACATTTTGCACTGATAAAAAATTTTGCGAAAAAAAACAACACGGAGTTTCTTACCATTGGGTTTGCTTCCTCAACTTTGGCCGTCGGTTTTTGGGACTCTTTTTCAGATTGTTTTTTCTGATTAATATTGCATGATAATCGCCATGTTTTCTATGAAGCTTATGTTAGAGTAATTACTGGCCACACGCAGTTACCAATGATATCTGAGTTATCATCTAACTTCTATGTCCCATCTAAACCTCAAGTTAGGGTAGAGGGTAACGACGTCCCATATCGCTGAGAAACAAACGAAAAAAATTATATAAAATTTACGACCTATATTCTTCCCTCCATTATTAGGCTTAATATAGGAGATTATTATTGAGTCTTCTTCTCAGTTTCTCGAGTTCTCTGGCCACGGTTGGCTCTAATCCCTGAGATTTTGAAAACGGCACCCAGCCTCCACAATATCCATAGAAATCCTGCCACAACAACGACAACAGTGCCGAGTTCGATCTGCTTAGCTTGATTAGTGATCGACTGGTTATCCTCGTCCACTTGTAACACGGGGACTTGAATAGTTTCGACTAGTTTCAACTCTTCACGCGTTGCATCACCCGTTACCGGTCGAGGAGAGGGATGAAATTGATAGAAAAATGTTTTCGGGCCAAAGAAATCATCCCAGCTCAAGTTCACCCGATCGAATGGGTTAACATCCATTTTACCCTGATCCTCGGACTCGCATGCCCAAAAGACAACGGGCCAGGGAAGAGAGACGTTGTGGTAGCCAGATTCGGAAGGATGGAGATAGCGAAGATGCAATGGAATGGTGCTTGTCCAGTCACTAGCATCATCTGAATTTGATGTGGCTAGCTCCACGAGAAGATGTGAACCCCAGCGACGAGTTGTCCAGTCCGGCGCTTCCAGATCAGTTTCTCCAGCAACATGATGGAGACCGCGGATGTTGTGTGATTGGAGGAAAAGAGGATCAGTGGTGGACAGTTGGTATTCGTCTGGGAAGATATACGACGGGAGAGTGATGTACGTGTATAATCTACACGTAGTTTTAGGCGGAGATGGAGGTGGTGAGAGCGCAGATCGAGAAATGGAGAGACGCAGTGTTGGATGGAGGCCGGTGGGTGAAGCTAATTGAGCCTTGTATGTCGAAGAGTTTGGTAGAGAATGATGACGGGAAGGAAAGGAAAAGAGAGTTGGCTCTGTTTTAGCCGTCAGTACCTCGTTGTCCGAATGTATTCTGGAAAGACATACTGAATTCTTTATCCCGCCCAACCACAGCCAAAAGTCCACCAATTCGAATCTCGTCTGGATCTAAAGGTTGTTGCGGCGCTAGGATACCCACGTCTATTTTGTCTTTGCTCGAATTATTGCTGTGAATTGTATCTTTCCACCCTCCGTTCGCGACTGATTTGGACCAATATACCGTGACAACAAACGAATTTAACACACGATCGTAATCTATATCAAGGGTATCTGCGAAACGAATTATAGCAGCGCTATCTCGACATTCAGTGCTTTGATTCGAGCATATTGCTTCCTGGATATACGTAGCCAGCTGATCGAGCGAGGGGAGGAGCTGATAAAACTGGAGGGAGGGCAATGCGCCCGACTTTGTTACACTGCTTGGAGCTATAAAAGAAGTCTAGGAAGAGGAGCAGGTAAAAAGAAATTATATCAGTTTGGCTCACAGATCCTATGTTTGAGGACCTTACCTCCGGGATGGTGCAATTCAGGCTAGTGTCGAAGGTCTTCTGTAACAAGGGGCACAGGCACAGGTGTTTACTAAATACAAGCAGGTTAGGACATGAATAGGTGCCATAGAAGTTAATAAGCAACGTACGATCGATTAGAAGTCAAGGCTGAGAGAATAATATGTAGGCCCGGAGGTAGCCTACTTGTGAAAGGTGTGATGGCTGAGTATGGGTACTCCGATACCCACCGGATATGCAATTCAACGCATTGGCTTAGAACTTGCTGGAACTGTTTATATTATTAGTAGTTTACCAATCATCACAAGGCAAGCTCCCATACCTCATTTGGGAGCTCCTCGAAGCCAAACGTTAACCTCTCTTGCCGGGCTCCGCGTAAGGATCGTAATGTCAGGGAGGTGGAATCGAGATGGGCCTGTTGCGGGTCAAACTCTCCCTCTCCTTCATGGATAAAAGTGACTCTTCGTTTCATTTTGCATCAGCTGTGCTCTGCGAATCCCAAATGGCGAAGCAGCGGTGATGGTGATCATGCAGCCAGCTCTGCTAGGGCGTCGAAAGTCGCGCACCAACATGCAAACACGGCAAACATTATGCGCCGAAGCAAACAGGGCAAACAATAAACTAACATCCATGAACCTACTCCGTACGGAGTAGTTAAGTTAGTTAACTAATTATATGACGTCAGCTAAGAGCAGAATGGGCCGCTTGACGGAAGAGATTAAAAGCCAGAGGGGGTGAGGGCGCAGGGACACAGCCTTCAGGCGCCGCATCTGTGATAGAAATAGCATTATGTTTCCATTTACCAGTGACAAGTGCTTGCTTCTCAAGTTTTCAACTTTGTGGTTCATTGGAGGAAGAACTTCATTTAGTAGTAGCTATGTACCAGTTCTGACAGAGTATCTACTGGGTTAACTTTGACTATGAAGTCTTGGAAATATGTTCAACCTGGATCCAAAACAGGGCCATTTGTACGGAGTACGGAGTACATGTCAGGTAGAATTGAAACTAAAAGGAACATAGAACAACTGTCAACAAGTCCGCCAAGAAACTCTCAAATCCTCGCCCTAAACACCATAGCATGCATCCCTTCATGTTCACTTTCATTATAATATGCAAATAGAATAAATAGGTGTATCTGGAGTTGTGGGCTTTCAAAGAATTTCTTTGAGTTTCGCCTTTTGCGCTGACGTTAGGCTAGTCGGGAATTTCACCTTGATTTGAACAATAAAGTTGCCTCGCTGGGTAGGATCTTTTGGTTTCGGCATGCCCTGATGTGGGAATACTTCTTCATAGCCCGGTTGTGTAGGTCCGCTCCCAGAAACCCGCAGCTGCTTTCCATCAATGGTGGTCACGGTATGGCTCCAGCCGGTCAATGCTTCTTTAAGGCTGATTTCGACGGTGGTAACCAGGTCGTCTCCAACACGTTTCAGCCAGGGATGCTCTTTCTAAATAGCAAAAGCGTTAGTGTTAGCCTGTATTCAAAGAGTATCATTCTAGTTTCAAGTAAACTTACCTCCTGAATGATGAAATGGAGGTCCTGTGTTCCTCCTTCTTCCTGATCTCCTACGCCCTTGAACTTGATCTTACTACCCGCTTTTAAGCCGGGCTTAATGTCGAATTCCAAGATCTTGTCCTCCACGCTTCTCTTCCCTGTTCTTTCATCAAAGGTCTTTCTTTTAATTTTCATCTTCTTGTGTACGCCTTTAAAGATATCCTCCAGAGCAACCGGAAGCTGTTTCTCGACAGTGGTGACTTCAGGCGTGGGCGGCCGTCTCGCCTCAGCTGAAGGTCTAAATCGAGGCTGTCCACCACCCGCGGCTCGGAATGCTCCACCACCACCCCCTCCTCCTCCCATACCTCCACCTAGGCCATTAAAAATCGAGAATATATCGGGGCCTTCGCCGCCAAAGCCACCCGAGCGAGCAAATCCGGAAAATATGTCCTCTGGGTCGCTGAACTTAAATCCTCCGGGTCCACCTGAAGTTGAAAAGTGGAATGTCCGTGTTCCACCGGGCATTCCGCCAAACCCTTGGAATCCGCCGGGCATGCCTCCTTCGAAAGGCATTCCGCCAGGGCCTCCGGGCGGAGCTTCGGCGCCGCCGCGAAGTAAGAATTCTAAGCCATATTGATCGTAGACTTTGCGTTTCTCGGGATCAGAAAGGACTTCGTAGGCTTGGGAGACCTCTATCCTGCTGGTTAGCAAAGGGTTGAGAATCTCAGCTTAGCTACTCCACCCACAGGATGGAATAGTCACTCACCTTTAAATTTCTCAGACGCTTGAGGGCTGTCTCTGTTCTTGTCTGGGTGCCATTTCAATGCTTGTTTTCTAAAAAGACAAATATATTAGTAAAATAGCAATTGTGAAAAAATACATTGCTGGGAAGCTGTGCATACTTGTAGGCTTTCTTGATCTCATCTTGTGAAGCACTTGGCTGAACCCCAAGAGAATCATAGAGCTTGGTTTCAGCAACCATGGCTGCTGAATTGTCTTGATATTAATATTTCGGACGAGAGTAGTCTGCGTTAAAGGAAAAGAACTAAATCTGCTGCTCGAAATTGGACGAGAGCAAGGTGTTGAACTTGGTCACAAGTGTCACCAAAGTCAATGGTTCCAGCCGGTGAGGGGAGATTTAAGGTTTGGTGATGTCAGAGCCCTGGGAGTAAAAAGCAAACAATTTTCTATTTTATCTCACGGGAAATTAGCAAGAAGATACATCCAAGATGTAGGGATGCTATTTGTTGAAGGGCAAGCAAGAGGATGGTTCTCATTGCTTTTGAGAAGACATGGTTAATGTGACACCGGCAGCGAAGCCATCGAACCTTCGCGAAGGTTCTATCAAAATATGGGTGATAACAGAACTTCGTATTCTGTGTTGAAATGGTGCGTTGAACTCGATGTGAATCATTGTTTATTCGACGGTGTATTTCGCAAGTACTACGGAATTGAATGGCTTATGGGGGAATTGGCTGTGTTTGCCAGCAGATGAGCCTTGGAGACTGACAGGCGTGGATGAAGCCCGCAGTCTATCATCAACTAAAATATGTTGTATAAGGATTTCTTGTCATCAGAGCAAACCGTTGATGCCGCTGCAAATTACAACAACTATTTAGTAACAATCGACACAACGTCCTCGTCTGCAACAGCATGACTCAGTCCGACTCTTTGGGGCACATGCATCGCGCTTTGTCCCCACACGAGCGCATACTTGAATGTTTCTTTGAGTGAGCGATGGATTTGGTCACAGACATCTTCGATGGTTGAATTATTCCTAACAATGAGCGCCTCGCTGAAGTCAGGCTCAACTCCCTTTCTGGAATCATCCCGTTAGCCATGGCACAGCCCGGAGCTGGTGTAGGTAGCGAGGTTACGTACCGCTTGGTATATATTCGAATCAACCGCAACTCCTCCCAGCATCTATCGATGACATCCTGGACTCCTAGGTCTAACTCACAGCTCATCACGCACGTATTAGGTTCTCGAGCTAGTTTATCAAGGAAGTCAACGCTGACACTGTCTATCTTGTTATAAACATATAAGCTATGGAGATGTTAGCCCTTTACCATCGCCAGTGTCAAGCAAATCTTACCACTTGATGTACTTCCTGTGGTCTTTCATGATAACGTCTATAAAATCATCAACCGTAGCTTATGGATTATTAGCTAATTACCAATTGGGTTGTGAAGGGGTCTGAGACAAACCGTTTTCATCCCGAACTAGGACTTCGCAATTCAAAATCTTATAATCTCGAAGGATATTGTAGAGCATCTTTTCATCCAAATTTTTGGGGGGATTCTGGAAAGTAATTTTCATTCCACCGGCTTTCTTCACCTTCAAGTAAATATTTCTATCCAATATTGTCAGTCCTTTATGTAGGAGAGATATTAGCCAAACGTCGGTCCAAACTTACGGTGGTTCACGATTCAACCGGATCCCAACAGCCTCCAATTCGGCTTCCAAGAGTGCTCTTTGCTCAGCACGTTTTGTCGCGTCAAGAACCATTAAAATCAGGTCACTAGTCTGTGTACTTATCTTAGTGATCCCGCCTAAAACGATTATCAACTTTTAAAGGACTTACTTTTGCAGCGGATATGACCTGTCTTCCTCTTCCTTTCCCCTCAGCGGCACCCTCAATAATTCCAGGAAGATCAAGCACTTGAATCTCTGCTCCTCCGTATTCAAGTACGCCCGGGATAGCCGTTAAGGTTGTGAAAGAGTATGCAGCGACTTCACTTTTCGTTTTTGTAATCTTCGATAAGAATGTCGATTTTCCAACAGATGGAAATCCCACCAGTGAAATTCTTGCATCGCCGCTCTTGCTGACATCGAAGCCCGTTCCGCCGCTGGACCCAGAACCAGCTGTGGGCTCGAGCAGCTGTGCACGTAGTCGAGCGAGCTTCCTGTATCATCGTGGCAATCCGTCAGATCGGTTTAAACACTGAACTAAGGCATCCCCCATATCCACGGGCAGATATGTTAATGCAGGTATCCGTGGCTGCTTTGGTAGAGATTTTCAATTCAATTCATCCAGGTGACTAGCAGTCATCCGGCTTGGCCTGGTCCCATGCATGGAAAGGTCGACTTAATGACAAAAAGTAAGCAGCTCTGCAGTACGCACCCCTTCAAAAGACCAAGATGGTATTCTGCGAAAGGTCAATATGCTAATCTGCTGCAAGACTGGATGCTCCTCATAACGCACCAGTCGCCTTGTTCTCTATGGCTTCGGTTAGCATATATTACTTTGTAAGATAATATAACACGTACTTTGCGTCCTCCGCATCTCATCCTCAATCCTAATGTCAAGTAATCTATTAGAACCCTTGGAGTTTGCCATATCTCTAGCGCAGGGCAGGTCTCACTCCTTGATCCTATCCGTGATGTTCACCATTTTGACGGTCCACTGTCAGTTACCACAGCCATCCGAGGATCAACAATACAACTGGAAAATGACTTTCAATGACTGTTGCAAATAACTTGGAATAAATATCATTCAAGCGATAGGCTACCCCTCGATCGAATTTCTAATGTCATCTTGACCCAGTCCAAGGCCTGTATTGGCGGAGTTTGCTTATGTAAGCTGAGCTTCGATCGCTCATCTTGGGAGCTGTAGCTGCGCAGGGCTCGTCTGGAGAATTCAGACACCTCAGATTCAAGCACGGCTTGTCGACACAGAAATGGCATCTACAGACTCGATACCTTCTGTTTCAGCCACTCTCCCTGCGAACTCCCCCGGTGTTGTTGCTGACCCTGAAAATGACGCGCCAACGACTTCCGCCCTGACCAAGCAATCCGACACCGCCCTAACCAGTACAGCAGCCTCCGAAGACCCAGAGAAGAAAACAAAGCGGATAATCCGCCGCAAGAGACGGCCTGCTCGCGTTCAAATCGACCCGGCCACAATCAAATCGGAGCCACCTCCTCAAACCGGTACGATCTACAACATTTGGTATAACAAATGGTCTGGTGGCGATCGCGAAGACAAGTATCTCTCGAAACACAAAGCGCCTTCGCGATGCTCTATAGCTACGGATAGTGGGTATACACGTGCAGATAAAGTGACCGGGTCATTTTTCTGTTTATACTTCGCGCGAGGGGTTTGTCCGAAGGGCCATGAATGCGAATACCTACACCGATTGCCGGGCATACATGATCTATTCAATCCAAACGTCGACTGCTTTGGTCGAGACAAGTTCAGTGATTACCGCGATGACATGGGTGGCGTGGGAAGCTTTATGAGACAGAATAGAACGCTATATGTGGGAAGGATACACGTTACAGACGACATTGAAGAAGTCGTTGCGAGACATTTCTCCGAATGGGGTCAGATCGATCGAATCCGAGTTCTTAACAATAGAGGTGTTGCATTCGTTACGTATAGTAACGAAGCAAATTCGCAATTTGCCAAGGAGGCTATGGCGCACCAGAGTCTGGATCATAATGAGATTTTGAACGTGCGCTGGGCTACTGTGGATCCGAATCCGGCAGCTCAGAAGCGCGAGGCCCAACGAATCGATGAACAAGCAGCAGAGGCCATTCGAAGAGCTCTGCCGGCTGATTTTGTGGCGGAAATAGAAGGAAGAGACCCGGAAGCCAGGAAGAGGAAAAAAATTGAAGGAGGGTTCGGCTTGCAGGGCTACGAACCTCCCGATGAGGTTTGGTACGCTCGGAGTAGAGAACTCGAAGAAGCTGCAGAAACTCGACAACTTGAAGCCCCCGAACAGCCATATATGATCGAGGATGCCCGTACTGCTCAGCACACGTTTACTACAGCTGGTTCTACAGCAGACCGAGGCGGAGGTATTCTTTCAGGCGCAACGCTAGCAGCGTTGCATGGATATGGTGGTTCAAATATAATACAAGCTTCTACCCCACAAAATACTGGCCCTCTGGTAGCCTACGGCAGCGATGATGAAAGCGATTGATGTTTCGAAGCACTGTATGATAGGCACCGACAACTAGCTATGCTAATTGAGCCTGGATGCGGAATGCATATTGTCATAGCCTTGAACCCTTTATTTCATCTAAAGCATGAAAATTCATCAAATTCATCAAATACATGATTATCCATCATTTCCCAAGCGTCAAATCATAATAGACACAATTACCATTACGATAATTGTAGATAAAGGCGTTTCGGTATCGTTCGGTTCCGTCCTGCTCCTTGCTCTCGCTGGCAAGCTCATACAGTAAGTTGAGCAGATCGGTCAGGTACTTCCTTTCCACCAATGGAACGCTTTGAATGACAACACGCCATGCGTCCGCATCAGCAAGGCGGGTGTTGCGAATGGCCTCGAGAACATCATCACGGATGTCGATAGCTGCGATAGGACCATCCAGTGCCTTGTCGGCCGTCTCGCGAGCTCGAAGTATTGCTAAACGGAAGATGACGGTTGTCAGGACACTTAACTTGACATCAAACATAACAGCTTAACATACCGGACTCAACCATATTCTGCCGATTTGTCTTTTTGCCTTTGTGCATTGGTGCAATAATTCGAACGTCCATGTCTCTCTCCCTACTCAAAGGATTAGGGTCCTGCGTTCCCTGTTTGGTGGATTTTAAAGTCTCTGCTTTCTCTTTCTGGTTTCGATGACGAATCTCAGCTCGAATCCAAGCAACGAGATCGCCACATCTGACATCGAATTCTTCCTTTCTAGCGAGACTCTTAATTTTCAATCCCCGATCTAAACTGTCCTGTTTAACAATAACCACCCAGCTGTGGTTATCGTCTCGATAACGAGCAAGAAGTTCTTCCAAGGACGAGGCATCGATAGCCAACTCGGCACTAATATCATGTGTCCATAGCTCTGACAAAATATCGAGAGCCAGTGTTCGGAGGACATTGCTATCAAAGCTTGCCACCAGGACGTCACACTGAAAGGTGATTAGCGCTGGCAACTGACAAATGTGGTCACTATTTACCTTGCGTTTCCGCCAAATATCACCGATATCCGAGATGTGTTTTGAGGAACCTTTAGTTCTGCCTTTGACGAGATTCGCCATCGATGCCGTCAATTTATCGAAGCTGAGATAAAATCCAACCGCGTGGCATTGAGGTCGCGACGACATTATCTTCGGACGGAATTCTTGGATCAAACTATCATACCGACCACCAGCTGCGAAAACGTCCCTTCTCCTCGTATCGAAGATGCACTGGAACAAGATACTACCTCCGTAAAATTTATTATTGACACTGCTTAGAGGACTAATATAAATCTTGCGTCGAACACGAAACCTCTTCAGGTAGGAGATAACAGCATTCAAGCGAGCAAAGATAGGGGTTAGCTTGTCGACAAATTCGGTATCTTCCATGATCAAACGAAGTCTCTTCAAAGCTTTTTCGGGAGAATCTGCACACTAATTAGTGGATAATACAAAACAAAAAAGGCATGGATTCCTTACCTCTGAAGTCAAACCGTGCCAAGTCATCAATTGATGTAGACGCTACTCCGATAGTAGGAGCGCGCAATTCAGTTCGAATCTTTTGCATAGTGTAATGTCCAACATTGAGCTTGCTGATCACCTCTTTCACAAGCGGTCTCTGCTTTGAACTGATGCGGCAAAACGCGATGATAGTATCGAGAAGGTCTGAATGATTGAGGTGGTAACACATCTGTGCCGTTCTCAGAGACGGAAACTCATCAAGGATTTCATCCAAAACCTTGATTGCTTCTGCCTCCTTCAAAGCAAGATCGAGGGTATTGTGGGAGACAATATCGAAGTCAACTTCATTGTGTGCACGTGGCTGTCCTCCATGGAGTGCTTCCCTGAAGACAGTTCCGAACGAGAACATCTTATCGATTGACGGATGTTGACGGGAGACGGACCGTGCATTTGGAAGTGTTAGGTCAAACGGCAGCTGAACTTGGTTCCCATCGGGGTCCAACAGTCTGACAACTCCAGGCCCATAATGGTTAGAGCGAGGAAATACTGTCTGCCTTGTGGTTTCAACTGCTCCATGTTTCCGGAATATCGCTATTAGCTGATCCTTCACTGCACCTTGCAGTACCATTTCGTTAGCAGGCGGCGACTCTCGCGAATCAATTTCCCATGCCAAATCTTCGAATTTGTTGGATGGCTGTGAGAATATTGCAGAGAGGATCTTTTTGTAGTCTGCAGAATTTGGATCCGATAGTAAACCCATTACGGCTTTTCTAAACATTTCTTCTTCAACCTGTAGTGGAATCTTTCCGCTTTGAAGGATCTCTATCGCTGCTGGCCTCTCCCCTGGGCGGTGGCTAATGAGTGACTCGATAATCTGCCCCTGGACAACCTTTTCCGGTAGTTCAAAAGTTTCAGGGAGCACATGGTCTTTCTTTCTAATTTCCTGAAGGGTATGGTCCCGCTCCATGGCAGTGTTGAGAGGGTGACACATTTCAAAGAATATGATCCCGAGAGAGTACATCTGTTTAAATTAGCAAAATGGCTGGGAAATGCTAAAATGGAGAGATGGAGGCAATGACTCACGTCCACCTTTTCATTGTACTGGCCATCTGCAGCAGATTTCATCTCCGGGGCCACATAATACGTTGTACCAATACTCCGCGTGAAGCTCTCACCAATATCCGGGACAAAGGAGGACTGGATAGCCGTTGAAAACTGACCACGAGTTGCAAGACCAAAGTCTCCGATACGAGGATTATTGGTGACATCCAAGAAGATGTTATCCGGTTTCAAATCCCTGTGAATAATTCCATGCGTATGAATATGATTTAAGCCATCCAGGATCTGCCGAAAGAGTCTCCAAGAAGCATCAACGTTTTCATGGAGTCCGTCCCGAATCAAGTCGCGAAGAGTCTGAGGAGAACTGTCAAAAGCCATAGGAGAGGAGATAGAAAAATGACCTTTACTTACGTGCTTTTCACAATATTCCATTTGGATATATAGCGTCGAAGTCACCTGGTGTGAACTTCCGGAGTTAACTAATTGAAGTTCATCCCCTTCCTCACCTGTAATTGATTGCGTTGGCTCGTCATCATTATCGTCATAATCTTCATCGTCTTCACGAATGGTTCCATTGGAAGTGGTCCGGCCCTCCCCATTTTCATCACCGTCGGGAGGTTGTTCGTCGCTGTCATAACCAAATTCAATTTTCGGATATCCTTTCGAACTCATAAAGTCGAGTCCGCTGGTACTATAGCCAAATTCGATGTTTGGATGGGAAAGTTCTTGGTCAGTCGACTCCACGGCATCATCTTCAACGCCAAAATAATCCTCTTCAAGCCAAGCAGTATAGTACCGCACGACATAGGGGTGGTTTAGTCTGGAGAGCAACATAATTTCTGAAAGAGTGTCTTTCAACGCCGCAGAAGACTTATGAGATATCTTTTTGACAGCATAAAACCGACCGTCGAGTTTGTTTCTCGCCTTAACAACCTGGCCAAATCCGCCTCGACCTAAACGGCCCACCTCGTCAAAATCATGCTCATAGCGTGAAAAAACTGGCAGCATCCCTTGGGAATCACTTCTCGCACGCCTTGGGTGAGGTGCTGAATTCGGCGTGGCTGTTGGCATTATTAGGGGCGAGTCCACCCGGAAAAACTCGAAAGGATGGATTTGAAAAGCGGTTGGTCGCTTTTTAGGGTCCACTTGGAAGAGTTCGCGCAACATATCCTGAAGAGGTTGGGAGAGATCCAGAGAAGTAATAAGTGAATTTGCCGACGTATATCGTTGCAGGACATCTTTTCCAAAACCCATTTGAAGGAAGACGATACCCAAATCCCATACATCAGACTTAATACTTGGTTTCGCATCGTCCTGCATCAGCTCCGGAGGTTGCCAGAAAGTAGATTTTGAGGTATCCAAAGCCCTCTTCGCGCTGGAAGGCAATGGCAACGCTTCTTCAATGCTTCCAAGTAACTTTACTACAGTGCTACCGGTTGAGCTCCGAAAGAGCAGGACACGCGCAGAATGAATATTCCCGTGAACAAGTCTATGGCGGTGATAAAATTCGAGGCCCTCGACGAGCTGAATCATCCAGGCTTTCACATTCTCTGCTGGCAAAGTACCAACCATGTCGAGGAGTTCGGAAAGCGACCCCTTATTCGCATACTCAAACAGTGCAGAGACATGCCAGGTATTGTCATGAGAAGCGTACGGGTCGAGCGGGCTATATATTTTGTAGCCGACGAAATCAACCAAATTTGGATGGCGAAGAGACTTGAGAATCTCCAGTTTGTCCTCACTTGATCCTATCCTCTGTCTAACGTCTGAGATCTTTGTCTCCTTCTCGCGGATGAAAATTTCCTTGAGTACCAGGAGCGGAACACGGTGCGTAGCTCCTAGCACAACCGGTTTCACGGTAAATGTCTCTTTGTGGTGGGTATGGTTGATCAAAGTTCTCCCATAAACAGCCCTGAAAGTTAGCTGCCGCCCTTCGTTATCAATGACTGTCATAGGGCTATCAAAAGTTACAGCCCCAGGGGTATCGTCGCTCGGGTCTAGATGCTCAACGTCTTCGAATGTGGACCTGCTCTTCCGACGGTAATTCTGCTCTTTCTCACGCTGTCTGATCTTGATCTGGTTCTTGAATGCCGCCTCGTATTCCTTTTCTTCCTCTTTTGTAGCTTCTTGCTGCTTCCTCAGCTCTTCCTGCTTCAACCGTTCAGCCTTTTGGAGCGCCGCCGCCTCTTGAGCTCTTCGTTCCTCTTCTAGGCTTCGACCTGCGTCAGATCGTGCGCGCATAAGAGCCGCATCTTCCAGAATGTCTTGTATCGAGACGGCCAACTCATAGATCATTTCATTGCCGAGCAGCTCGGTAGGTTTTGTGACGACTACATTCTGGATGCGAGATTTAGCGTCACCACGCAAATCTTCAATACACTCCAAAGTCAGCTTCGGGGCTGTTTTGGGGTACGTCGCTGGCAGTTCAACAAGCAGGTCTACACCCACTTCACAGTTGGACGATGCCTTTAAGTGCAGCTTAAACGCAATATCGGAAGATTGCTGATCCGCGGCGAAACACACATAATTAGCGGGGAATCCCGGAATTGGTGGGACAGGTAGAGTGAACACCAAGAGTACAGGTGCAGAGACATACCTTCCAAGCAGACTGTCGAGTTTCTACATATTCAAAGCCATCAGCATAGATTGAACGTAAGGCCTCAGCCTCGTTCACATGGATTTCTCGGTAATTTGTAATGGTGGCGGACGGAGAAGCTGCAGGGCCCGCATCTGAAGATAGTTGCGGTTTTTTCTTTTCCGCTGCTAGGTGCCCGTTCTTCCTGGTGCCTTTCTTTTGTTTGGCCGGCATGGTGAAAGTTGACTCGTGGAAGAGGTAGGCACGGAAATTGAGGAAGATTGAAACTGTTGCCCCGGATGAAGGAAGCAACAGAAAGGGCAGCCGAAGCTGCAGCCCTCTACCTTAGCATGATGTGATGACAGTTGACCAGGAGATAGAACAGTAGACAGTGAACGACAATATTTCACAGTGCAAGTTGGAGCTCAGACAGCGCCTGGTAACCTCTTTGGAAGCTTGGTGGCAGAACTGATAAGGCGGTGGGGCATCCGGTAGCGGAGCCGACTCGGAACAACATTTCGCCGGTGAATCGCCTTGGAAAACCGCCCGCTCGACTGTTTCCTGCAGAGATTATCCACCCCCCAAGGGACAGCTGTCGACCCGCCTTGCTTGGCTCCATAAAAGGGCACAGTTCACATATCTACTGTCTACTCTGTACATGCATGCATCATCAGAAACTGGATACCATGTTTCCCGAAAAGACTGGTGGTCAATATGGCAGAGCGTGTCTCTACCCCGTAGTGGAGGTGATGATCAGGTCCAGAACTGCCTCACTTTGGTCGGATCCCCGTCCACTCAAAACAGTCACTGCTTGTCTCATTTTCCAAGACCATGTGTCTGCACCATGTGAGAATTGCTGTTAGGCATCAAATCAAGGCCTTGCCGAGGGAACAACAAGAACACGTATCTCTACAAAAGATTTCGTTTCTATCTCCATATGAGTTTTCCATGCCAGCCTTGGAACACTTTCATCCCGCTGAAGTGAGATTAGGCGCAGGGCAATATTACATAACCAGGCTGTCATGGATATCCTGGCATCAGGCCATGTAGTAAGTATGTATGGACATCCATCCGGCCCTGGTCTCGCTCGGACTATCATGGATGATCAAGCAAGGTCGTACCAAATCTTCAGGGGAGAGACACCAGGTGCCAGGAAAACTACCAACGCGACTTAAACCAGACAATATTACCATCAGTACCGAGTACACCGTTCCCTATATTCCGTACGGAGTACAAACCATGCTTATCAATAGATTAATGCCTCTGTAACGACCGATCGACTCCCTTCTTCTTCTTCATCATGCGCCCTCTTGACGTGCCCCTCCGCCATCCATGCGGCTTTTGGGCGCCCAGTCATCATCACGTGACACACCACAGGCCAGAAATTGGGCAGAGTTGCTTGGCGCCAGAAGCGGTTTAGCGCTGTGAAGCTGCCAATTGCCAAAGCTCAGACGGGCATCGAAACCGTGCAGCGTAAACAAACGTGGTTCCCTTCGTCGATGATGACGGCGGCACCACCACAATTGCATCCCGTCAATAAATAGCCGTCATACAGACGCGTCTTTACTTACCCTGCTAAATTTAAAACTGGTTTAGTGGCAAATGACCCCTTGTAGGAGTTGAGAACCGCAAATATGTTGGGATGGTTGGCAGGTGCCGGGCGCGGGGAAGGCGTCGGTAGGTTCTGAGAACAGCCAATCCACCTATCCACTATCAAAACCCGATTTCACTGTTACTGATTAACCCGAAGATGCACCTGAGACTCCAGCTCCTGCGTTCGCCTACAAAGCTTTCAAAAACGCTCTCCTCGGCACTCCCGCCGAGATCGATGAGGACCGCGAGCTTACCATTCCACTAAAACCACTAGAGAACACTTACCAGCGAAGCGATAATCTTATTAAAAAGCTTGAGAAAGCCAGATCCGACGCGAAGGATAAATCCCAACCGCGAGAGCCCTTGCCGCCACCGAAAGAGGCAGCCCAACCCATGGCTTCTCCGGCAAAAAGTATTCTGGTTACACCCGGGACAGCGGCGGGGCGGAGAAAGACTGTATCATTTGGTGAAGGCGTCATTGATAACGAGCGCAAACGATCTACCCTTGGCCTAAGCCCAAAGAAGGACCTACTCTCCGGAAACATCAGTCGACAATGGCCCGCTCCAACCTCGGACCTGTCAAGGAAAAATCGAAGCAAACCTTCCCAATCTTCCCAATCTTCCCTAAATGCGCAAGAGCACAAGCCCTGCGAAGAAGACGATCTTTTTAACATCACAGAGAAAAAGAAAACTACCCCTACCGAAAAGCCTGCCACACCTACTCCACAAATTTCCCAGGATCCTGTCGAAGAGGCTGATGATGATCCTACCACAAATCTAAATGAGCCTCACTCGCAGTCAGGGAAATTTTGGAAGGCTGAATATGAGAGCTATAGAACGAAATCTGATCGCGAAATCAAAAAGCTGCTCGAGTACCGGGCACTAACAAAGTCGTTTGCAAGGAAAAAAGATGAGCAAGTCAGCCGTCTAACGGATAAACTGAGGCAGGAGGAGGAGAAGCTCCAAGTTATGGAGCATCATCTTGCCGAAATTGCTGCCAAAATGGCTGACAACATCAATACTGGAGAACCCAAGGATGAAGCCATGGTTAAGGAGCTTTCTCAACAAACCGCATTGACATTGCAACATAAGCACAAGGCAGCCAGTCTACGACGAACACTCGAACGACATGGGGTCTTGGACAGTGATGAAAGCTCTCATGACGATGACCCAAAACAGGATGCTGTGGTGCGGAAGCTTCGTGAAGTACAGGCAGAGTTAGACCTAGCCAACGCTCGGTTAAAATCTCACGGTCGGTCGGATGACCTTAAAAGGCTGCAAACACTTGTTGAAAGCTCAGAAAAGAAAGCTCGTGAGCTTGACAGCGAGAACTTGTCTCTCAAACAAGATCTTGCAAAGATCAAAAAGGAAATCTCAACTTACGAAGGGAGACGGGTATCTAAAGAGGCAAGATTAAAGCGGAAACAAGAAAATCTTGAGCGTCGAGTTAAAGAATATAGCGAGCGACTCAGGGATTCTTCAAAGGCTCATTGGGAAGCACAAGATGCACTAAAAAAGACATTTGAAGCCGAGAAGAGAGAAATGCAAGACATTATTGATTCATTAAGAAGCGAGCTAGCCGCAGTCGAAAAACGAGCTTCCACAAATAATCGCACTCTTCCCGACCCAGGCAGGACTTCAGGTCGACAGTCATCCCCAAGCAAACAGGAAGTTGATGCTACACAACATCGGGAACACAGATCATCCCACCAGAACGGACAAAGCCGGGCCAACCCAACAACGAACAACACTGAAAGAGAAAGAGAAAGAGAAAGAGAAAGAAGCGTACCGCGGCATTCATCCAGACCAAGCAATGCGGACCTCCGGCCGCAACGTCCTAGAGATAATATTCAGATATCTCCACTGCGCGACTTAAATAGCCGCGACGACGCGGCCATGCTAACAGATTTAGGCGGCGATGACGACGTCCCACCTAATATACTCAAGCGCCGCCAGAACAACCTGGATCTTCTAGCAGCTGCTAAATTGCTGCCTCCCCAACGCTGTCGTTCAGCTTCCCCGAAAAAGTCTACCACTCAAGAGGACTACGTAAGGACTACTCTCTCGCCCAGACCCTCCATGGTTTACATGGAACTTGATGAAAGGAAAAAAAGCGCCAACTTTCGTCCTCGCCCGGCAAAAAATACAAACGATAAAACTCCACGACAAAAAGCCAGCAAAACGTCTGGTTTAAATCGACAAATGTCCCTAGTGCCAGACTTCCATTTGCCCGCCAGTACTGCAGCCGAAGCTTTTGCACTCGCGCACCCTGAACGGTCCGCGAGTGCGAAAGCGCGGCTTCAACGTAGCAGCGAGGATGCAAAGAAAGCTCGGGCTCAAGGGAAAGAGAACGTATACACGGCAGTTTGATGTTAATGTGGCTTTAATTGGCTATTGATTTGCATTCCATGTGGGGATCTCGGCGTCGCGTTTAATCTCACATCTCCTTCAACATATTCCAGATGCGCTTGTTTTGTCGATTTGTTAGTCTTGCGATGATACCAATTTGTGCATTGTAGCTTTTCATTGCATTCCTGTTGGCCAAGGAGAGGGGGGTGTTTGAAGGTGTTCATGTCCCTGTTTCTCTGACTATCACTGGTTAATTTTATAGTATATCCTGGTTGATAGGCCTACCCTTCGTTTGCTTTCTCATAGATGCTTATGTCCTTTTTAATTTTTTTTTTTTTAACTAGTTATTATTTTTGGCTTTATCGAGTCGAGCTCAGAATAGAGGGAGCAATTGCGCCCATAGAAAATAGAATATCCTTGGGCATAACAGTGCCAACTCTCCAGGTTAGATGCTCCACTATCTATGGCTCCTCTGTTAATGTGGCATTGTTGTACCCAAGTTTCATGTTCAGGCTCCATATCCATATTATTTTATCAATCTCCATGCTGCGCATCTATAGCTAAAGGGTATTCGTTCTTAGCGCGACATTTAGAAGCAAAGTCCCGGAAAATACCATGTAACTCAAGCCTTTCCGTCGCAAAACTGCACAACGGCCCATTTCCCCCCCCATGCCCATTTCCGAGCCCCTGAATCTGCTCCGCCCCCTGGAGTCTGACGGATGCGCTCATCTTCGCCTTCAGGAAGTCCAACCACCACATCAGCCTTACAGGTGCGAAGGGCAAGAGTGCGGATTCCTGATCCGGGTCCCAGAGGGCCGATTGCATTAGAGAATGGCGTTGTTGGGTCCCAGTGGGCCTATATACAAGTACTTGCGTTAGTCGGCTTGAAGGCGTGAGAAAAAAAAAAAAAAAAAAAAAAAAAAAAAAAAAAGAAAGGGTGGGGTATAGCAAAGTTCTGTAAGGGAAGTGGTGATATTTACATCTCCGGTCAACTTTCTATAATTCAAATCTCCTTTAAATAAAACTAGTTCACTCTCTTTCAGGTCATTGCACAAATCTGGCTCTTCGCTTGGGATTCGCCAGTAACTTCCTGCTGTAGTCCAGAACCGATTCGGCCGGATGATCAACTTCCCGTCCGCATGGAATTGGCTCCATTGGCTAAATAAAAACTGTAGCTCAGCAACTTCGTTTTCTGTGAGCGGCGGGGCAGGTTTATCGTTGCTCTTCGGATCGTGCTTGTCTTCTGGAGCTGTGAAGAAGGCTTGAGGGTCGGCGAGGACGGAAACTAGATCTCCGAAGTCCTTGGGTACCACATCGGAAACAAACCAAGGGATAGACTTGGGATGAAGGATCACCGTCGTGGCAAGATCAGAAAGGAGAAGATATCCAGCGAGAATCAGGTCAACGAATAGTTCAAAGCCGGCGTTGTCGAGAACGATGTCCACGCGGCGCTCTTGGTTCTTTTTGGTCTTCCGGGCGTTATTCAAGACAGCAAAGGCCGCGGGAAGATCATTGACTATGATATTCTCTTCAGCTGCTTTGCGCGCTTTCGCACCTTGGAGCTTCTGTATATCTTCGTGTGTGAGTGATGTGAGAAGGGATAGATCAGTTGCATTTCCCCAGAGACAAATCTCGCACATTTCCGCGAAGAGTAATTCATCTGCTTTTTCTATCTGTTCGCCGGAATGATTTGCCTTGATCTCCTTGTCTAGATGTCTATATCTCGCACCAAGCTCGAGAACTGCGGGGCGTGACGACTTAAATGTAGACATTTTCTGACGCATGAAAATATCATAGTCCTTCCAGTACTCTGCGCGCGAGAATAGGACGTTTATCCGCCTGTCTATGTTCCAAAGAGTCAGAGATCATGGCAAAGGAACAGTATTGATGTTCGATACGCACAGAGATAGCATTCTGTGAAGAGCCATGGCGCATTGAACCAGGTCAATTCTCCTCTTTCCTCTAGCTCCTTATTGTATGTCTCGATATCGCCTTCGCCATCATCCTCTAAAGGCCTATATTCTCGTCAATGCGGGAACTTCGAAAGAGCTTCCAGCTTCGCTGGTACGTAGTAGACAGCGGCTTCCTCACGTCAATTTCCTATTGTGTAACAGTTCGTATTTCAACGCCGCGAGTTGCGAGACAATGTCCTTTCCCTCTTTGCGCTTGTCCTCTTCATGATCAGGAAGTTTGATGAGAGAGCGATGGAGGTCGTCAATGGCGCCCGTCTGTCTCCAAGAGTACCAATTAGCGGAATATATTTCATGCGCGAAGGGAATTGAGAGTCCCAACCAGAATAACAGGCCATCTCTCAAGCGCGGAAATATATGCGAACGTTTGTCGTTCCGATGTGAGAATCGGAGCTGGTTGTTTGGTGGGGTTAGCTTGTGCCCCTCACGGTGCGACAGGGCAATGACCAACATACGGATTTTGGGATCGAATTCCATGATTTAGACAAGTGTTCAACTTAGTATCCTGCATGGAAGTTCTTGGATGACGCGGTTGTTTGAGAGATTAAATTGGATGCGTACAAGAACCTGTCATCATAGCGGGTGGAGCCGATGGACGAGGGAGCAATACAGCAGCAATAAAATCAGCGCAGTGCGCCATTTACGAAAAGCTACGCTTTACTTCTACGCAAGTAAATAGGAGCTTGCAAACTTTTATAGGAATAGGATACTACCCATCTTCTAGTATTGACGTACTTGAAAGCCCTGGAAACAAATGCAGAAGAGTACGAGTCTTCAACACAAATATCGATTGTTTATATCAACGGCGAACCACGATAGCTCGATTGTATATGCAACGCTTGAAAACAATCAAAAGCCACAGTCTGATATATCAAAAAAGGAACAAATCCCAATTGATACGTAATTGCTCTATGCCAACCGACTCCGCGCTAGACACGATCATTAGGGCTCCCAAATCATATATCCACCAGATTCGTGATACATGGGCTCTGGTTTCTCTTAAGACACAATAGATTGATATAGTGTTTATCGTTAAGCTCTTACATCAGCGACATGATGGAATTTTGAGCGTAAGCCTGATGTTTAGAAGTCCAGTTAGCTCAAAGTGAACTGAAGGAGCAGAAACACAATATAAACATGACAAACATACCATTGGTTTAATATCAGGATGAGGAACAGCATCAAACTTGTGGAATTCGAGCTCCAATTTTGGGTCAACATTGATATATGCGCCCTTGTTCTCAGTGTTGTCGCAATATTTAGGTGCGGAGAAGACTAAGTTTCGTCAGTGAATGCTTTCTCGGCATAAACAAGCAAGCACAGGAAACAAACCTGTAATACACCGGCCATCGTGCTCAACCTCATAACCCTCCATTCTCACTTCGTGACTTCTGATGACGGCCTTCAGGCCGTTCTTGTCACAGAACCGTTTTGTCACGTCGGGACCAAACTGCAATCCCACACCTCGTTTACTCGGGCCGCGACCTGGGTCGGTTTGCGGATCGGTCCATAGCATCTCCATCATCAATCCAGACTGGCCGGGTTGTCTCTGGTTATGTCTGTTGAGCTTTCTGATATCGTCAAGAGTAATGTCGTCATCTGAGAAGAGACCTCCATGGAGAACAAGGTATTTTTCTCCGATCAACGTGGCGAGTGGAAGCGCGGAGAATGACTCGGAAAAGACTTTGAAGAGGCGCTCGGTGTATTTGGCCTTGCATTCGCCCTCGAATCCGTAGACGCGATTCATATCATCCGTCTCATGGTTTCCACGGTTTAGGAAGAATTTGTTGGGCCGCAGCCATTTGTATGCGAAAAGAAGAAGAGCGATCTCCGTTGACCAAGATCCTCTGTCGACAAAGTCACCGTTGAACAAGTATGCGTGAGTATCCGAAGGGAAACCGTTGAGTCTAAAGATTTCCAGGAGATCAAAATATTGACCTAAAAAGATAACAGTTAGACGAATTCCTAGGTTCGGTGGTCCCGTGAACATCTTCCTTACCATGTGTATCTCCGCAGACAGTCAGTTTTGTTCCCTCTTCAACACCAATTTCCACCATAGTCGGCTCGTCATAGACAAGATCCTTCACCGCCTTCACGATCTTATACGCGTATTTCTTATGGATCTTCTTCCCGTTCTTAAACCGCTCGATCATATCATCTATGAATTCTTGCGTCATTTCATCTCCGAGATGCACGCCATCGTAGGACTCCTCCACTTTTATCGCCTCGATATCAAGCCCCTCAAATGCAGACGGCGGCTCCGCGACCTCGATGGCCTTCTCGAACTCAATCCTTCGCACCAGCTTCTCACATTCCGCCAGTTTAAGTTTCGCATCGCGATCGTTTGGGGCCTTTCTGACAACGGTTTTAAAGTCTTTCAGGGCTTCCCTGGAATTGAGGATGGCGGTATTCGCAACGGCTCGTCTCCAGTACGCCTGGCAAACCAAGATGTTAGACATGCGTCGATGTCACCAAGCTAGGGAGCATGCGCCAGACCTTGACATATGAGGGATCCAACTCGATCGCCTTGGTCGCATCCGCGATAGCATAGCCATACGCTTCCAATTTGATGTTCGCCTGCCCAGAGAAGAAAGCCGCAATTAGCCCACATAGAACCATCCATCCTACCTCCCTTCTCTCACCACCTTTGCTTTCTTTTTTTTTTTTTTTTCTTTTTTTTTTTTTTTTTTGCAAGCGGAATCCACAAAAAAGTTCAAACCCGCGCATTTATTTCGTCCCTGAGACTACAAGGTCCCAGGGCGCGTTGCGTGACAAAACATACCTGCGCTCTATTGCACCAAAATGAAGGGTCTCGGTCATATTTCTCGATGGCTTTTGTGTAGAATCCCAGCGCTTCCGGCCAGTCATGTCTAGCAAAGGCTTTGTTCCCCGCTACCTTTAGAGCCGTAGCGGCTTCGATTTCTGCTTGAGCCATGGGGAGGTAACGGAACAGCGGTGTTACGAGGTCACGAGCGGCGTGTGGGCGGGGAAGTTATTGATATGACGAGTACAAGTCAAGGGGGAGTGTGAACGAACAAGGAGGATAATAGGTAGATGAGATGAAAAACAGTATGAATAACTGCCAGTAGCAATTGATAACTAAGGAAATGTTATGGTGGGGAAAATAAGGGAAAAATAAAAATATAAAAATATTAAAAAAAAAAAGGACGACGCAGTGCTACCTTTGCGCTTGTGTCTCCGGTCTGGAGTCCGGCTCAGACACACCAGAGGCGGCTTTGGAACATTCTTTTTTTAACTCTCGCCTTAAAGTTCACCAGTTAAAGTTCGTTCGTGCCCCTGGACCAACCACACGCGTGATCCTCATCAGATACTCGGCCCGACATTCCTCCGGAGTGCACGCTTTCGGCTTGTTTTTGTAAAAATAGAATTTGGGCTATCAAGATACTCTGTACTCAGTACTCCATACTGAGGACTTCACTTCAGAAAGATATAGTTTTTTCATTACATTTGACTTATGCCAGTCAGATAACCTTATAAAACACATGCCATCATTATTTTGAATCACTAAGATGAAAACCAATCGCAAATTCGCCCGGAAAATAACAAGTTTGTGAGGAACGCTAGACAGTCAAATGAAACCCCTAAGACTTCACAATCTTCTCCAGAGATTCGAGGAGGATGTCGGCTAGAGCACTATTAGCAGAGTCCTTGAAGTTGGAAATCGGGTTAATTGTCTACTCACCGTGGTGTTTCTGGAAGATCAACATTGGTCGCAATCTGACAGCAGCCTCTCCGCAGCCTCCGATGTTGATTCCAACCTGCTTACCCTTCTTCAGGACAGCATCTCGCTGTGGGCTGTCCCAGGCGATGAATGTACCTTGTCCCTTGCCGCGGAGGTTCTGGAATTGGCTAGGGTATTGCTGACCGAGGCGCTCCAATCCAGAGAAAAGATAATCGCCGGTGACAGCAGTGTTCTGAACGAGATTAAGCCGCTCAATCTCCTGAACGATAGCTCGGAAGATAAGAGCACGAGCGGGATCACCCATCCAGGTGTTGAATTGGCGGAATGGCTTGTTGGGTCTTAGAGCTGGGTTACCATAAAAGTATCCCGCAGCTTGAGCTTTCTTCGAGAAGGTGACAATGTCCGGAGGAGTCTGAAGGTTCCAGTGGTCGTGAGCCCAGAATTTTCCGGTGGCGCCAAGACCGGTTTGCACTTCGTCAACAATGAGAAGCACGTTGTTTCGCTTTGTAATTTCACGAAGGCCCTGGAAGAAGGCCGGAGAAGCATGGTTGTCGCCGCCCTCGGATTGGACTGGTTCGACTACAACGGCAGCCACGGGGTTGTGGAACTCTTTGATGATCCTCTCAGCTTCCTGGAGGCAGCGCTGTTCCTCCTGTGCGTTCTCAGCGGCGAAATCCTCAAGAGGATATTTCAAGGAAGGGAAAGGCGCCTTGGGCCAGTCAAAGGCAGGGATATCAAGCTTGTGGATGGCCTTGCTTCGAGTAGTGGAAAGACTGCCGAAGAGACGTCCATGGAAGGCAGACTGGAAGGACATGATAGAGTAGTTTGGCGAACCGGGGGCCTGGTTGACCATAGTGGACGAGATTTCATCGTTGGTGAACTCGACTTCTGGTCCTCCACGTTTTTGCTGCGCATGATACATGAAGGCGGCCTTGTATGCGGTCTCGTTTGCGTCAGAGCCGGTGGTGGAGGTGAACACTTGATTCATGCCCTTGGGGGCGACACGGAGAAGACCAGTTTCCAGGATGTGAGCCCAGTCTTGCGAAGGGAAATTGCCCAAGGCCGGCCGATTGATCAAGGCACTGGCCATCTCTGGCGATTTTGTAGCTTCGAGGAGATTGGGGTTATTGTAGCCAACGGGGATGGAGGCAATCTGGGAGTACCTGGGGATTGTGCGTTAGCAATTGAGCCTAATTCCGTACAATTCGCACAGGAAGTATGGAAGCTTACACATCCAGCAGAACATTTCCATCGGGATCAGCGATACTAGGTGGTGAAAGCGACTCAATTAGCTTGCGTAACTTCCCAAGCGTGCTTCTTAAGAGTGTCGGGGTCCAACGCACTAGTTTCCGACCGAAGAGCTGTAGTCCACCAGCATATTTAGAGCTCTAGTATCAAAAACGCGATCGAGCTCCGCAATCTTCTGCTGGCTTTTGGGGCCAGGGATAGCTGTCTTGACGGTAGGCCCAGCGGGCTCATTGGGGAAAAATGGCTTCTCTGCGGATGTCCCAGCCTTGACAGACGCCGCTGCGCTAGCGCGGAGTGCATGATGTGCAGAGAAAGCTCGATTGCCTGTGCGAGCAGCAGCTCTAATTTGAGCGGATGAGCGGAAAATTGAGGCCATCTTCAAGTATGCTAAAAACAAAAAAAAGACAAGGAAATGAGGAAAAAAGCAAGCTACGCTCTCAATTCCGGTGGGAAAACGCGAGCCGGGTAGATGATGATGTCACCGGGAAAGCAGCTCGCGCGGTGGGAGGAAAACGGGGAAAGCCAGCGAGGAGAGAGATTGAGATTGAGCGGGTTCAGAGGAAGGAAAAGTGGAAGAAGAGGGCGTCGGGGCACGAGGCGGTTCCTTTTTAAAGGTGCCAGAGTTGAGGTATGTCGCCAGCATTTTCCCCTCTCTGCACCTTCGCTCGCAGCTCCGTCCATCGAAGCTCTGTGCAATCTGGGGAAGCCACTTGTATCTGCAGCCAATCAAGCCACGGTCTCCACCTCGCGCCCAGTCTGGAGGACGGCAATCGGTGAGGCTGGCCAATCATGAGCTGCTGTGGCTGCCGAGGAAACAGCCTGCGGGAACCGCGCTAAGCCCGATCGAGGAAGTTTATGCCATGTGCCGGCCCGGATCAACGATGTTCCCTGCCACTTCGGCAAAGAAAGATGGAAAGCACCGCCTTATCGATAAGAAGCAGACGAAGGCCAGAAAACAGCCTGCTTGTCCGGTTCGAAGCGCCGTGCGTGTGTCACTGGAGTCTCGGTCTCGCGGGAAAATCTCGTCTCGGCTTCCTTGCCGGAACTCGTCAGGATAGTCTCCTGAACGCCGATGCGAGAGAAAGTCCCGGATAGTTTGGCCGTTATCTTCAGGAACTCCCGTCGTTTCTGAGTGCTGGGCAGTTTGCAGACCACTGCACAAGGTGCTGTCAGCGCTGCATCATGGCTTCCTGAGGCCGGAACACCGGCTCTCGAAAAAAAGAGGGTGGGAGCTATGACCTTTTAATCAGATCACAGGGCTGATCAGTGGCTGATTAAAAATATATAAAATTAATTTTGTAACCAGCACCGCGATAGATGAGCAGGTACGGGGTACAGACAGGATGTCCCCTGTTATCTCCTTCGCTTTGAAGCCTGCTTCGTTGCTTTTTCTTTCACCTCCCGCTAATAATCCCAAAATCTCAATGCCGGCAGCATACAGTCTCCCATGATAGGCACAGTAAAATCGTCCAAGGATTAACACAAAATTTTTCTTTTTTTTTTTACCCTTTCAGTTAGGCATGCCTACGATTTCTCCCGGCCCCAATCTCAGAGGGCGGCCGACTTGACACGTGTTTGTTTTAATCCTCCGTCCCCTAATCGACTTAGCAGAAGTCGGTCTAAAAAGTTCGCCGAATACGATGGGATTTTATCATGGCATTCACTTCGGATCGAACTCCTACGATATGCCACGATGCTGCTCTGGCAATCCGCTTAAAAGGTCGCAGTTAACCAACTAATTATATATAACTAATAGATCGGATGCGAAACCTGGTGATCGTTTCTCAACGAGAATTCACGGCGACGGAGACACACACGGAGAACTCCGAATATAACCACACAAGGCTCTTCAACTCCCTCAATCACTACGCTAAAAATCGACTAAGGATCGTGGCCGGCCCGCTGTGCGTCTTCGCTTCGGGGTGCCATTGCGGCTGAACGTCCCTCTCCTGATTAGTAATGACCGAAGTACGTCTCTTGTAAGTAACTAATTAAGTGTGCCGGGATCTTTCCGTGAATGAAGAGCTCTCGGGCTTCCATCAGTGGCGGCGCCATAGCATGACAGACTGACAGCTGGGCCATACTGCCTTTTATGTCAAATAGAGGCTGTCAAGCATTTTACTTGCCGGGGACTGAAGCTGCAGGTGCCAGCCTTGTGAGGTTCCTGAGTCTCAGCGTCCCCCCTTTTTCTTTTTTGGCCGCATCCCGCGATTCGTGTCGCTTGCGGACGTTGGGGTCCACGAGGTAAAAGACAACGGCGAGAGTCTAGACTTTTTCGACTCTTCAGCGCCGTTCCATTTTCGGTGTCCTGCGTCCCGCTGCTTCAACCATGCCAACGCTCAACAGAAACACCAGGTTGTCTTGTGTTTCCCAAGTCATTTCTATGGCGGGTTTGATTCCACCATCTGACAAAAGGGATGAGAAAGCATGTCAAAATACACTGCCTTCGCAAGAACGCAACCGAAGCTTGTGGCACTGTGCTGTTTGACCCAAGCCCAACATGTGGGAGGAATAATTTGCTTTTCTACCAATAATGACGGTGGATGCTTCGGTTCAGCCCCTGCTCCTCCACTGTGAGCGAGGGCTAGCCCATGCATCCTGTGTTTCACCTTTCCCTGTTTGGATGGGAAAGGAATCAGAGGGGGCCAAAGCAGCTTTGGACATATTTTGACGACTCTTTCCTCCGCGCCAGCCGCCAAGTCGTCTTTTTTTCTCCATTCTGTTCTATTTCTGCATTCGTCTTTCTTTTGTGCAAGATGTTGTGAGGGGAATACGTTTGCCTCGGTATCACTATATATTCATCACTCCTTTGATCTTGTTTATATCCCGACAATCCTTTTCTGGGATTTTTCTCTCATTCATTCCCCCCTTTTTGAAGGAGAACGGAGATTTAATTTCCAAGCCCGGACACTGAATCTCAAAGCATCCGTTCCAATATCCTTGTTTTACTATCCCTTCATTTCATCATATTTCTCCATAGCACCCACCCTCAACCCGGTTCCTGTGCGCTGACATCCGAGAGAAGCCTTGATCATGGCTGATATGGCTATACATCATACAGAGCCGGCTCTAACTCACCACCCACCTGCGAAGAGTGGTCAACAGGCCGACGCCGCATCGTCTACTAGCACGACATTCGATCACAAGGGGGCATCGCGTATGCCAACTTATATAAGCAGTGGCTCTGAAGAACGAGAAAGCAAGCTCCCTCAACAACTACTGTCCAGGAGATCAAGCATTGATATTGATGATTATTTTGTACGCATGACCTGCTCATTCTAACGGATGAATGTGACCCCCAATTGCTCGCCTTTAACCCGGGTTAACCATGACTGATGAGTAGGTTGGACCACGAAACCTCGATCGACATTCAAAATGGCCTACTTTCCTTCGATTGCACGGCAGTGTTATGCCGCGTATGATCATTCCTTTGATTTTAATGTCCGGTTGGGCCACCTTGATCACTGTCATTACAAAATTTGTCCATAAGCGTATGTCTTGCATTCTATGGTGTTCTGAAAAGAAGGCGAGCAAGATATGCTGATCCTATGGCTTAGTGGGAGTGTCGTCCATTTTACTTACTGTTCTCGGTTTTGTCGTCGGTCTTTCTCTTTCTCTTCGAAGTTCAACAGCATATGAAAGGTCTGGCCTCCAAAACTAATCTCCACATTTTTACTGTCACTGACATCGGTCAAGATATGCCGAAGGTCGAAAGTACTGGGCCCTATTGATGCAATCATCTCGAACATTGGCTCGCATCATCTGGATCCATAACGAAGAACGAGAGGGAGAAGAAGGAAAAGAAGATATATTGGCCAAATTGTACGTCTGATCGTGTGCGGTTTTGTTGGCTCAACGAGTCCCTCCTAACTCAGTTCTCAACTAGAACTGGGATTAACCTTATCGTCGCGTTTGCGGTTGCGTTGAAACATAAACTACGGTTTGAGCCTAATATCGCATACGATGACCTTGCCGACCTCGTAGGCCACTTGGATACATTTGCTAAGGAAGCCCATGACCCTAACGACTGCGGAACCCGAAGTGTTGGTGGCCTAAAGGCCATCGGACAATATCTTAGCGTCCCAATGGCAATTTCGAACCCGCGAAAAGCAATTAAGAAATCGAAGAAGCCTCTTGGAAACTTGCCAGTGGAGATCCTGTCATATTTATCTGCTTACGTAGATGAACTGATGAACGAAGGCAAGATTAGGCTGCCGGTTTACCAGTCTCAGGCCGGTAAGGATAAATATAGAGCTTCGAGGAGAGGTCTGGTGTTGACATGAAGAATCTAGGTACTGCTTTGTACGCTATGGAGGAGGTCATGACTGGCACGGAACGTGTTCTCAACACCCCACTGCCCCTTGCGTACACGATCCTTATCTCGCAGATCACATGGATCTACGTGCTCATTTTGCCATTCCAACTCGTTGAGGACTTGGGATGGATCACCATCCCAGGCTGTGTCGGTAAGGTTCATGTTCGCCAGTATTCCTAGCTTAGGAATGCACATCTTGCTCACATTTCCGATTTAGTCGCTACATACATTATCCAGGGTATCGCTGCCATCTGCGCCGAAATTGAGAATCCATTCGGCAATGATGTCAATGACCTGCCTCTCGACATCTTCTGTGAGCAGTTAGCGGCTGACCTCGATGTCATCACTTCCTCACCACCACCGAAACCTCAAGATTTTATCTCCCGGCGCAACAATCTCGTCCTTCAGCCTCTAAGTAAGAGTGGTGTGGATGCCTGGAGACAGCGCAGCATCGAGGACCTCCGTGCTGCATTGAAGGCAAAAGCTACGGTCGCGCCAGCAACTATGGCCATTTCAGGTTCGAGAGGGCAAGTATTGGGTGCAAATCGTATCAGTTCCGATGTGCCGTGAAACCATCCACAAATTAAACCACCCGACCCAACAAAAAAAAAAAAGAACCAAAAAAAAGAGGATAAAAGTTCCAAAAGCCTTAAATTTTAACTGCATTACTGAAACTGACAATTCTTTTGGAATGAGGTGTTCATATATTTATTTGAGTGTCTGGATATATGACTGAAGGTCTATATCCCTTGACCTTGTGTCATTGTGTTGGCTGAGGCTGATATCGAGCGTGGAGTTTGAGATGGGAGTTTTCGACCAGTGGACCGAAACATACATATAGCCGCATAGCGTTTCTTTTGAACATAATTTAATTTCTTCGCAGTTATTCTGGTTTTCATATCAAGAGAAGTTTCTTGTTATGCCCCGAATATCAATGTAACCCCTCCCTCGCCTCACTGTCTACTCTTGAGCTCCGGATACCTTGTTAATATCAACGCGTTGTATAATAGCCCTTGCGGCACCTAGGGTTCTCGGGTAAACTCAGGAAGTCGGGTTTCTTTCCTAGTTGTTACGACGATGCGCCGCAAACGGAGATAGGGTGAAGCGATCACTCAGATTATCTTCTAGGCCCTATAGCCAAAAAATGGACAGGTCTTGCTGGGAGAGTGTTGTTCCGTACGCATTAAGGTGTTACTCTTCCGAATGTAGCTCCTTGCCTCTGGGCGCTTTATAGAAAAGCGACCTAGTAATGTGGGTTAATTGGACGGCTTGCTTATTTTGAGAGGGGGGAGGGGAGGGGAGGAGAAGGAAAAAAGGTTGTTCTCAAATGGGGCTAATACCTTTGTTGTGTTCTCAAGTCATGAGCCATCATTCAGAGAATTACTGTGCAAAAAGCTCTCTTCCCGTGCCTCCCACCAAGGCACCTAACCAGCTTCCCTTTGCCCTAATCTTCCACGCCACGCTTGAGCCTCCGTCTCCGCTTGAACCGCCCACCCACGAGCTCACGGCTGCAATTAGAGCTGCAGCATCGCCGTGAGGGACTCTGATCCATAGGGTATTCCGCGTCTTCCTTCTTGCCGATGCTGCACCAACGGGTAGGCTTTCGGCCTGGAGTTTTAATATATCAAAGGGTATGGCGGTACCCGAGAGGCCAAGGAACTGGGATAAGGCGGAGGTCAAATATGTTTTAGCGGTAAGGAGGTCAAGGGGTTCTGAATTGGAGCTGGGAGGTTGAGTTACCCTGAGATTTGATGAGAATGGGTTAGATATGAATTGCGGGTCGAGGTTCGTGCGAATGCTACATACAGCTCGAGATGTATATACGCCCATTCTGGTTTACGGGAGATGAACGTGATCGTTGTGTCGGGTGTTTTCTTTTTACCAGCCCCCTCGGCTGTACTGTTTCTCTTCCTCTTCGCCATGTCAATGCTGTCGCTCGTCAATTTTGATATTGGCTTTATTATCGTGTTCAGATGAGGCTTTTCAGTGGGCGCAAATATGCCGTTTGTAAAGTATCGGGCTATCGCAGCCCTTATAGCCTGCTGGGCATTTGAGTGTGGTGCCCCCGGCGTCACCAGAGCGATATGCTCGGTTCAATGGGCTTCGCTGCAATCCCCGACCAAAGGAGCGGTGCCGCCAGAAAGGTTTGGGACGCGACACAGGCTTTCCAGCAGCAGAAACCAGAGAATCACGTGCCTATTATCAGAGCTTATTTTTAGGCTAGTCTGAATTAGGCTAGCGGAGTGGCTTGGAAGCTGCAAGCGGGTGGCTTCCGTTAGCCGAACTCAATTCCAAAACTCTGATCAACGACTCATCAACACCCACGAACTCCGTACGGAGTACTCCGTACACAGCGCGGAATGCTGGACACGAGTCATTCTGAAAATCCCGTTTTCTTTGTTCTTATGGAGAATTTTCCGTTTGAAAATTCCGCGAGTGATTCGATTTATTTTTCTTTCTTGCCGGTCTTTATCGATTCTGTCGACCTCCAACGCGGAACTCGATGTTGCCGCAAAAAGCATCAATATACCGTGTATAATATATACCTACCCCCGGGAAGGTGTTTCTACAAAAAAGCCTACGCCATTTCTCCAGAGTAATGCCCTGCCTCGTCTCCAGATCCCTGATTTGTGTTGTCCGCGGAATGTAAGCCGTGTGGCTAGCTGGCTAGCCATTCTGTCCCTGAGCTATATGGGGGCTTTTAGCGGAATAAAGAAAGGCTGCCTCGTGGCATTTTACAACTTCTATGACTTTCTTCCTAAATTTATATGGATCTACCTGTCAATGCCATTCAACCGAAACATACAATGGCATCAAGACGAGGTAGCAGGGTAGATTCTATTACGGCCCCCCAATCACTTGTATATCAATGGACAGTGGATTGCTTAGCCAACGCATTTTAGCTGGTATTTGCCTCAATGAATGGGAATGAAAGGACTCTATTCCCCTATTGCTAAGCCATTGAAGGCAAGACAGGACTTAACGGTTTCCAGCCATCTCGGATCCTTTTTCCTCTTTCCTTCTTACCTTCTTGTCCTCGTTCGCTTTTTTTCTTTTCTCTTCTCCGTATCGCTTCGTCTGCTTTTACTAATCAGTAAAATTATATCTTTTGTGATAACCCATTTTTAGTTCTTCTAGTGTACATTATCTTGTTAAACGCTTGAGCAGGACTCAAAACTTTTGCACTTCTTTCTATTACGTCTTAAAAGACAATCCACCAGTGGCAGGGTTCGAAATTCACTGCCAGAATGGAGACTCCAACACCCACAGCGCCTGTGGCTCCCGTGGTCCGTAAATCGCCTCAAAACTCTACAAACAGTACTTCAAAGGACAAGAATGGAGATCAGCCAGAGCAAACTCGTAGGTGACAAAGGAAAATTCAAGGTTTTGATGAATGCTAATCTATAATTATAGAGAAAAAAGCCCCAAGGAAAAATAGTCAGGACGCGCAGAGCGCAGACAATATTACATTACCGGTGCCATCACAATGCCATTGGTCGTTGCATAATCTGCCGGATATCTTGTATCAGCTGAACCCGACAGACGGAGCTGCTCGAAAAAGTGATCCGGTACAATTAAAGCCATCTCCCTATTACGGTCAAGCACCAATCCGAGTCTTCGATATCCTGCCAGATAGAATCTCGTCAAACGTTGAGGATTGGCGTGTCGAAGCGTGGCTACGTTTAGATAGACGCATACGCCTTAAGGATATTACTGCTAGAATGGCTCCGGATTTCGCGATGACAACCAATGCCTTGCAGCAGCGGAACGTACGATTTCGCCAACTATTCAACATTGTCTCCTGGGGCAAAGGTAACAAGCTTACAGAAAATCATAGAGAAAAAATCCATAAGATGTTAGAAGAGCGAGGCATTGACCTTAGCCTTAATACAACCCGGGGTATAACCCCAGGCCTCATTGATCCCAATGACCCTGGCAAAGGGAGGATTCCCTTTGATAAAAATTACTTAAAAAATATCCAAGACCAGGAGGAGAGAGCCAGGAAAAGGGCAGCAGATAATGCGAAGAACTCCGCAGCAAGCTTCGAGGTCAAGACGACGCCAACTTCAAGCCCGATCACGAGCTGCGTCGGTTATACTGCTGGCCAAAACGGATATGCTGCGAATTCTCCTTCGGGTTACCCCGAATTCTCGGCTGCTGCGCAAGAAAATAAGGGCCATAACGAACAATGCGATGAAGATACTGAAGGCTCCAACAACGCTTATGCCGATGATATCAATGAAGATGGAGGCAACGAATATAAAGGCGACGAAGCCAATAGAGCCGATAGAGATCGCAGGTATGGCGCCAACAGTGAGGGAAGCGATGGCGGAGACGCCAGCCAATATAATGAAAATGAAGGGGGTGATGAGGACGGCGATAGTCACGACGACAAGCCTAAAACCAATGGCGACGAGCCTGAAGAGTCGTCTGGGGATGAAACCGATAGCAGCGATGACAGCGATTACGCTCCGGACGATGACGACTCCTCGAACAAAGCGAAGGCGAGCAACAACCACCACGTGGCAGGAAAGCACCTACTTTCCACGGGCGGCAAAAGACTTCCTGGACAAACAGATAATAAACAGATAGTCATCAAACGCAAGGCCCGGGATGAGCATTATACGGGGGCTGGTCCTTCGAATAGCGCGAACCCGGCTCGAAAGAAGCAAAAGTTGACATTGCTTGAAGAACAACAACAAGCAGCTCATCAGATTGTATCCTGCCCACAGTGCGATCGGCAACTGAAACTTAAAGATGTTGAATTTCACATCCAGCGTTGTCGAGGAGGCTTCCAGGGGCTCAAGAAAGTGCAGCCACCACGAAGTCTGCCAACTCCGTTACCGGCACCGAGGAAGCAGCCAACTAATTCTCAGATGCCCGGACACGCGCAGCTACCACAGGTTCGGCCAATTCATTTCCCAGCACCCAGCCGAGTAAGACATCTACAAAGTCAACCAGCTGCAGAAACGCCAAGGGCACAAATGTTTGCTAGAAGGGGATTTAAAATTCTTAAACCCCATGGTCAATCAATACAGTCAGCTCAGCCAAAACGGAAGCGTGAGGAACCACACGAACCGGATGCTGAGAGATGCAAGCGCCAGCGACAGAATGTTCAAAATCCCGAAAAGCCACCCTCTCCAAAGAAACCTGCAAACGAGATTCCGAATCGCCCAGAGCCACAAAATCTCACAAAGGCCAGAGACCTCACCGAAGCCGAAGAAACTGAAGAAACTGTTTGGGGCACCTTCGTATGGAAACACACAGGTATCAATACTCTGAATCCGCCAACAGAGATGCCCCCGCTGGTGCCTGATGAACCTTATATCTCGGCCTCTCCCTACGCCAACTATGTTCTCGAGGAACGAATGAGGTGCCTACTACCAGTCGCGGGAGCTCTTGAACGTGTGCTTGGAACTGCTATACAAATCAATTGGTCAGAGTGGTTGAATCTGCGAACTACCTACGATCCTCGTCGCCAAGAGAACATCCTCCACGAAGATCAGGAAATGTTAAAAGCGATCCTTACGGAAAAGGAATATTTGACCTTGATGTCTTTGTTCGGGAAATCAAAAGATATACCTTGGCCTGACGAAGTTGGGAAACCAAAGGATGCATCTTGGCTAGACAAGGAATTAGAACATAGCCTTGGGCAAGATGAGTTCGGGAAATCAGAAGAAGGGCCTTGGCCAGACGAGTCCTGACGATGCTATACAACATCACTGCTTCACTACTTTACTAACAGGGCTGGTCCCTACTCTGCCGATGGTGCCAACGAATTTTCTCATCTGCGTGGATTCAATTTTGAGTCGAACGATCGAATTGTTTCCTCGACAAAAAGTCCTTTGAGTGCTTGTGCTGTTTTTCCGACTTCTGTTCCTTGATTGTCATACTATTTTTCTTTTTTTTTTTTCCCTTAACTTTGTCTTGCTGTGTTATGTTATGTTACATTTGGTTTGGTGATTGGTTGCTGCTGTTGATATGCAGGAAGTCGATTTAAGGTTAACTAAGTACGGGACCGAAGCGTTGCGGGGACTGGAGACGTGGCGACCAATGTTTTTTGAGATATTTGAACTTCTTCTCTTCGACATCTTCATTCTTCGAGTTTGCATGTGTTTCTATCCCTATTATTCTTATCATTTACTAACTGAAAAGAAAACCCCCCAAAAAAAGGACACTGTTTTTATTTATTTACAGGAATCTTAAACCGATATCATGCTGCCAGTGATTTTGTCAAAGAATGGCCTTGTTCCGCAGCACGGTGTGCTTGGTGGCTCTCACATTGCTATATCAATCCATCGCGGGTTTAATATAATAGCTTTGGGGTTGAAGGGAATTACCTGCTTCCTGTCTATAGCTTAATCAATTGAGATTAACTGTTCCTCTATTCAGGACGGTGAAGGGTTCCATCTACCAAAGGACCATAGATAACTCAGGTCTGTTGAGTACCGTGCAATATGCCTAATGCGGACCGGAAAGCATCCTAATGTTCAGTGCAAAAATGGATTATATAGATGTAATCTTCAATTGCTGCTCAATACGTTCCATTATTGAGCTAGTATGTTTGGTTTCACTGGATAATTGGATATACCCCCGGACCCAAGTTCATCCACTTCACTTAACGAAGATGTTTTGAGTGAATTATCTCAGCAACTCCCCAATACATATGATATCAAGCGAGGAACATTCCTCAATGCCCCAGCCTTATAATTTTTAAGGGGCTGCTTGATATCCACCCCTCTCTTCCATATCTTGCCTCCGACCTAATCCCATTACCACTAACCAGCTTCCTTCCACACATAACCTGCCACTTAGTCTTCTTCCCAACCGCTTTCTTTCTCTCACTTTCACAGCATACCGTCATTCTCTACCTTTCCTCCATACCTCACTCTTGAGCCAACCATCTTTTATCTTGCTAGAAAGATTTCATCATTGTGATAAGTCTGTTGCTTTCCATTTTTTGCGAAAAGATCCCATTGCGTCAGCGATTATCTCAGCTATAATACAGCGCGACATGGCAATCGAACTGAGGTATGAGAGTGAAGCGTCTCCTTCTGCCTCAGAATATGGAGCGTCCCTCTTCAGCATTGATTCCATTGGGAAGAGACCTGCATATTCTGGCTTTACAACCCCTGGATCTACCAGGGACGTGAACCAGCAAGCCGACATAACGTCAAATCTGGCTGCAAAAAACTTGGCTCTGTTGTGTAAGACTCCTCCCCTCAACTCTTGCATTTATCCCCACTAATCGAACTTCACAAGCTTTTGGGCCCTATTTTGACGCAAATCTCTTTGGATTGAACCATCGATGTCACCGTAAGTAGTGTCATTGCCCCCTCAATCACCTCTCCCTGAGATAAAGGCTGATTCCTCCCTTTAGATGATATCCTTCCGGATAAGTTTCATACTTGTTCGCATCCATACCACTCGTCATACAATGAAGGCAACCTCCCTCTCCTTCTCTTTAGACTGGAGGCCCCAAAAGAAAGCCACTCAGAGCCGATCGGATACTTGGTGGAGAATGGCAAAGTTGTTTTGGACTACCAAGGTAATCCTGTGCGAAACTTCCCTTTTCTACCGCGATACATCTCCGTTAAACCGTCCGGGTGGCTCGTCGAGTTTTGGATGCGATCGGATACCCGTCTCACTTACCGAGACATCAAAGCGAGAATGACGGCCAAGAATGAAGAGCTTCCTTCGGATAATGTTTTGAACATGAGGCGTGAACGTGATGCTCGCAAGCCGCTAGGCTTGTCTTGCTGGACAGCTCGTCGTGGGGGCATTACCAAGGCCGAACTCGAGCGTGTTGAGCGGTTATCGTCAGAAAACGTCAAGTATAACACCTCTCTAAAAGTGCGTTTCGACCTCCAACCTGCGGCACTTGAATCAAGGTCCTTCGATCCAAATGCGATGCCACAGTATTATCCGTTGGACATCTTCTTGGACCACCCTAATGAACTCCATAATGCGGGTCATCGTTTGGAAGATAGCATCGAGCTCCTATTTAGATTGCAAGTCTTAGCGTCAGATCTTGGTCTGAACGATTGGAAAGACCTACCAGAAAATGAATTGCCCCAGTGGTGGCCCAAAGCGAAGGGCAAGGCCAATGCAGACCTGACAAGTGTAAATCAGAGCCAACTGTCTTCCGCGTCTGGGTCAGTCCTTTCTACACCCAGATCAGTATCCAAGCGACGCATGAGCTGGAAGACGCCCCCGAAATCCAGATTGTCAGTTGCTTTCACCGCTGAGACCCCTGAATGCCCAACGCAGTCCGCAAGCCCTTTTATGAACGCCATTTCTCCATCGGCCGACTTCTTCACTGGCGATACCGTGGGAGCGACCGGTTATACAGATCAATTCGACACCATTGCTCATCGTACGGACATAAACAATGCACTGGCTGCCAACTATTCCGAACTCGGTATGCATCAACCTCTGCAAGGACTTGGGGTCCATCAGCTGTGGACGTCTCCGATCAGCGGGCTGAACGGCCAAAACGTCGAAATAGCCACGGCATATAATGAGTCCACTGTCGTATCCAGACAAGCCAACTTTTTCCCTGCACCTTTTCAAGGCTGCCTGGACGACTATCATCTCTTCGATGGACCATACATCTCTGGCTATTCGACCCCGTACAACCAAGCTGCTTCCACCGAGCATCTCGACAATATCGCGATGCAAATCGACCAGCGCTGTCGGGCCTCGAACTATCCCCAGGGCATCAACAAATTTAGCCCTTCACCTTCGCAATTTCGGGCCCCCTCAAGCCTCTCCATTCGCCGCAACCATGCTCACAAGGTGAACACGAGCACTGGCGAGATCATGACTCGCAACAATCCGTTCCCATGGAGAAGACACCAGCGTAACATGTCTTCACAGCGCTCTTTCGAAAACTTCCTTAGGGACAACCTTCCCTACTAGGAATATTCGAGATTCGAATGTTTTAAAGGAATCCCCAGGTTTCGAAAAGTCTTCTGCGCAATCATGTTCCACCGGAGAGGCGTATAGGCTGCATGAAAAGAAAAGGAAAAAAGAGGAAGAAAGATTTTTTTTCTCTAGGACCTGCTTGGCTTTTCTACCTTTGCTTATGGTTCCATTTGTTTCCATGTTGATATTTTTTGACCTTTTTGCCTTCACATTTATGTTTGAGGACGGTTACTCCCGGCCCTTCTTGCTGGGTTCTATCCCTGGTTCTACCTCTTGGCTCCGGTCCTTCCCGTGGTTCTTCATTTCTCATTGCTTATTGGGTGCTGATCCCAGCCCTAGAAGAGACACGGAACTTTCAGTAACTTTCACCTGGCATCACAGCGCCCTTTTCCCTGTATTCATGCCCTTGATGACTTGACTTGACGCGCTCTAAGCCTTTTTCTGCTTCTTTATCTTGTGCTTTTCCCACTGAATTTTCTTTTCTTTTCTTTTTTTAAATAAAAAAAGAAAACACCTAGATTGATACTTTATCCCCTGTATTCGGGTTCCCATGGACCTCACTTTCATTCTGAGCTTCATATATGTATTCTTCTCTAGATTCAATGCCAGTAGGTCTTCAAATATTCTGATTTCTAGTCAGCGACCACAATTTCTATGTACGCCGGTATTGCTAAATGAGTAATATACTATCGAGTGAAGAGAAACCCGCGGCAACACCACCTTCGTCACTGTCATCGGCCTTGGTTCTCATCAGCCACCCTCCCTGCTCGTTGCGCATAACCTTCCCAGTCTCATTATTCCACAATATTGCGCCAAAAATACCCAATTCACCGACAACATTACCTGTCAGTACTTCACCATCACTACGAAGTGCAACGTTCTTAGCTGCGCTCGGTGGCTGGATGAGTTCCATCAGAATCCACCCCTTCCAGTCCTTCTCAGGCATGGCGCGTAGAAATCCCGGGATTGCCTCGCGGTAAATGTTGTTCCCACCGCCTTCGCGCTGGGGTTTGAGAACGTGCTTTGCTGCAGTAGATGGGTTGAGGGCTAGATCTTGCCCCTGCCCGGAGGTAGAGATATCATATTGTGGAGCGAAAGTATCGCGTATTTGCTTGATGGTTTGAGGGTCGGCGTTGGGGAGGAATCGGGCCAAATGATCGGGTCCGGTCGGCTGAGCGAGGACCTGTTGGACCTTCTTGCATCCCGATAGTTGGTTGAGGACTGTGGGGCATTTGATTGCTGCTGAGCGTTCGAGGTGAGTACGCGCCTCCCATGCGCTTCCGTCTTGGTAGTCTCTAGGTCCGTAGAAACCCCGGAGGTAGATAGTGGTGACCTCAAAGGAGACTGATGGGGCATATGGTGGGGCATATACCAGCGGGCGAGATGGGTTGTCTTGGGGGACAGACGTCAACCGTAGGACATCTGTAGTGATAACGCGGAAAACGGGTATTTTATGGAATTGTGTGAGACGAGTTGAGAGCTCATGTTGGTCAAATATATTCCGCTCCCCATCTTGAACCACAAAAAGAATGCACAGAGGCAGCGACGGTGATGATTTGGAGCATCCGTAAGCTTCGTGAGCGGCGGCAAGTCCTGCAGCGAGAGTCGCAACCGCCTTATTCTCTGGAATGGAATTCTCTTTCAATAATTGATGTGGTGGGTATGCAATCGGAGTTCCCGGTGGGCAAGAGAGAAGATCCGAATGCATCTTGCTCACAAGGCATGAAAGCCCGCCAAAGGATGACGAGATGGTATTGAATTCCACTTGCTTTAGAGATGGTTCAGTGCTTCCTTCTGGGGTGTGAAGCATATAGTCTGACCTGAAAAGGCCCAATGATAATGGCTGGACATAACCTTCTTGTTTAACGGCCTTGTGGACTTTCCATAAATTGGCAACAAAATCATCGACATCGACGAGGCTAAAACATGGATTTGGTAAGTAACATCTAAGTTATCCAGAAAAGGGCGGTATTCTCACTCTTCGATAATTTCCCCTAGCCATGCTTCATCTGCAGTGATCGCAGCATACAGCTCGTTATATGCTGTTTGAACGGAAACCGCTGACTGATAGCAGGATCTTGGGAAGAGGCTCGGGAACAATGTCACCGGCGCATTTGTTGCCAACACAGCATTAGAATCAGATGCCTTTGATACTAAGTCTGGAGATGGTCGGACAGTCAGTCCGTGATGTATCGTCCAGTCTTTCACTGTGGCTACTAAATACCGCCTTTGCTCTGGAGAGAGCTCCGGCGGATAGGTCGCATATACCGATTGGTCCATATTTTCTTTTTTTCTTTTCTTTTTTTTTGGCTTTAGCGGACAGGATCGCCCACTTGTGTCTAAGGAGAGTCACAATTTAAAAAATACAATTTTATACTTGATCAAGAAGAGAAGAGACAGAGACAGATATCTACATCACTGATCAAGTGAAGATTCGGCGCAACCGTGAAAGAATATATTGACCCAGGATCGAGGGGAAGAAACTGGGACGATTATTCAGCGCCCCGCTTGGTCAAGCCCCGAGGATTGCTAAGCCGACTCCGTCTCGACAACGACGCCCGGCGGGTTGGAGAATTTCAACACGAGGTTCTCATGCTTTTCAAAATATCTAAAATGGACCTCATTGTTACAGCATATTCCAGGGTGAGACCTACTGAGATTCTCTTACACTCAACTAACAGTGCCCTCCTGCCCCGAAAGCCCTGAAGGGACAAGGAATGACGACCGGTTATTGCAGAAAACTTAATTATGTAGGACTGGGCTGAGGACACCCTGACAGGGCCTGGAAAGGGAGCGTGTGAAATTGATACTTTGTCCTTTCCTAGAGTGATGGATTTGACCAAGCTACGCGTATATAAACTGGATAGTACTCTGTACTGCGCTGATGTGTATGTAAACAACCTCTCTGTACTCTGACTAGCAAAGTAATGGAGTGAAGATGCTTTCCAGCACGCATATCGTGAGTATAACTTCAAGTCGGTATCCCAGTCATGAAGACAGGATAATGCTGGGCTCAGACCAAAAAAGGTGACAACTACTAGTTACGAGTTAACTATGGAGTTGTTAGGACGTTAACACCATCTAACTGCTCTAGAGCCTGTTTCCCAAGCGATGTCAACGTGATTTTTCCAGGCCAAAAATAGGGCATCATTTTTCTGTGATTTCTCCGCAGTGATATTGCGCGCCAAATTGAAACCTTTCCACATACCTCCGCAGTCAACTGCTTAACTTGTTAACGAGTTGGCTAGCAGTGACTTTGTTAACTTCTTCCTTGATAGATATTTCTTTTTCCAGTCTAGCCTCCTATCTCTTCACACACAGTCTTACAAGCGCACCCCGCCTGTTCACTGCTGTTGCTGGCAGGGATTGTGCTTCCCCGTGTGGGCTTTGAAGTCCAATTCTGACACGTTCCAGGCCAACTAACTAACTGGGCCACGAAGCAAGTAGCGTGCTTCCCACGTGCTACTGTACATCACAGGTACCTAAACTATCTTATCTCTCACGTGATAAAGGCGGTGGACTTTCTAACTATTCTGCTGGCGCTTACAGTCCAAGATCAGCAAAGGGAGGGAGATACAAGTAGGTCTCTGACACTCTGTGCCCATCTTACTCCTGCCAACAGATCCTTACTGGAAATATCTTTTCCGGCTCATTCAAATGAGTACTGACAAGCCTACGCGAATTAGACAGCCTTCTCGTCTCCCTCCAGAAACCCGCAATTCCCACGTGTCTGCGCCCACTCGATTGACGAGGTGTCGGCTTGCAATGTCTTCAGTTTAGCGGTCAATCCCTTGACAAGGCCTCACCGATGGGTTTCATAATGGAAAAGAATCCACTGGAGAATAAAGACCCTTTCGATTGGTCAATCGACGAGGTGGTTGCATACCTCTGTCGCGCCTCATTTGACTCTTGGAGCCATTCCAAGATTCCCCCGCCTCGGCCCGCGCCTGAAATTTTAGAAAAAGCTCTACGCGAGAATGATGTCACCGGCTATGTTCTACTGACAGAGATAAACAAACAAACCCTCTCTGAAGAGTTTGGGCTGAAGTCTCTTGGCCAGCGAGCCACGATCGTTCGAGCAGTCAAGTATCTCCAGGGGACATCCCCAAAGTATAACGAATATGTTGGCCAGTTGAGCTCAGCAGATATTATTCCAGATCCTCACGCGTCGAGTGGAAATCCTACGCAATTATGTCCTTCTAGATATGATCAGCAAACCCCAAGCGTTGCACGTCCGACGACCCACCCTCAAAGACATTCGCTGCCAGCCACTCCTTCGACCCTTACCTCTCTTCAACCCAGCACCTCTGTCTTTGTTGAAGCGTCAACGCACAACGCTGAGAACACTTTCTTCCAACCAGTTAGTTATGAAGTAGCAGATCACATTCCAATTTCAAAAGAGAGCCACCCTCCTTCGAGGTCGAAAGTGCGATCGCTTTCAACCCTAAATGATTCCGAAGCAAATACACGCCATGACGAGCATTATATTATAGATAAAAATGGGAAGAAACGGCGCAAATTAAACCTCAGCGCTCTGACAACTCAACAAAGTGAGTCCCAGCAGCTCCAGAGACGCTATTTCGACCACAGAAAAATGTCGATTTCAGGGGTATTTTACCCAGACAACACTATCAATGAGGATGAGAGCGGGGAAGATACGTTTTGCATCATGGCGCCTGATTCCTTACCCACTGGCAACCGGCTTTTTGTAAACCAAAAAATGCAATACTACCTTCGACAAAGACCTCAATACCTAAAAACTAAGACAGGAAAACCCGCCATTGCCGTATTTCCCTACCGCGGCTCATCGGCGGTACAAGGTGATTCCCAATTCTTTTCCTTGTTTGTCAAAAATGGGAAAAAGGTCAACGTCACCAGAGAGAACATGTTTGACTGGCCAGAGTTCGACCTAGGAAGTGACAGATTGCATTATTTACTTGCCAAATATCCGCCCCGAGGGGAACAGGATGCATTACCAGCCTATGGCGATTCCGCGTCTGAAGGCGACTACGATTCTGAAACTTGGAACGAGATTCAGGAGGAAATCGAGCAAAAAAAAGATAGCTCAAAGCGGTCAACGGATCTCTCTCCAGCAGCCGTTGACGCTATTATTGATGTTTGTATTGCCGACTATATTAGCAAGTGGCACCTTAAAAAGCGGCCAATCGAGGAAAGAAAGGCGAGGCGATTGTGGCGCCGCGCAAGGGCGAAACGAACTAGACTAGCAGACATTAAAGCTGCTTCTAGTGAAATTGCACACCTGGACCACCGTCTAAAGGAAATCAGAAAAGCGATTAAAATGTCTCCCTGGTCTCAGGCTAAAGACGTACAACTCCAGTGCCAAACTATGGAACAGACCGTTTTTCAACGAGAATTTCAAAAATGGACTATTACTGTGTTGGAAACTGAAAAATGCCCACCAAGGATAGCCAGCAGTTCCAAAGCTTCCCGGCCAAGGCCCCCGCGGCATATTCAGCTGCCAGATGATGAGGAGTCATTAGGTTCTGACACTGAGGATAGTGGCAATGATACCGACGATTTCGTTGTTCCGGATGATGAGCCACCTGGTCATGGTCAAAGACCTGCTGATGCACTATTGTCATCGTCACCCTGTCCTACTATTGAACCATCTGACGACCAAGACACCGTTTCTCCCAGGAAGCAAGTGAGATTTCGAGGGGACGGTAGGGGGCACGCCGGCAATACTGTCGCAGGCCGTGTTGAAGGTTCCTCCTCACTCCCAAGCTCACGTAACCTTGTTGGGGTTGAAATCGTGGATCTTACACGAAGTGACAATGAGAACGGAAGCAATATCAACACCAGTCGAGAAAGGATTGCTGTTCACGTGCGTACACCACCGATGAGCAGTCATAGGCGAGACGCTTCGTCATCACGCCTCCTTGATGACTCTGAAGGTTCGACGAGTGCATCAATCTCATCTATAGCTTCAACACTAGTCGCTGATCTGGATTTGGATCACATCATGAGCCTCACCACTGAACAGCTCCAATTACACCGAACACATTTGATGGCTTGGTATGCTCATTACATGGGTGAAGAGGACAGAATAGGTTTAACCCGTATTTTCAACACTAAATCTTTCAGATATTTGAAAAGCATCGTGTACAAGGGCCTGCAAAACTTGCTGGAACATCGTACTACAATTCCTGGCACCAGCGCCAAAGATTCTAAGCTGTATCTGAGAATGACTGTGATGTATATCTCTTGGATCGTGCGCAGGAAAATAATCGCAGAAAAGGGCATAAAAAAGCAGGATATTGAGCACTCAATGCGCAAGAAGAAAACCCGCCACTTTCTTTCTCTTGTCGCTGATATTCTACGGACTTATCCTTTTAAGAAGTCGAAGGGGCAGGAAGAAAAGGATTCTTCTACAGAAGCTAGCGCTGAGATGAAGACTAACTTGGACGATGAGCCTGACGGCTCTCCTAGGGACGAAGATGGTTTACCCAACTCTACTCATACACCACATCGGAAAAGAAAGCGTGCCGTGAAGCAAAGCCAGGAGGCATTGGATACTCAGAAGAGCGCGCAACGCCGAGTTAAGCTTCAAGAACAACAACAACAGCGTCTCCTTCAACGACTTGGGAGCTCAGGCGTGGCCAACAGCGATCCTGAACGGCAGGCTGTCAGTTTCGATGAACCAGTTATCTACCTAGATCCGCACATCGGTCGCCTTGTCAAGCCTCATCAGCTACATGGAATGCAGTTTATGTGGAGAGAATTGATCAAGGATGATAAACGACAAGGCTGTCTTCTAGCCCATACTATGGGGTTAGGCAAAACAATGCAAGTGTAAGTAGTTGTGATCTGTAGCAGGGTCAACATGCCCTACATTTGCTGACTCGGCTTAGTATCTCGTTTCTTGTCACGATTGCAAAGGCTGCGAATTCTCCAGATCCGGAGATTAGAAAACAAATTCCGGACTGCTTTCGCGAATCTCGCACTTTAATTCTGTGTCCACCATCCTTGATTGAAAATTGGTCGGAGGAGTTCATGAGGTGGCTACCACAAGACCCTGCAACAAAACGGAGCCTCGGTCCCGTGAGGAAGGTTTTATCAAATATTCAGTCCCGGGAACGATTGCAGGAAATCGCCGCATGGTATACAGAAGGTGGTATTCTTCTGATCAGCTACGATATTTTCAGAAGTTTAGTGCATAATGCTTCGACAAAACGCCGACCTCGCCCACTCGAGCCAAACCAACACGAGAGTGTGAAACAACAACTGCTTAATGGGCCAAACATCATCATCGCCGACGA